TTTGGCTTCTGTTTTGGTCAATGTCACCGACAATCGTGTGGCGCATACAATAACTCGAATACACCACCCATGACGAAGTCCAGCATGGCCCTGCCCGTTTTACCTAACGCCATTTTCGCCAAGCCTGGAGGCGACCTCCTCACCTGCCTATTCGACGTAGCAACCCTGCTAGCTCATATGTCAGGGGCGTCGTGCTTGCCACATGTTATTGCATGTCCGTCCGAATGAAGATGAACTGAACAGCTTGACGCTCGGCTGGCTTGAACGCAGCCTTGCAGCTGCAGCAAGACCGATTCAAAGACACCCTCTCACACCGGTTAGTTTTACGCCACCTACTGGAACTTGTGCTTGGCGCAAGATCGCTTTTGCTAACGCTAAGCTGCAACGAGGCCTGACTGCTGGAAGTCCTGAAACCACGGATCACACTTTCCTCAACTGGCTGCTCGCTGCTGGCCATGATTCTAGCGACGTGCATGACCAGGCCAAGATATCAACTGGAAGCCGCCCCTGTGGCTGATTTGAAGTCCGGATGTGCATGGCGCCATGAAATTACTGCCAAGCTGAAGCCCCTGGCAAAGCAAAGCAAAAATGGTAGGCAAACGAGGCGCGTTGACCATTGTTGCGCTGTGGTGCCACGTCTGACCTCGGCGCAGCTGTCGCCGGCTGGCCACCTCATGTGTGACCCGTTAGCTGCGCTGCGCACCAGGCTACCTACATTTATTACGCCCGATGACTGTCTATGATGTTATCGGCAGGCACATCAGCCCTAGGGCAGTTTGTGCATCGTTCGGAGGCTTGCGCGGCGTCAGCGCACTGGCCGTGACTAACAAGCCACGAAACTCGTGTCCAGAAAGACGCCGAACAAGAAATTACCCGCCGAAGAGCTGAATCTGGAATTCCGAAGGTGCAGGCTCGTCGGGAGATGATCAGCATTACTGCACAGCCAGCGCCATCAAATATAACGGTCCTCGTGTGACTGCGCCTTAAATAAGGACCTGGCCCGCATCACAAGGTGGCATAATCCATCATTTCATGGTTCGCATTCGCGTTATCGCATTATCCATCGCTCGCAGATATATCCCCCCCAAGTCTTAAACAGATCTCATTGTCTGTGCTTTGTCTCAGGGCGCCTCGGCTTGTACCCAGGCATTAAACGGCATTCTCCGCCAGCTCGCCAGGTTATTCGGATGATTACAGCAAATTACGTTGTCTGCCTTTGTGGCTTAGAACCCAGGCGACATGACATCAGCTGCTTGAAGCTGCCGCTGGTTGCATGTTTTCTCTCCTTCTCACCCGCCTATCTTCGAGGCCTCAAAGGAGCCGTTGACACTAGTGGTTGATCGAGCGCTAAGAACGGCGCGGAAAGATGAACAGTTTTTGTTCAGCAGCCAGTCTGAGCGCCCACCGCAGCCATTTGAACCAACTTGCCTCGGCTGCTTTATCCACTCCTTCGTACGTCCCAAGATGCCGGTATTGTGCGGGGAGCGAAATGCCAGCTGGAGCGACAAGGGGGAAACGCCAGCTGGAAGTGCGCCCTGGCGTCCAATGTGGTGGCGGTAACTTTGCTCACAGCCGTCCGTTGTCTCCATTCCCTATGGCTATATGAGCAATCTACAACATGCGACGATGCCGACGGGCCCTGTCGGCTCTTTGTCTAATTCGCATTTTCGTAATTCGGCGTCTCCGAATTTCTCCCTTGATTGCCCGTCAAATATGCGTGGCTTTGAACTCATTTGCAGGTGCACACGCCGGTACCCGCCAACTCAATCTGATTCCGACATGCCCAACGTTTCCTGCGCTTGGGAATCACATTTCGACGGGCTGACTTGACACGTCCCTCCCTTGCCAAGGTAGGTCGCATTCTCGTATGTCTACGCCATGCCTTGGTTGGCGGCCGATCCCCGGACTCTCCTTTGATCCGTGGTCTTATTAGAGATTCTGCAGCACCTGCACGTAACTCTATCGCATGGCGATGACGTGCGTGTTGCTTTCGAGGGGCCTACTGAATAACACACGCCCGCAGCAAATCCACCCACATCCCGGGATCCCGTCATAGCTTAGTGTACGGAGGTCGCTTTCAAAAGTCGTATCTAGGTACTATATAAACACTATTCTGGTAGGCATTTAATAGGAAAAGATGTAGGGCAGGTAGAAATAAAAGACGTAGGTGAAAAAAAGATAGATAAAGAGGATGAGAAAGACAGGAAAGGTGGGTGAGAAAGATGGAAAAAGTAAGGCTCGCTGAAAAGAAATCTCAAATTTCTAAAATCTACTCCCGTTAACTTTTAGAAACACGCTATACGCTCATGTTTGTATGGATCATCAGTAACTAGGCTTTCTTTTTCTTTTTCTTCATTGCTCCCACAGGTATCGTCGAAGAACGATGTACACTCCGACAGAGATGGCGGTGACGGTAGCCACGACAAGGAGCATTACGACGAGTCCAGGTAAGTCGGCAAGGGCTGTCCTGTCACAACTGAAGCACAGCCGGCGATTTTTGGGACGACGGGAGTTAGCGATCTGTCCATATTATCATGGCTGTGATCAGCATTCGTGTAAGCGGGGGTTTTGTCCTGGTATCAACATACGGTACCGCGCTCCGCAGTAGAGGCATCTCCGAGTTCGTGCCATTGATGTTGCTTTAATGGAGAATTAAAATGTTTGAAGTGGCCAGAACGTTACACAGCACTTGAGGGAACAATACCTGTCTTGCGTTCGGGGACATGTTTGAAATCGCCGCTGCCCACTTCGAGCCAAGCCATCCGTGTGGACGCACCGGCGGTGATCTGGGCCGGCGTTTGGCAAACATCCCGCCTCTCAAGTCGCGGGTGGAATTCGGAATAAAAAACGACACCCTGCACTTGTGTATGGCGGCAGGGCGTTGGACCGGCGTCTCTGAGTCCCGGTCCCCGGAGTCTGAGGTGAAGAGAAGCGGCATGGTCCTCTCCGTCGGCGCAGACGGTCCGGCGATCGGCGTTGCGGGTGCGTCTGGCTCGGGGCCCCCGGCGGCACCCGCCGGGGAATCGATGCGAGGAGGAGAAGGTGGATGGGTCTCCATGCTGGAAGGCGTCCCGGAGATGCAAGATGAAAGCCAAATCAGTTTATGCGCGGAAGCTTGGAAGGAAGATCCGTGCCGAATGGAGCTTGGCTAGAGAAAGTAATATCCGAAACGAGCGTGTGTGTATTAATTGGATATAGCAGAAATGAAAGGAAAAGGCGACTGATGACTGAATAGTAGAAAGCGTTGAAAGACTGCATGTTTACAAAAGAATGTCCACGGCGTGATCAAGTCCGGTGTAAGAGCGGCTGCCTACCTGCCTGGCGAAAGCAACAGTCACTCGCAGCTGCCAACAATGTCCATCACCATAATAGGGGATCACAATTAATGACTAGAAGTCTGGGCAGCTCTCTCTCGAAATATTGCGTTATTAATGATTATTCACGGATACAATACAGCATCGACGCAACGCTTGTCTAGTGAAGCCACGCCGTCATAGAGGCTGCAAACCGAAGCACCTCTGCGTTTTCCTGCAGATTCATGATGCTTTGATCACACGGCCTTGGAGTGTGAGGCGCTGCAATAATTGGCTTCAATATGCCTTCGCCGTCTCTCAAGTTGCTCAAGATTCAGCATCAAAGCCCAATCGTGGCGAATCGACGCCCTCTCTGCATCGGCCGCTACTTCAGGGCGCGCAAAGTCTATTTTTTGGGGCGAGACCCGCGACACTCAGCAGTATTTCCGAAGAAGGAGGTGTGTTTATATACGGCCCCAGAGGCTCGAATGATTACGTCGGCGAGGTGACGCATGCATATGGAAATGTGTTGATGCGATGCAACGCGGACCTATAGCCAAAGATGGACAAAGTCACAGGGCATGGTGGCCAGTTCGGCCTATGAAATGGCGAGTTTGAGCAGATTATTAATGAATATGTAGTTTTAGGCACTATCAAGATAAGTCTTGTGATATTTCCTTTCTTAGCCGGCCCCAAATACGATGTAACTGCCTACTTCTTGGCGAGTATGTTCGGCGACCAAAGCTGTGCTAATAGCGGCGCGGCTGCTATGCACCTGTGCTCACCGACACAAGTCTGCTGCAATTACATGTAATACCAATAGAGATGTAATATTAGACGAGCGTCGGAGATGCGTGAATATATTGCAGCGAATGCGGGCCAGTGTCGGCCAACGGCAGCCCGTCCGCGACTTGTCAGCGCACTCTCTTGGCCAGCAGCATCCACCTTTTCATCTTTGACCCAACTATTCGTAAGGACTGGAGATTATGCACTTGCTTTGGCGGTCCACCTAGTAAAGGCACGGTTGAGGCTATTCCAGGACATTTTTCTTGTTGCAGAATACCTGTCGCATGGATAGCTGTCCGCGGGAGGCTATGGTGTACATGATATGCCGCACCGCTCAGTCGGGGTCTGGCTAGCTCGATCCCGCCTCCACGTTGGTCATTCTAGCGATACTTGGCAGTTTGAGAGAAATCCCCCAAAAATCAAGAAAATGACAGAACAGAAAGAGATATTTGACAAAAATCATGACACTGATTGGCTCGCCATACAACTTCTTGGCATCCTTGCTGGTGTTGGTGGCAGCCACTTGCTTGATGCTAGTGGAGCTCATCAGCGCCCGTTTGACGACCAAGGACCAACCAACTTCATTTGCCGAGCCGAGTTCTGCTCCTCACATCTCACATCTCATCAGCCTCGTTCGATTTCAAACGCCCCCATCAAGGATCCCCCCCAGTCGGTGCCTACACGTGATACAATAGCGAGCCATCCCTGAATCCATCGTTCTGCTGCCGGCGGCAGGACGAATTTCAGATCCGCGAGGCCTTGAGGCTGAGACAAACTTCATCTCTGCAGCGCCTAGGGTCTTGGCCAAGCCACATAAAACGTCTAGAAGAACCACCCACCGCCCCTCCTTGGACAGCCGCGTGCCCGAATTATTATTCCCCGAAGCCGTTTTGAAGAGGGGAAGCGAGCAGAACGAGAAGAATGAGCACGAGGCTGGCCGTTATCCGCACCGCTGCGAGACCATGCCAACCACACCAGCTCCGACATCTTGGCCAACTCCCTGCCTGCAGACTGCAGCAGCAGCAGCAGTCCGGGGTGGTGGCGCCTCACCCCTCCCCCCCGGCCACACGGACACTCTCGTCTTCGTCGACGTCCTCGACGGTTGTGCCGCCGCGTCGTCGTCGAGCCACACCGGCGCCTGACCTTGAGAGGCTGCGACGACAACCTGCCAAGGTCATCCCCGACTACCTCACGCCCATGCCCTCGCACCTCCTGACGACCATGCTGGACGACCTGGAGGCCTGCGGCGGCGGAAGCGGCGACAACGCTGTCGCCGCGGACACGTCACAGGACGACGCCGTCCTCGCCGCGGACCACCACCCCCCCTCTCCATCATCTCGGGGACCTCCCCTCCCCAAAGAGCGGTCGGGGCCCTCGTCGCCGATTGTCCAATCGCCGGCCCTCGCCCTGCCCCAGGGTCATCACCTGGTCTACTTCCCCATACAGGCCGCCCCGTCACGCCTCGCGCCCGACGGTGCCGACCTGGACCACTCGCCCGGCCTTCACTACTCGCGTCGCCTCTGGGCGGGCGGCGAGGTAACGTTTCGCGGCGCTGGTGGCCTCGTCCTCGACGGCCGGCCCTGGACCTGCACGGAAACGATTGGCGACGTGAGGGTCAAGGCGGACGCGAGCCGGGAACTCGCGGAAATCGGCGGAAACGAAAAGGTCTTTGTCGATGTGTGGCGCAGATACGCGCTGGACCATCATCACCCCGGCCTGGAGAAGACTCCGCTGCCGTGGTCGATCGAGGAGCGCCGGACACTCGTCTTCATGGATCCAGGCGATAACCCCGTACCACCACCCCAGACCGGGGCGAAGGTGGTCAAGTGTCAGTGGTCCTTGCACTCCTTCTCCTTCTACCCTTCCGAGACGCGTTCTGGCGTGGAACACGTCTAGAGACCAAACCCGCTAACCAAAGCTGATGCCAGGACAGACCCTCACGAGGCAGCGCACAGCGTCCGCGTCCTGCCGTCCGCGCGGCACCTCTTCCACTTCTCCGCGCTGACGTTCAACGCCCACGCCATCCACCTGGATCCGCAGTACGCCCGCTCCGTGGACGGCCACCGCGCGCCGCTCGTCCACGGGCCGCTCACCCTGGCGCTCATGCTCCGGGTGCTGGCGGCGAGCGCCGGCCCGCGGCCCGTCGAGCGCCTCGTCTACCGCAACCACGCGCCGCTTTACGTCGACGAGCCCCTGACGGTCAAGGTGCGGCCTGTGCCGTCGCGAGGCGGCGGCGGCGGCGGTGCCGTGTGGGACGCGTGGGTGGAAGGGCCGGATGGGGGGCTCGCCGTCAAGGGAACGGCGACCTTGGCGACATAAACGGCGCAGCATAGCATACGTGGGGACATTGAATGTAATTATAGTTGTATCTACAAAAGCATGGCGTATATGGGAGACATGAAATGAACGGTTGAAACAAGTTTGATTTGCCACCTTGTAAACCCATTATAACAACATCCACTGCCTGCGCCCCATCCTAAGTGCGTCCGACTCGAAACGAGCCAGAGATATATATCCCAGAACAACGACAAATAAGAAATATGATGTAAAGAATAGTCTTTGAGAAACAAGGCCCGAAGCCGAGGAGATTAAGAAAGGCATCAGCATGACAGAACACAAGACCGCAACTACTCAGCCCAGCCAAACACGTCCCCCACGGCCAGCGAGTTGCTCCGCACGCCCGTCAGCGTTACCAGGATGCCGAGGGCGTCGAGCAGCAGCAGCAGAAGCGCCGCCATCATGAAGCGCGGGCTGAAGACGCGGAAGAGCATGAGGTGCCTGCGCAGCCAGCCCGCGCAGGCCATAGTAGCAAGAGCCTCGACCGCGTAGTACGCCACGAACGCGCCGAGCGCGCGCGCCACGGCCTCGAGCGCGCCGCGCTGCCGTGGGCCGACCTTCCAGAGGGCGACGAGCGGCAGCGCGGCGACGGCGAGGATCTGCGCGGCGAACGTGTTGACGGCGACGGCGAGCGGCGCCCACGGGTAGCGGATGGTGAAGAGCGGCACGAAGGCGGTATCCCACTGGATGCTGGCGAGGTTGGCCTGGTGGCCCGTCTTGAAGAAGTAAAAGTTGCCGAGGACGGCGAGCATGACGGGGCCGATGGGCGCGGCCTTGAGGCCGAGCAGGTCGACGAGCTCGACGAGCGCGAGCAGCTGCCACGTCATGAGCGACAGCGCGCCCGCGCCCATGGGTTTGGTGAGCAGCAGGCAGGTGCCGAGCACGCTGATGGGTAGTAGGAGGTAGCGCGCGCCGAGCGCGTTGGCGTAGCCGAGGATGGTGACGCGCCCGCGGCTGGGTACGATGGCGACGGAAGGCGGCGCCCACGCAAAGGCGGTTGTGCCAGCTACGACGGTAATTGCCAAGGTAAACTGCGCAATGTAAACGCCGGCCGTTTTGAGCACCAGCTCGGACACGTAGGCGGCGAGCCATCGGCCGTTGTTGGCTGCATCGACGAGCCAGTACAGCGCGGATAGGAGCAAGCTGAAGCGGAAGACGTAGCCGATCCACGTTGGCGCGAGACCCTCGTACGAGCGCGTCGGCACGAGGAATGACTTGACAAGCGCGGGCAGCCCGAGGAAGGCCAGGAACGGGAGGGTGAGTTGCCATAGCGCTGACGTCGACGAAGAGCTGGAGTTGTAGTACGTAGTCTGACAGTACGGCATCTGCTCTTCGCGGCAGAGCTTCGAGTAGGACGCGACGCGCCCGAGCACGATGAACACGACGGAGTGGTAGATGCCCATGTAGCGGTCGACGCGCGATGACTCAATGCGAAACGAGGATACCAGAGCAGCGACGCCAAATGTGGTAATGAAGAAGAGCAGGATGGTGTCCTCCCAGATGGTGTATGAGTTGGACGCGAAGCCGATGGAGTGGCTGACAGTGAAGATTACGGCAAGCCAGCCCCAGAATGTATTGGGTAATAGATTACGCAGCGTCTTGCCGTACTGATGGAGGGCGGTGCCAGTTCTCGCAATCATGATGGTTGCCACAACCGTGGCCAGTCGGTCCAGTGGCTGTCCGCGGAAGACGGCGGCAGCGGTCAGTGCCGCAATAGCGAGAATTACACGCACGTCCGTGGCCCAGCGCAGGAGGTTCCGGTGGAAGAACTGATCCGGATGCTCAGGCTCCTCCTGGTCGTCTTCTGAGGCGGCTATCTGTTCAAGTTGTTTTTCGGCATAGTCGAGCTCCGGGTTGTTCAGCACAACGTACTCGTCGTCTGCTGTGCGCGACGAGTACATGACGAGGACGAGGAGGCCGATAGCGGTGACGAACACGCCCATACCCATGCGCGGCACATCAAAGCGCGCCCAGAGGCTCTTGCATACCTCGAGGTTGCGCTCCTGGTAGGCCGATAACGCGTCGTAGAGGCTACGACCGGAAAGGCTTCGCTCGGTCGCCGCCGTCCACAACGCCGCTGGGCTGCCTTTTTCCGCGCCCGGCGTGATGCCCCGTGTCTCAAAGTACAGCTTCTGGTATCTTTCAATGCCCGCAGCGGTAACCCGAGACACAGCAGCTAAGTTAGCCCAGTCGTTTCCACGAGGGCCGACAAAGGCTTCCTCGATCGGAGTTCCCAAGTTGTTGAATGGAACCGGAATTCCGAGAAGGAGAGACAGCGTCGGAACAAAATCTATTTGGTTAGCGGGTCGAATTTTGGCGTTTGGAGGTGGCATAGCGTGCTCGGGAAGAGTACGGCCAAAGATTGGCCGTTTCGCGTACATCCACAGAGCAGCTTCAACTTCGTCATCGCTCTCTCCGCCATGGTCGCCCTTGCTATCCATGCCGTGGTCACCCATGACGACGAGAAGTGTGTCGTCATCAATCTTGGATACGGCCTTGCGGATGAAGTCATCCATCTGCTGTAATTTAGAAGTCATGGCAGGATGGTCGGGGCCGTATCGATGACCAGCGTGGTCGACGCCAAGGCAGTGACCAATGAGGAGGTCCCATTGGTTCTTGCCCTTTGGCTCCAGAAGAGGTAAAATATGGTCAATAACGCCGTTGTCGACAGTGTGCAGATCCCAGACGTCAAAGCTATCATAAGCTCTACTGATATTGGGCTCAAAGTAGCCGGGGAAGAGACTCCACCAGGTATCATCCCCGATCTGCGCAACCCTTTTGCCATTATTCTTCAACTGCATAAGCAGATTATCCTCGTCAATCGCATCGCCTTTGAAGCTACTACCTAAGTCGATAAAGGTGGGCAGTGTGCCGGTCGTAAGGCCCTTCAGGCGTTGCAAGGTGGCTGTCGGCGGGTCGGCGATGAAGGGTCGGAGGAAAGCGTTCTGCGGCGACTTGGCAGCAATTTCGTGGAGGACAGGGAAAGCATTGTGATATGCGTGTGGGCTGTCGACAGCATGAGGAACGGTAAAGTCGTATCGGAGGGCGTCGATGAGAATGACGACGGCGCGATCAAACGTCTTAGGGTGCCAGCATCCCTTGTCCGGGTTGAAGAGGCCTTTAGTCCCGTCAATAGGTGGCGCGTCGCAAGTCGACTTGTCGTGCAGGACAAGCCTGGTTAGTAGAAATCCTGTCGTGAAGAGCCAGATTCCAATGGCGTGGATGGCGAGCATCCAGATCCAAAATGCGACAGTCCACAGCCAGCGCTTCTCGTACCGCGACTGGCGCAACTTGTTGAGCTGCTCGCGCTTCTTCTGGAGAGCATTGGCACGCTCTCGGTCGGTCGGCAGGCCCTGGCTAGCTGCCTCAGCATCAGCTGCCTCCTTGGCTTTTTTGGCCTTTTCCCACTCGGCGGCAATGGCTTTGTATTCGGTGAGGGACGGGCCGGGGCCCTTGGCCTTTGCGCCGCGTTGCGACATGGTTTCTGAGGTGTGGTGTGCTATGACCGGATCGCAGCCATGAGTGATATAAGAAGGGGTCGCTTTGATGGATTCGTCCGGTCGTCAATTCCCACGTCTGCGGCAACGCGTGCAAGAGATGGAGAGCTGGTGTAGCTACAACAAAGTCTTTTCTGGGACGTTTGCATTTAAGATGCCAGTTACCCTCAACTAGGAGCTGCGTGGAGCCGCGTTTGTGCTGTGCTGGAGGTCCGCGCCCCCACCGCACCTTGTTGGCCAGGAACCATCCATCTTCCTGTACACACATGCCAGACATACCTTCCATCAATATCATCACCAAGCATGGCTAATAAGAAACAAATCTTTGTTATGAAGCTATCGCTACCGCTACCGCCACATTCGGTTTTCTTGAGATCACTTCCGTGTGGTATCCCATCTACCTGCTACCTATGTGGGTGTTCGCAGTCACGGAAGCACGTTTGACTCCCGCCAAGAACTAAGCCACAGTCAGTATATGAGCTTCACCAGCTAGCAAGCTACAGAAAAGCGATATGAATAAAATTTCGGGGGTATTCCAAAAAGAAAATACTTTTCCCAGCATTCCACTCGGTCATTCGACGGCCATGTGAGCAACATCCTCGTCACCTCCGATGCGCTGCTGCATAATCAGCTCATTCATCCATCGCCTACCAGAACTTGCACCCAGTCAACAAGCACCTGACGCTCGATACACAAACACGCCATTCAGATTTTCTCAACGCATACAAGTCCTTCATCCACAATCAGTCATGCCGCCGCCGCCACCAACTCCAAGTCTGCCAACCCGATATCGCTCTAACCGGTATAAGAACGCCTTCAGCTCAGCTGAGCGGACTCCAAACGCCGCGCGCCATGTCACGGTATTCAGAGTTCTATCTGGGACTGTGGTCTAGTGTCCTCGCCATTTAAATATATGCTCTTGTCATTATGCATATTGGTGTAAAAGTGTTCTGGACAATACTTCTTTTGCATGCCACATCTTGAGGCAATCGTGAGCTCTCGCAGTGGGCCGACCAGAGACCAGATCGGCGGTCAGGCTAGCTAGGATGCCTATCATGCAGCCCCAAAGCAACAGCTACAGGCATGCCAAGTTGCCTCCAGGATACATCCGTGTGCTCGAGCTGCAGCCTTCGGTTTCCATCGATGAAGCATTGGTATGCCGGCTGAGAGCTCAAACAATCACAGATGTGCCCTATGAGGCTGTATCGTACGTATGGGGCAAGACAGCAGTCTATCACACCACAATCTGGTGCGCAGATGAGGGGGATACCGAGACAGGCGCCGGCATGCTGCGTATTGGTGCAAACTTGGCCAGGGCTCTTCTCGCCTATCGCTGCCTCGATGAACCTAGGCGGATCTGGGTCGATGCCATCTGCATACAGCAAGATGATTTGGATGAACGCCTAGCCCAAGTCCGCATGATGGGCGATATCTTTCGCAATGCGACCCAGGTACTATGCTGGCTAGGTGCCTTCCAGGACCCAGCGATAGACGAATGTCTGGCGCTCACCGCAATACACTTTCTACGAGAGTTCAATAGAGATCAGGGTAGCCACTTGCAGCAAATCCAGGCCGCCATACACAAAGGAACCTTGAATAATGGAGGGCAAGCTCTACAGGGAAGCGATGACGAGCAGATACTCTTCGAAACTTGGCGTGCCGTCAAAGTCTTCTTCGACTGCGAGTACTTTCATCGGGCGTGGATCATCCAGGAGATTGGCCTTGCTCGTCGCGCCTGGCTCTCTTGGGGCCGCAGCGATTTGTGCATCGACTGGGCCGAGGTGGCTCGTTTTGTCCTATTCCTCGACGACAACGGCGCCTCCGTCATCAACGAGCTCGGCCTCAAGTCCTGGGTCTGCAACCACATCAACCTGGTGTGGTCCAACAAGGCCGACGGCACGCCGCTCTACGACTTCTCCGAAGTACTACACTGGGCGCGCGTCCACTTGTCGACCGACCCCCGCGACTACGTCTACTCGCTGCTCGGCCACCCGAGCGCGGTCGTAGATGGGCAGCTGCTCATCGAGCCAGTATACAGCATCGTCACGTCCCAGGTATACACAGACCTCGTCATAAACATCATCTTGCGGACACGCAGCCTACACATACTCGCCTTCGTCGACCACGACTACAAGCCGAACCCAATGGGCCTGCCAACTTGGGTGCCAGACTGGCACGCCTTGAATCTCGTTGCGCCGCTCCGATGTCCCACGCGCGCCGCTCCGTCGGAGTACCAAAACGTAACCATAGACAAACACATGCCCAAGCCCCGTCTGCGCTGCCGAGGAACCTTGATCAGCACCATACGCGCATTCTCAGACATGATTGACCCCAAAGAGCTCGCCATCACCGACTACGACGCCGAGACGAAGAAGAAGCTCCCGTTCCTGCTCGACCACATCTACTTGCAGCTCGTCCTCGCCCACCCTTCCGAGACGCGGCCCCGCGCAGACGCCTTCATCTCCGCCCTGAGCCTCGTCCTCACCGGCGGCTTCCGCGGCACCGCGCGGTCCCTTCTTCGGCAGCCTCTCGGCGAAGGAGGCGGAGCCGGTACGCGCGCTGGCCGCGGCGGGCTGCGCGACGCAGATGGTGCAGGACATGACGTGGACGTCCATGTGTCGGCGGGTGTTCATCACCAAGGACGGACAGCTCGGACTCGGGCCGCGCATAGTGGCGGCCGGCGACGTGGTGGCCGTCCTCCCGGGCTCCAGGTACCCGCTCGTGCTTCGGCGGGCGGGCGACACCGAGTATGAGCTCGTCGGGCCTGCACTGCTGCATGGCTTCATGGATGGCGAAGTCGCAGCGGCCCCGGCCGGTACTTTTGTCGAACAGGAACTTTGTTTAGTGTAGGTAGATAACGTCCGTCATGAGAACTTGCTCTCTCTGCTTGATGATGCTCCTTTTCGGGATATCCTGTTCAATCGTTACTGTTTTTCTAAATACACAAAAAGGCTTTCCGCTCTATAAACAACGCCATTACCACCCGAGACAAATCCAGTCCCCTCTGCGTATAAACATCAGCGCGGCAGTCGCGCGCCTGCGAATATGTACTGAAAAATGACCACATCCAAAAAGGCAGCAATACAAAATACAAACACACACATATTCAACATAAGCTTGGGCCTAATCCTTCTTTCAAGAGACCAAAATGCAAAATGCAAAATGCAAAATGCAAAAAAAAAAAGATCAACAAAAGTCATCAGTTATACATGTCCACTCCGCTCGGCCTGGCGGTGGCACTGCTGCCTCTTCTTCGCTCCATTCTCCGACGTTGTCGTCTATTTTCCGCAGCTGCGGTTTCGCTCGTCTTATCGCCTTCACTTGGAGATGGCATGCTCATGCCGCTCCAGGTGCCGTGGGTACCCAGCGAGTCCACGCTTGCCTTCATTTGACTGTGGGCGGGCGTTCCCCCGACCGCAGCTGCCGGACCGGCGGCAGAACCCGCTGCGGAACCGGCGGCTGGACCAGAATAATAGGCAGAGTCTTTGCCAGCACGGCGGCCCTTGGCAAACGCAGGTCTGGGCGGCGACAGAGGCGGCAGTTGGTCTTCCTCTTCTACCCGTTGCTCTGCTTCCCGCTCTGCCGCGCGCGGGCTTGCTGCTCTGCGGTACCCGCGCCCATTGCTCGGGGAGTCAATTCCAGACATGCTGCTTATCGAGTCACGGCGACCTCGAGCGGCCATGGCCTCTTCCTCCGTCAATCGCCTCAGTGTCACATTGCGGTCACGGTCATCATGAACCTTGACTTTGACGCTGACTGGCTGACTATTCGGCGATGCGTAGCGATCCCTGTCGCGTCCCCCGTCACCGCGGTAGCTTCTCTCTTCATTTGCAGCGAGGCTGCTAGCACGAGCGGCTGCAGCAGCGGCTGCTCGTTCTCCAGCTTTACGACGTTTTTCTGAAGGTCTTCGTTGCGGTGGTGATGCGTCAGTAGACACAACGGAGGTTTCTGCTCCAGAATGTAGTATTCCGTGAGGATCTGCTGGCATGGGCGGCATGGAAACTGACTCTGTGCTGGGTTGGCTGACATCTCTGGCTGGTCGTGATGGCATGGGAACCGGCTGAATGCTTCCAGATCGGGCACCGGCACCAGCTCGAGGCGGCGGGTCCATGGTTGATTCTGTCATGTCACTCAATGCAGTTTCTGTGCCATATGGTGCGCCATAACCTGTTTGACGACGAACAGGAGGTGGTCGCCTCGAATCTCGGCGCGTTGGGGAAGGATAGCCGTCACCTGTAAATCGAGAGATGCTTGTTCCTCCGCGCAGGTCCTCTTGTTCACGTAGTCGGTCCTCTTGCTTCTTGTTTCGTCTTTCTGCAAGTTTCTTGGCAATCCATCCCATGCCCAGCCCGCCGAGGATCCCCTTCGCAAACCCCCCACCTCCTCTAGAGTTTTCCTCGGACCTTCTTTGTGACGGACTAACATAGGAAGAATATTCTGAATCGTCATAGTCGCGACGTGATGGGTAGGAAGAGCGTGGCGTTGTAGGCCTGCCGGTATCGCCCGTTCTCGTGGTATGGGTAGTGGTGTTGGCCGCGTTCGCCGATGGCGGTAGCAGAGACGTTTGTGTGGGGGTATAATCCTCGGTGTACCCGCTGCTGTAATCGCTTCGTGCGCCGCGCCCGCTACGGTGACGGCGAGGCGTTTCCGTAGATACTGCCGAGTATTCTTCGTCTCTGTTATTCCTCTTCTTCATCAGATTTGCAGCTAGACCTCCGGCTCCAACAGCAGCAGCAACACCAGCGAGCGTCTTCAAAAATCCTCCGCCACCGCTCTTTCGCTGGGGAGAGTCAGAGTACTTGTCATCGTAGTATCTGTCGGACTGGACACGAGAGGATAATACGTCGGTGCGGGTCCTGTAAGAGGACGGTGATCGACTGCGCTCGCGATCTTGCTTCTTGCCTCGATTGCGCAACAATGCCCACAATCCAGCGCCCGCAGCAAGAGGGCCAAGCCATTTTAGCTTGCTGCTGTTGTTCGGCTTGTGATCAGAGATGAATTCGGATTCGGTGAGGCGTGTTCGCCCGCCATCAGACCTTGTGCCAGCTCCCATGTAGTAATCACGATGGCCAGCACGACGGTAGCTGAAAATAAAGTAGAGCAAAACGAGAAACGACATCCAGACCGCATAGAGGATGAAGAGGTACTTGGGTGAGCCGTAGAGGGTTAGGCCCAGCGGAACTTGAACAATGCCCAAGAGCCCGATGGCGCGTCCAGACCACTGATGGATCATTATTCGCAAAGAGCGTGATTTTGTAATGTGTCGAACCAAGCGGCCGCCAATGAGTTGGAGAACGAAGAGTACAAATATGGCGACGCCAATGCCGTGGTGAGGATTGCTGAGGTTTCGTTTGGGGCCGACTGCGAAGAATCCAAGAATAAAAATAACCAGCAGCATAAGACTAGCTAAAACTTGTAGTTGACCATGGTAGGTGACGGCGCGGCCGGGGTTTCTATCGTAGAAGCGAATCGTCATGACGGAGAAGGGTACGATGAGCAGGAATACCAGCGCAGCCATGACACCATGAGCCAAAATGATGCTGTGATATCCAACAAAGGTTGAGAAGCGATTCCCCATGCCTAAAAAACAGTGGTTAGCGCGGCGATGTAAAGGCGTCGTGGTTTGCGGCTCCCATACCATTGTAGCGCATAGTATCGAAGTTAACTCCCTGTAGATTAGGAAGCAAGAAGGTGTTCTTGTCAAAAACCCAGGTGCCATCTCCGACATTCAAGGTGTCAGAGGCGTAGCTTGCCGAGCCTGGGGCCGACAGCTCGTCTGGTGTCGGCGCCATGACGGCGGCGACGAGGTGGGAGCTGGCCTCGGCGATGCAGTGGTGGCTCTTCGATGAGATAGTATTTGAACGTCGCTTCGGTCCAATCTATGCCATACGCCGACCAGGTGTACAGATTTGCTTCCTCCCGGTATATTGCCCGTTCGGATGGTTGGAATGCGGTACCTCGTGGCGAATGGATCCTCGTGGGATTCTTGTGTTGACTTCGATAAACGAGGGGCGGTGTGGGGGAGGTTGAGCGGGTGCGAATACTGGAATGTTGGGAATAGTTCAGTTCGATCAGGGCTCGATGAATGAAATTGCCGCAAAGAGAAACAAAGGTTCTGTGTATTGGCCGTTTTTTTAAAGATGCAAGATGTCGGTGCGTTACAGATAGAGGGAGAGACAGTAGCACAAGCTGCCTCGTATGTACCCAAGCCAAGATGCAGGATGTCGCAAGCTCCCAACTAATCCTTGTTGCTTTTCTCTCCGGTTGCGCGGGGTGACGGATGCCTGCCCCACTCGCCAATTCTGGCTGGCTGTGGCTCAGTTGGTTGTTTACAGGAGCTACCCTACAGCCTAGACGATTTATGGCGCGCGTAGAATACTTCTACATATATGTGTGTGTGGTGTTTGTGTACAATAAACTACCTTATGTATATACTCTCTCCTGCGGATAGTTTCCTTTGTCTCTCCAGTGGTTGAGATCTGGGGTAGGAGTTCATGGACGCTTTTCTTGAGAAAGGAAAAGATGGTTTAAGAATAAAAGTGCCTTTATTCCTTCAAGCTCACCAGGAAACTAGAACAAAATCAGTCACAGCCGACAAACATTTTACTAGTATATGATTTAACCTACCGCATACGCTTTGTCTTCTCTACGGATTTATAGTATCCCAAGCTATTATCTAGGTATATAGTTTACTTAGAATCATGTCTCGTGATATGCCCTCGACCCATCTCGCCGCCCACCTGCGCCACCAGCCAACACACTAACACTGCCAGCTGGCAAGCTAACACGGGCAAACGCGCGATCCTTTTCCAACAAAGTCTCGAGTAATGGTCTGGTTTCCTGCATAACGGGATACATCTGTCCTTTTTTACAAACCGGCATCAGCCATATCTATTGCTGGCGTGTCGCTAACTTTGCCCGGCGCAGGTCTCAACAGCAACCAACACGCCTCGACCACTCCAATTTCAGCGCCAAACGTTGCGACGACGCCAAAATTACAACAATAGAGTTTGAGAAAGAGGTTCAAGATGGATCTAGACATCATCATCCCCGTAGGACTCGCTAAGGTCTGTCCTTATTGGTCGCTTTATCCTCCATCACGCTTCCTTTCGCTTCTGGATCGCGACCGCCTTACGAAAGTCCAGTGCGTTCCGGGGCAATATTTAAGGTAGGCCATCCCCCGACAGCAAACTTCAAGCTTCCCGACATTTCGGCCCAGCCGTTCTGCTGAAAATTCTCTTTCTTTCTTGCATTAGCCATCTTATCAGACATTGTTACCGACCAGCAGCAGCATCGATCGCTAGCTATGCCTCTGAAACTCCCGAGTCTCTTGACCGGGACCCGGCCGGATACCCAGGCTGGGTCTCCCGAGTCCCCTAACAGCCGTCAGGACAGCCAGGGAAGCAAAGAACAAGTGATAGTCGCCGAAGTCCCAATAACTGAAGAAATTGTCAACGACATCTTTGCCGGAAACGAAGCCGCCAAGGCCGCGAGCGACCATGAACGGACAATGACGATGCGCTACACTATTAAATACTATTACATTGCTCTGTTTTGGGCTGCGATGATGGCCGCCCCTATCATCATGGAGGGTTATGAAACTGCACTGGTCCCCAGCTTCTTCTCCTTTGAGCCTTTCCAAGCGATCTACGGCGATTCCATAGAAAATGGCAAGCCCATCGTTCGCCCTGTTTGGCAGTCGTCCATCACTATCGCCGCCGCTGTCGGTCAGCTCTTTGGACTCTGGCTGGCCCCCCGCGTTGTGAACCGCTTTGGATACCGCCGCTGTACCCTTTGCGGCCTCACCTGGGCTGCCCTCTGTCTTGTCATTGGCATCGTGTCCACTTTCTCCGCCAAGCTTCAAATTTACCTCGTCGGAGAACTCTTGCTTGGTGTTCCTTGGGGTCTCTTCCAAGGCATTACCCTTCCATACGTCTCGGATATCACCCCACTCAAGCTACGAGGACCAGCTTCCACAATGATCAACGTTTTCTGGCTCATCGGTCAGCTCGTCTCCGCAACTATCTTACGCAGCATTTCTGAAATTAAAAATCAGGCCTGGCAGGTCAAGGCCCCCATGTTGATCCAATACGCCTGGCTTTTTCCTCTATTCGTCATTGTGATTCTCGCCCCGGAGAGTCCCTACTTCCTAAGTCGCCAGAGAAAGGACGAAGAGGCACGCAATGTATTGCGCCGCGTCAACCGCGACCCAAAATTCGACGGACATGGATCTCTCGCTATTATCCACTGCGTCAATGAACATGAAAAGAAGACCACAGAGACCATGGGATTTCTTGACTGCTTTAAGGGTGTCAACAAGCGCCGTACTGAGATCGCTGTCATCATCTACCTTACCCAGCAGCTAGTCGGCTCACCACTAGTCTTTTACTCGGTCAACGTTCTTCAAAAGGGTGGACTCCGCCAGAGCAGCGCACTCTGCGTTACCATGGCCATGTACGCGCTGTGCATTGGGTCAACCCTATCATCCATGGCCGCTATGCGCTCGTGGGGTCGCCGCAAACTGTGGCTCGGTGGTCTTGCTGCCGAAGTCGGGTGCCTCGTTACCATCGGCGTGCTCGGATTCTTCCTCGATTCGACAAAGGCCGTTGCTTGGTCGTCTGCTGCTGTCCTTGTTCTCTTCGCCGTTGTGTACAACTTTACCATTGGGCCAGTTTGCTACACCATTGTCGCTGAGACTCCGGCCACTCGCATGAAGACTGCCACCAACTCGATTGCTCGCGGCATCTACATTGTTTTCTCCATCTGTAACCTGTTCCTCGTTCCTAATCTCCTCGAGCCTAAGCCCCAGGGTTGGGGACTCGGAACCCGTGCTGCGCTTGTCTGGGCTGGAACCTCCTTTGCATGCCTGTGCTGGGCCTACTTTCGACTCCCTGAGATGAAGGATCGCACCCCGGCCCAAATTGACGTCATGTTTGAGAGAGGGCTGCCGGCGCGATCTTGGTCAAAGGCTAAGCTCTAGGACAGCAAAGCGTGATACGATCGGATCGGTCAACGTACAGTACCGCGGCCCTTGATCGGGAGCGACCGAAAGCTAATCAAAACACAGTTGTCGGGTTAGGTGAGAGGGTTACGAGTTGGCAGATGAACAAAGTTGATACGATTAAGTTGGGGCCGAAAAAGAGCGGAAACTTGGGTAATGGATAATGCGAGGCGGTAAGTTGGTCGGGAGGAACACGACTAGCTAATGGGTTGAGTCAGGGCAGAATAGACAGACGGAACCAATTAGTAGTGAATTATTAATTCCCTTTACGACTTGTGTAGTATGACCTTGGCAGTGACGATGCGCGAGCAGCTTGCAGTAGCAGTGTGAAGAATGCCATTACTTAGGTGGCGTGTAGCTATGAAGATTCACTCTACTATCGAATGGCAAGTCCTAAACATATTGATCATTTATTACTCACCATTATAGGCGGTTCCCCTATTCCAAGAGCCTGTATATCATGGTCTATATTATACAAGTATACAGATATCACCAAGAGTCAGCAAGGATAAGAAGTTAATAAGAGGAGCCAGAATAACAAGGCAGACAAGCCCACTTTTCACCTTGAAAGATGGTTCGACAACCCAACCGCCCAGGCGGCTTCGGGCAGGTTGGGCACGGGGGAGAGGGGTTTGTGTTGCTGCTCTGGGACGACGTCCCATCGCGCGCTGTAGGCTTACGAGGAATAACTGGGTAAAAACTTCCCCGTTCTCGATATTGCTTTTTGGGACAAAGACGTCGCGCATTTGATTTTTTTTTTACCAAGTTGCATCGCGGGCACCAGTTGCGTCCAGGATCTCTGTAGGGAGATTGGTTAGAAATCAGCGCTTGGAGGGGAGGGGATCAACGAAAAGTGCAGGAAACAAACGGGATGCGGGAGGCTGTGGCATCCGGGCCGGCCGTCGTTCGTCGTCTGGCGGCACCCCCCCCCGGCCCTCGGCTGCTTCCAAGATCAGAGAGTGAGTCGTGTCTTGGAATGACTTGAGTTTGATTTTCCTCCTAGCTCGAGTTTCGGGGTGTTTTTTAGCGCCCGAGCCGGCAAAAGCAAAAAAAAAAAGGCTTGACGAAAAAGAATAATACGGCAGTCCAGGTCAAATGACGGAGAAAAAAAAAGGTAAAAAGAAAAAAAGGGCTGCCGATTTAGGGATGTGGGGCGCTGAATACGGAACTTTTATAGGCTCGCTTACTTAATTCTACAGGGTGGGAGGGGCCATTCTTCCTCTAAATCAAGGTTTAACCAACGAAACGCAAGTGAAATACGCAAAATATGCAGCCCCGAAAGCTTATGCACGTCCGAGGTTTTTCAGAAACTCAGTCTGGCAAGTTATTCCGGTTGGCGGGCTCGTAGAGACAGTCCATATGTCATGCCCGAAATGTGGCATCTACTGCAGAACGAAATGCAGAAGGGTGCCCTAGGCTGATCCTATACATGCCGGACAGGTTGAGGTCATCTCAACCATCGAGCCTCGGCGACTTCACTTTGTCAGCGCGGTGACAGGCCCCTTTTGTCCACTGCGCATGGCCCGCCCGTGTTTGATTTTGATCGCCCGTAGGGCACGTTCCGCACCAGCCTGGAGCTGACTTTTCAGGGGAGCCAGCTCTCATTTTGGTCTTGTAACTATCCACCGTAAAACGCCACAGATAGTACTGTCGCATGCACAGCCCTGATGCATGCCTCAAAGAAGGTTGGCGCTAACCAAGTCACCCCTGCCACCGCCCCTGCCGCCAAGGTTGTTTGATATTCACACGACTATTCGTATAAAGTAACCATTTCATCGTTTTGGGTCGTAGATTCATCCTGGCTCATGATAGTGACACTATATCTCTCTGTACAAAGTGTCTCGCCTCGTCCCACTTCAAGGCTACTGGCCCTCTCGCTTGCGTCTCGGGTGCGTCTCGCGTTGGCCATGAGTCAATCAGGTGTCATGGCATGCTCCCCCCCATCCCATGCTGAGCCTGCTGCAGACCTTCAGCGTTTTCGACTTCGCTGATGATGTTTTCGTCTGCAGCCATGCTACTCAACATATCCTGTTGCGAGTATCCAATCCAGTATTGAGGGTTCCGTTGCTGCTGCTTCTTAAGCTGGTATATGTCTCGGGCAACCGCTCGAACTTGGTTCCGTGCTCGGTCCGCCGCCGCCCAAACCGTCGATAGGTGGTTTAAAGCTCCAATATTAAGTCGTATTTGCTGGCGTAAGTCATCGTCGTCGTGTGGCACGAAGAACACTGCCCATTTGCTCAGATGGACTATCGATGACAACGTAACCACGCAAGTAAAGAACTGTGTATGCGATAATAGCGGCACTCTATGAGTAATTAACTCGCTAATCGCGCATGCCGAAGTAACCGTGTGCTTGGTGTGTGTGTTGAACATCTCTCCTGTCGCGACTGGCTGATACGGCGCGCAGGAGGTGATGCCCTGCGTCGGTGTCGTGTCGAGTTGAGAGAAGGGCTGGTGCAGCATGATCGAAGTCGCATGCATTATCATGTGTGCCTGGAACATCATCTCATCTAGCATTCCGTTCTTTTGCAGTGAATCCTTTTTGTTCTGAGGAAGATGTAGTCGCCAGTTCGTGAGGAGCGCCTCGATTCTTATTATATTCTCGTCATCAGGACCCTGTATCGGAGGCGTTCGCATAAATCGTCCCAAATTACGGCCGCAGAGTATTCGATAGGCAAAAGAGGAAAAGTTTCTGTCATCTCCAGAAAAATCGCTGTTCTCTAAATCTTGCAGCGTCACGGGGCTGGGAATGTTCTGTTCCATGTTAGCAACGCCGTTTAATCACGTTGAAGTTAGGGGAATTGCTAGTCATATTTGGGTTATGGGCCAGACGATAGCCCAGAGTCAGCCGTGATTACTTACCCCAGACAAGAATTGTAGCTCTTCACATGGCAGCGGGACGTCGACTGGAACGTCATAGAGGAAGAAGTTCGTAACGTGATGAACGCTAGCAATCAAGCCGTCGATAATGAAGAGATCCCACCAAGTCCTTCTCCAGCTCTCTTCCAATACGGGAAGGTTTCTACCATGAAGAGTCGCAAAAGTCCGAGTGTTGAGACCGATCTGTAAGGCCAGGGTTTCGGCATCTCTCAGGATCTCCCTGGCCTTGTCATTCTCGCCACTACCATCAAGTGCCACAATCAATAGCATCATTGCTTGAATTACCCAACCATCCTTTAGCCTTTGGGGCTCGTATACTAGGCGATAAGCCTCTTGAAACAGCGCCGGCCTTGCGGTGCCGCTTTCAATGAAAAGTGAGCCGACCCAGCGGGCTGCTGCCAGCACTGGCTCCAAAGAAAGGTCTCCAGCGAGACTTAGTAAATATGGCTTTGGCAATATAAACGGATGTGAGGCATGAAAATGGTAGAAGAAGGAGTCGAGACAACGGTCCGCAAGAGAAAATGTGTCGAGATTTGGAGAAATGTGTTGTTTTGCTGCAGATATATTGGTATGGTTGTCTGGAAAATAGGACCGGTAGAGCTGGAGATCGGAGTTGGTTAGTGGCATATTACTGAAAGGATATGCACCAGCGGCATAAGGGACGCCAGAAGGGCCAATGAAAGAGTGTCTCTGGTTGGATAGGGCGTCGTTGACTCCAGAACCAGGATCAAGGAGCATCGGGGTGTTTGATCCATCACGAGAACTCGAGGCCGATGCTGGAGGAGGAGACGTGACGTATGTTTTGCTGCTGTTTTGCGGTTGATTTTTGCGCGGTCCCTTGTAGCCTCTTCGGGAGGCAACGTAGATGCAATCGGACCCGGAAGCTTGACATCTTGCACAGGGGTTTTGGCCGTCACATTTTAAATGCTTGCTTCGCTGTATTACGAGTTAGTACAGATACGTATTGAGGATTTCATGAACCATCGTAAAAAGTCAAGATTAGCCACAGTGTTGCCTATGCAAACGGCCTCAAGTTGGCGAGATCTTGACAGTAGCCTCGAGTATTGGCCAGTTACGAGGCTCGACAATTCGAAAAATGATGGAAGAAATTGGAGGCGCATACACATGCAAGGCAGGCCGCTGGGACAGTCGCATCCTTTGACCTCGCGTCGGAGGGAGTAGCAGAGTTTGACGGAACAGTCGGCCCAGAGGATGTCGTAGTTCCCGTACGGTTTGATGTTGATCGAGAATTGGAAGAATTTGAGATGGAAGAGACGAAATCTTGATTTAGATTGGATGACGAGTCGGCAATGGAGCCCCTCGAGGCAGAATTCGCCATAGCAATGGCTCCCTTCGACGACTATGCGAGAAATGGGCGACGACAACACCGGTCAACCGTGTAAGCCGGAATCAAACGAAGGATAAGGAAAGGACTGCAGAGAAGAAAAGAAGCTGCAGGAAGCGCAGATGGGCTATGGACAACGAGAAGACATTGGAACGGCGAGGCGTTGGAAGAGCAAATAAATTGCGTTTGGTGGAAGGCGGCGAGACAACGAACGGTTGATGGGTGATGTGTGGGAGACGGCATGTGGGGAGGGGAGAGATGATAATAAGGTGCATATTTGGGTAAGGCAGGCGAGGAAGGTGCCAAGGTAGTAGGTAAGCAGGCGAGCAAGGTGCAAAAAAAAAAAAACCTGATAGCACATACCCGGTCCCAGGTATGTGGTAGGTTCGTCAGGCAAGGCAGCGAGTGAAGAGAGAAGAGGTGCGAAGAAACGGCATGTACCTTGACCGGCTACCCAGGCAGGCGGGGACTCTAAACAGTGGACTGGGCGTTCAAGGTTCAAAAGAGCAAGCGGGGGCTTTTTGGAATAAGATGGCCAGTTCTTTTACAGCGCAGTTTCTCTCTCTTTTTTCACCAGGGCAGCCAAGGTCCGGAGTAAAGGTAGCCCGTTGTCTGGTCGGTACCCGCTAGGAGAGGGACCGAGACCGAGGGGACTTGCATGATGGACGGTGATGCCGTGGGTTTGTACCAATAGCCGCTCCAATATAAACGCGGTGAATGAATAAAACTAAAGATATCAATTGCCTACCGAGGCAGTACTTCGTGATATCTAAGACGCGTAAGCACCCTTGCACTCCTTTCTTCTCGTTGGGTGTGGCCGTGGTAAGGTGGTACTGGGAATGTACCTGCTAAGGTAGTACTAAACTGCAGCGGTGCGCCGTTGCTGGGTCTCTGACGCGGCTGGCCGCTGCATTTTTAGATTTTTCGACCTCATCAGTGGCTGCATAGCTGCAGCTCCACCAGGCCAGTCCACGAATACCGCCGTCCAGTGGTGGTGATTGCTTCAGATACCGAGTGGCTCCTCTCTTGAGTTACAGCTGTCTGTCAACACTTGTCAACACCGCAGCCTCCCCTGTGACTCCCGAGCCCGAAGCCCCGAAGCCCACACGCCATGCCCCGAAGACCCTCCCCCCCTCTGGCGGCAGCCGGGCCTGGCCGCCTTCCCCTCTACAGCAGATCTTCTTGAACCCCCCCAACCCACCACACAACAAGGTTAGTACAGACCCATCAACCAACAGGTCTCGCCCTCCTCTTCCTCCTCAATCTCTCTTGGCTTTCTGCACTCTGGACTCTCCAGCCGTCTGTTCCGGCCCGCCGATTTGCATGACGCCCGCAGACTCCTGCTCATCGTTGCCTGATATCGTTTGCTTTTTATATATATATATATCTGCTTTTTTTTTCTCGGGAGCGCCTACTGCGCCCCTCTCCCCCAAATGGCTTGCCCGAAACTGCGACAAACGGCTGCTCCCGTCATCGTCGCATCCCCTGCCTTCTTGCGCACAGCTAGATGCCAGGTACATCTCAGCTTGTCATATTTATCGGCCTAGAATAGCTCTAAAACCTCAAGCTATTCTTCTTCGGCTGGTTATTCACTGCCTCCTGGTCGCCGCCCCCGTCAGCTATAGGAGTTTTAGCCGCCAATGTCGTTCAACAGGACAAAGACTTTCTCACTGTCATGTGTTCTCTCTCGCCTGTCAGAACTGATACTAGATTCCTACGGGTAAATCGTAGACGACAACAGGACGAATTGTTGCCCATGGCGCGACCTCTTCTCTACTCAACGTTGACACTTCGATGCCGGTCATTTGACATACGGTCACGCTACATGGCTTTTGTAACCATGAGTCCTCCCATTTCATCCGTGGCAGAATCTACATGCAAAAAAAATAAAAAATTACTCGAACAACAAACGACCATCCTCCATTTCGACATCCTCTAAGTGGTCGTGGAAGAGAACGGCAAGTTGGTGGCCGAATGCTACCGACCAGCTAACAGCGCCACAACGCTGGCTTGAAACCTACCTAGGCGTTATTAGGCTCAACGTCCATCAAATTCCTCAAGCTTTTTGAGTTTCCATGGCGAGAACAATGCATTGGCCACATGACCAGCGCCCACTGGCGTCAACGGCTCCGCACAGCCGGGCATCGGGTACCAATGACTACATGACAGCATCAGCACAAACAGACTACAAAATCGAATTCTGTCCAGTGTGTGTACTGATAAAACGTCGGATAGCAGCACCGTCTACCTGCGCATCGGAATGCGTGGCAACCCTCATGATGCTTTATCTTGCACACTCTAACGTCGCTAGTAAGCAGCGTTCCAAAGGGGACCGGAGAAGCAAGATACACCGCTACTGGCTTGAAAACTCGTACTAGGTACTCTCAGGACTGGTATAGTAGGTAGTGAGCGCTGTCATCGAACTCTTTGCAGCGGGCGGCAACCCTGGATCATGGCGCCTGTCAACAAGCTTTCCAAGTTCACCGCCTCGTTGCACGCTCTTTGCGCCTGGAACATCGGAGGGTCGATGCCCCAGCCAGACTTTCCCAAAGCAATAATGCCACTCATTCTAAAGCCTGAGCCCGTCTCGAAAAGCTGATGTAGGGCTGGCATTACGCGAGACGTTGTCATCCTCTGCAGGGCAGGGAGTGATGCCCGAGGAGGTGACTGGTGCGTTGGCATGGTCCACTCAGCTGGGCCATAACAACGCGCGTTCGGGGTTCTAAGCATGGTTTAAACAAAGAGCATCCTTGTGGGTTGCCACATCAGGCTCCTCAGCCTCCCAGACAGTTGTCAATTGTAAGTAAAGAACGATCTCTGCTTCTGCTTGGAGCGACGCCTCTCTCCACCTGCTTCTTGAGCTAATGCAGAGTGCCAGAAATCGAGAAGCTCTCGAAGCGCAGAAGGAGATCTGACTAGCGAGAAGAGACTAACCTGTGCAAGATTTGTCTATCATCCCGGCAAGTGTATCTTGATTCGATATAGTGACTTGACAGATTAAAGTGAGGGTACTTTTGCTGCGCAAAGGCACCGCCGATGTTATCGGCCCGGCGTGGAAGCACTCGTCAGTCTGGGTGTTTCTATGATTAAACCGCAACTGATGATACTGTTTGAAATATTAACTGAGATCTACGTAGCTGGCTAGTCCAGATGCCGGCACATGAGCTGTCCATGTGAGCAGGGACGACTGATGGCTTGCAGGGAAGACCGATCAAGTGAGATGGTATGGGGGGCCTACCAATGGTTGACGTTGTCGGCCCGGGTGTGAAATTACTTGTGGACTGCACAAGTTGTCCTGCGTTTCTTTCATTCTTCTCTTTCTTAGGGTTCTTGACCTGGTAATTACGTTGAGTTCGCAACACAGTTGAACTGTGGGGTCGAGGAAGTTTGGCCGCGCCGGCGGGCGTTTCAAGGGACAAATAAGTGGCGCGCCGAAAAGCTTATTTGATATGAGCGAAACAGGTTTCTAGAGCTGCAACTACCTTACGAAGGACGTATGAACGATCGATGATGGTCAAATTGGACAGCAAGGGGACTAGCCCCCCCACCCTCTCTCTACACCGGTTGTGCTAGAATCCAAGGGAAGCTTCAGTCATCTCTGTAAGGCCTACGGGACATTGAGTCCGCATCTCGTCATTTCGCCCTTTGACAGTTAAGTGGGCTAACTGGAGTTGATAAGGAAAGAAAAAGTGGGATTAGTCAACCATTGATCTGTCCATGAGGTGATTGCGAGAAGGATCCGTACACCGATGTCGGCTTTTGAGACAAAGCTTTCATCGTGCGTTGTATAGGTTACACAAGACTACCGCGGAAAGTAAATGGCGGGCTGAAAAAAAAAAGAAAAAAAGAGCAAAATATTTGTGTGCATGGGGACATGCGAAGATTTGAAAACCTGGCTTGGCTGTGCTTGAGCTGGAACAGGTTTCCATTCGCTAGCACGCAGATTGAAGATGGTGCCGAGAGCGTCTACGGTCAGTATGCCAATCACGAACGGTACTACTCTCTAGCTATTGTACCGTGTAGATTTGCCAGCCTCTGCATGGCTGGACAAGCCGGGGCGGGGGGGGGATGCCGAATGTACGGCAACTGAAAGAGGTGAGGTGTAGGACGAATGTGGTGATGATGGAAAGTATAGAGAATCAGTATGGAAGCAACGTTTTCAAAATACGAAATCGTTTACATCGTTTCCTCATCGCATAGTTTATCTACTTGTATCTACCGTCAAGACTTGGTGGACTATGCGGAACAGCCGTCCCGTAAGCCGGCCGAGATGCCCGGGGGCTCCGCACCGCTATCTACCGACGGAGGAGACAGGGGGAGAGCCGGGGTCGCTATTTCTACATTAGGATGAAGACGGGACGGTTCCGGTAAAAATGGCGCTACGATGATGCTTGTGGGCAAATTCGAGCAACCGGCAGCGGAAGAAGGTTGGGTACTGCATTAGCCAAGTCTGCTTGTCATGACCGAGCGACTTGAAAAAGGCCGGAGGCGGGGCCGGAGTGTGCCGGCACGATCCGTAGCTAAACTCACCTCGACAACAGTGGGAAAATAGCTTGGCGACTGAAAAGAAAAAAAATAAACAAATAAAGAAGCACAGTGCCAGGCCTAGAATAGTCATGACGCGTTGAGATCTTCTCCCGTCATCCCCTCTGGCTCGTCTCTGCACAGGCAGTATCAATCAGAGGTCAGGCTTGAGATGGCCTCGGTCGCGACAACGCCGGCAAGCGACAGACATCCACAAACGACCGAAGAAAAGAATGTGGATGTTTTAACTTCACAGGTATCATTGATTCGAGGAGCGAGAGATTCAAAATTGGCCAATTGATCGCAGATCGGGGGCGGATGTATTGAGAAACAGTAGTGGTATATATATTGGCTCTGACGGCGGGGTTATATGTAAGTGGGAGGGGGAGGTGGGATCAACGGAGACGCTTAGCAGCAGCACTCGCAGCACTCGAAGCAGCAAAGGCCGGCGCAGAGACCACAGCAGATAGCCTTGTAAGAAAAAGTTAGCGAAGGTTACGGAGTTGAAAAAAAAAACAAAAACAGAAAAGAGAGAGGGGGTAATTGGTGAGAAAGGAATGGATGTAAAGGATGACGTACCTCACCCTCGCCGTTGTGGCCACCACGAAGACCGACGCTCATGGGCTCAGCAGGGCGCTACATTGATAACATAGTCAGCAGGCGCGTTCGCGGATCCGGAGAGATGGTAGAGAAAGGCATTGGCTCTGGGCGACGCGGCATTCTTCCTCTTCTCCTACTACCCGTCTCTCGGGGTCGACAAGGCGGCACATACGGGCTGTTCGCTGCTGGGGCGGGCAGCTTCAACCTGGGGGTTGGTGGCAGCCATGGGCTGCTGCTGCTGGGGAACCTGTTCCTGCGAAGGCATGATGGCGAGATTTCGCAAAGATAAAGGGTATTAGTTTTTGGCGGGGAGACGGATCAATCAACTAGAAGGAGATGAGGCCAGCAGAGACAGCTTCGCTGCAAAGGGAGGGGGGGGGGGGGGCCTCTTTATACCTCGTGTGTTTATTGTCTATGTACTGAGCCACACACGCAAGCTCTTAACGCGAAGCGGGTTATCATATGTGAGCTGAGAGGACGTAATTCAATCTAGCCAGAAACTAGGGCGCTGAGTGTGAAAGATGCGCGGGTGAGGCAGCGTGCAGTGCATCTCGGGCCAATAATTGGGTTCTACCTGGCGAAGCTAGGCCGCAGCGGACATGGTCGGATGGAGACGTTTCGGCACGCCTGTGCCGTGGGCTCTGGAGAACTGGGCTGAGTCCCAGGGATGAGCACTTGCGTGTGAGTGGACGACGTCCGCTCGTTGGTGATAATTCTTGTATGGGCTCTCGGCACCGGTGACCCGAGTGGATGGGCAACCAAGGCAGTGCAAGGCTTTATGTGACGACTACGGCGCGGACTGGCTGTTTCTCCCCTTGTCACTCCCTACTCCTGCTTTTTTTTTTCTTCGTTTGGGTGAGGCTGTGGTCGTTTGGTCGTCTACAGGGATATATGGGAATATGCCGTTCTGACATGTCTTGGGTGTGGAAACCTGCCACAGACTTGTGAGGGTTGCGTTTCCGCACTGAAACAAAAGCAAAAGCAAAAGCAAAAGCCGAACGAACCTGACCGCAACGCCGGAGAATTGCCAGCGGGACGCGCAAAGACGGGATGGCCGCTTCAATAAAGAGCTTGGATGAGTTTGCCCCAAAACAAAGGCCCTGGCGTTACATTTCGCACGGATTGGCATCTGCTGACCTGCAGGCGCAGTAATGCAGAGGGGGGGGGCTGCCTTCTCTTGTCGCTGACCTGCATGCAACTCCGACGAACAGGAAACAAGATAACAACGCTCCATTACATCATAGGCGCCGCTCTCGAGATGCGCCACGTCTTCTTCCAGCCCTCGACTATCCATTCCCCAAGCACCGTTGGTGCAGCCGAGGCGCGAAAGGGAAAATCTACACCGGCCTGGATCGACTTGTCCAAAACGTCGGAACCCGTGTGCTTTGAAAGAGATCGGCCGTGTGGACGTTGACTCGAGGGCTAGAACTGGCAACAACCCGGACCCCAGCTTACCCTCTGTCTTCCCCTCTCTTTTGAGAACTGATATCAAGACGGGCAGGGGCAGGGGGGGAGAAGCCGAGTTCCGTGCCATGAAAACGCGGCGTTGCCAAGAAACTGATTAGCTTTTTGGCATGCTTGTTTTGACGATTACGTAGATGCTTGCTTGTTCCTGAACTTGCCTGTGTTTGTAAGGTACAATAGTGTTGTGATGTGGCGGCAAGCTGACCACTGTGCGAGACGTGGCGGTGCTACAGTGGCTGGCAGAATTATTGAAGAGGCGCTGCATATTGGCAAGCTGCAACCATTCGATGAAATGAAATACTGGAAAATAATAAGAGTTCTCTACAGACCCATGTAATTCTCATCAAACATAACTACAGTTTTCTTAGTCGCCATCGAGAGCGTTCATCCATTGTCCACCATTACCCGATGATCCCCCGCAGCCACCTGCCAAGCCTCACCAACAGTATTGCACCGCCAAGCGGCCAGTTGAGGCTGAGTCGTCATCGGCATTGCTGTTCTGTCCCTATCAGCACGTTTTGTTTCCTCGCCAAAATTTCTCCTACTCGACGCCACTTCGCGATACCCTCACTCCTGACTCGGGATCAGATACCTGCAGTATCAATCTCCTATTCGCGTCTCTTGTTGTTCCCCTAAACCACCTTAGTTCTCTCCAATCCCCCTCCCGTCCCAATGACTGCGTCCTGAACCAACCACGAGTCCTCCTCCCCGCGACCCTCGATCACGCACCGCGGCCCACCTCGAGCGTTTCAAGCCTCAGCCGATCCCCTTTCTCAGCGTCCAAATAAACACGCAAACCTATACCCGCGGCAGATTCGCTGCACACACGCGCCTACCATGGCTTCCTACGGCCACCAGATGCCGCTGCGTCACGCTCCTCAGCAACAGGGCCACGCCGCGCATTCTGCTGGAGCCGCGGCGCCGGGCCCTAGCTACCGCCCCGGCGGCGGCGGCGGTCCTCCCGCAGGCACATTCGCGCCGGGAACCAAGATCCAGGTCGGTAGCCACCGCGTCGTGATCCAAAAGTACTTGTCCGAGGGCGGCTTCGCCCACGTCTACCTGGTGCGGCTGCCCACGCCCGTCGAGGGCACCGACCTCGCAGTGCTAAAGCGCGTCGCCGTACCTGACAAGGAGAGCCTGCGCGCCATGCGCACCGAGGTCGAGACTATGAAGCGCCTCAAGGGCCACCGCCCCATCGTCGCCTACATGGACTCGCACGCCTCGGAGCTGCGCGGCGGCGGCTACGAGGTCTTCCTGCTCATGGAATTTTGCGACGGCGGCGGCCTCATCGACTTCATGAACACCCGCCTGCAGCACCGCCTCACCGAGCCCGAGATCCTCAACATCTTTGCAGACATCGCCGAAGGCGTCGCCTGCATGCACTACCTTAAGCCCCCGCTGCTGCACCGCGACATCAAGGTCGAGAACGTGCTCATCACCACGCGCTCCGGGGGTCGACGGTTCATGCTCTGCGACTTTGGCTCAGCGGCCCCGCCGCGGCCTGCGCCCACCTCGGTTGTCGAGTGTCGCTTGATGGACGAGGACGTTCAAAAGCATACCACCCTCCAGTATCGAAGTCCCGAAATGGTCGATGTCTACCGGAAACAGCCGCTCAACGAGAAGGCGGACATTTGGGCCCTCGGCGTCTTCCTATACAAGCTTTGCTATTATACCACGCCGTTTGAAGACCAGGGCCAGCTCGCGATTTTAAATGCCAGCTATAAATTTCCCAGTCACCCCAACTTTTCGGACAAGATCAAGAGACTCATTGGTACGTCGTGTAGTCGTTTCGAGTTGCGGTGATCGATTATTGATTCTTGCAGCTTCCATGCTCCGAGAGGACTTGAACGTTCGACCAAATATCTATCAAGTGGTGGCCGAGGCCTGTACCATGCAAGGCCGAAAGATCCCGATACCCGATGTAAGCTATGCCGCTCGATGCGCTCGCTGTGATTCAACTAACAGTTCAGATCTACTCTGGTCGTTCCGAATCAGCTTCGCCCACCAAAACGAGTCGGGAGTCGCACCGCGACGCACCGAAACCTGTAGTTGGCGTGTCTGTATCCGCGCCGGTCCCGAGCCAAGAGAAGCTACCCGACATTACACCTATGCGACGCGGTCGGCCAACACCATCCCCAGCACCGTCCCAGCAGACAGCAGCAAGTGGTGCCTCGAAACTTGTGACAAATGGAGATCCGTTCGCCGCTCTGGATGGGAAATCGAGTGCTGTCACTAATCCATCCGCGCCTGACGATATCTCAGATCGTTTTCCCAGTCTGGATCAGTTCTCGCTGCTTCACCACAAAGGCAGCAAGTTTGACTTTGACCCTAAGAGCCCAACAACGGCCAAGCCGACTGTGGCTCCCAAGGTCAACATGGCCGATAAGCTAGCGGACTCGGCGTTTGCTGCATCCAGACAAGCTGCCACCGCCCCGATAGAATTAGAACGACCTCACTCTGTCACTCCGGTTGTGAGCAAACCTTCTTCCCAGCCGCCTCTACCTACTCGTTCGACGTCAGTCAAGCCAGCGGCATCCCAGCCCGTCAATACTCGGCCCGTGTCTATTCAACCGCTCCCAGTGTCAACCACCGCGTCTCGTTATGTATCAACCGGTACGATGACTTCTGACTCACCATCCGAGAGGCAGCAAACCGCCGCCGCCGCCCCCGTTCAGCAAACGCTACAAAAGCCTCTTATGCGATCTGCCTCTGTAGCTGTTCGCCCTACACCTCCTACGTCCTCTGTCCAGGCTACCAGACCGCAGGCGCGCCCACGAACGCCCGAAACGCCAAAGTTTGAGAATGTGCGTGGCTACTCGGATTTCAAAGCCAGCCGACCACGGCCCGTCAGCACCAACTTTGATTCGCGGCAGCAATCCATACCAGATCGCAGTAAACCATCTGTAGCGAATTCTCAGCACTCGTCGCTTGACCGGTCTGATCAGTCTCAAAATCAGGGTCGCGCTCTTGATGAGCCGAAACAAAGCAGCAATCGGTCTGAGACCAACGACTTCAACACCCGACCCAACGACAAACCCCGAGATGGCGCTTTTGGTAGTGCTTTTAGTAAATTCGAACGAGATTCGAACACCGCTGGCGATACGAAGCAGCCCGTGCAGACCTGGACACCGTCCAGGGACCCGATCATCCTCGATAAGAAGGTCGATGAGAGCAATGACGATAACGACGAGGAGCTGACACCAGAAATGCGCCGCGAGCGTGAACGCCTCCAGCTAGAGGAAGAGGAGCAAAGGGTTGCCGCTGCGCAGTCTGAGTACCGGCAGCGGCTCGCTGGCGCAGCACAGGGGAAGAAACCTGCTCCCGGACCAAAGCCCAGCAGCATACAGGACAGAGTTCAGGCTTATATGGCAGAAGAGCAGACGCAAACAAGTGTGCCACGGACGGCTGAAGGCTACGGAAAATACGCAGATGCTGCCACGGCTGCTAGCAAAACCAAGCCTCCGATCAAACGGAAACCGGTCCTCGACGGCGTCGCCCGGGCCAGTACCATGCCGCAGGCGGCAGCGGCCGCGCCAAAATCAGACATGTCGCCCACTGCAAGCGCTCCGTCGCTCACAGGACTGAACAAGCCGACACCTCGACCGCCGCCGAAGAAGCCCGAGTATCTGAACAGCATCCCCACGGGTGCCGCTGCCGGCGGGCGGTCGCTGTCTCCCGTAAAGAGCAGGATGGAGGACCGGCCAGAGCAGCTGGTGGCGGAAGACTTGCCCGGACAACCCGCCTTGCAGTGGTCTTCGCAGGACAAGGATGACTATCTAGATGACTTCTCAAAGAGGTTTCCTAGCCTGAGCGCTATCGAAGGAGGCGGTAGTCGCAGATAGATTCAGCATAGAGCGTAGCAGCAACCTGCTGCTTGCATGTAAGCGTACATATGATTGCATGAATATATGAGGGCATAACAACCATTTCTTAGATTTTTAGTTCTTGCAGTCTTTGAAACATTGATATATTCCGTCTTATCCTGGCTGGGGTAGTTTGCGCAAGCTCACCTTGAAACTCGGTGGGGTAGTTACAGTGGGTGACCCAAAGAGGCAATTGGGCTTATCTTATCAGTGCCATCCCCAAAACTTTTTTCCCTCCAGCCCCCAAGCTGCGATTTCTGCAGCCAGCGAACTTGTCTCCATTTTCCAGCAAAACACGTCAAATCACAGCAATGGCGAAAAGAAAGAGACAACAAGTCAGCGTGGCTGAGACCACCGTCGCTTTTGAAGAGACTCAAACTAAGAAATCGAAGCCCGCTCCTGCCCCTACGGAACAGACTACGAAAACAAACGGCCGCTCTTCCGCTGCTCTGCAGGCCGAGACCCTTCAGATCATTGCGGGTTCCTACGACCAAGTGCTACACGGCATGACAGCTTCTTTTCACAGCAGCCCCGAGTGCCAATTCTCCGACACCTTCCTCTTCAACGCTCACAGCTCAGCCATCCGCTGCGTGGCCGTGTCGCCCGTCTCGGCCCCGATCCCCGGGCAGGCGCAAAAGGTGCTGCTGGCGACGGGCAGCACCGACGAGCGGATCCACGTCTACAGCCTCTCCGCGCACCCGCCCCCCCGCGACGACGAGCGGAGCCGCGCGCAGCTGGCCGCCGTGGCGTCGCGGCCGATCCGCGAGAACCCCAAGAACCGGGAGGTGGGCACGCTGCTGCACCACGCGTCGACGGTGACGGCGCTGCGCTTCCCGACGCGCGGCAAGCTGCTGTCTTCGAGCGACGACTCGACGATGGCGGTGACGCGCACGCGCGACTGGTCGGTGCTGAGCACGGTCAAGGCGCCGATCCCCAAGGCGCACGGGCGGCCGAGCGGCGACACGGCGCCGTTCGGCGGCGCGCCATCGGGCGTCAACGACTTTGCGATCCACCCGAGCATGAAGGTGATGATCAGCGTGAGCAGGGGCGAGCGCTGCATGCGGCTGTGGAACCTGGTGACGGGGAAGAAGGCGGGCGTGCTGAGCTTCACGCGCGACATGCTAGTGCAGGCCGGCGAGGGCAAGCACGCGAGCGGCGAGGGCAGGCGGGTGGTTTGGGGCAGCGCGGATGGCGCGGACGAGTTCGCGGTGACGTTTGACCGCGACGTCATCGTGTTCGGCATGGACAGCGTGCCCAAGTGCCGCGTGATGCCGTTCAAGTCCAAGTTGCACCAAATCGCCTACCTTAGCATAGGCGGCGCCGGCCAGGCGGAGGAGGAGGAATCGGTCATGGCAGTTTCCACCGAGGACGGCCGCGTGCTGTTCTTCTCGACCAAGACGGACGACCTGGAGCGGCTGGAGGAGGAAGACGGCGAGGGCGACAAGATGCCCCTCGCGAGACTGGTCGGGCAGCTCGGCGGCCGGGACGCCGGTGTGACGAGCCGCGTCAAGGACTTTGTGGTGCTCCGCAGCGGTCTCAACGCCGGTGTGCTGTACGTGGTGACGGCGAGCAGCGACGGCAAGGTGCGCGTCTGGACGGTCATGGACGAGGAGCTGCGCAGCGGGGGAGGAAAGTCGGTTGGCGCGCTGGCGGGTGTGTATGAGACGAATAATCGCATCACCTGCCTGGCGGCGTTTGTCATGGTCCCGCGGCCGGACGGCGCCGAGGACAGCGAGGAGGAGGATGTCGATGAGGATAAGGAAGAGGCTAGCGATGATAGCGAGGATGAGAGCGATTGATTATAATTGTATAGATTTAATGAGATCAAAATCAGGCGCATTGTGGCTAATATGTCTCTCATTTTGGTGTGCTACTTTGAGTTGCTCTATAAAGGCCAATCCTGGTTGTTGTGTTCTGGTCCTTGCCACCCCACTCCGATATTGTCTTAGCATACATATCCCGCGGAGACCAACCGGCGCCATCAACCAACCAACAACACCATCAGACATCCATCGTCGGCCTCTCCATTACCATGTCCCACCTCCAGCAGTCGCTGCACTCCTCCAGCGTCGCCGAGACCCTCGCCACCTACGAGACGTGGGCCGCCACCTACGATCGCGACGTCGCCTCGGAAGACTACACCGCGCCGGCGCTCGCCGCCGAGTACGTCGCCCGCGACCTCGGCAGCGCGCAGCGCCTCGCCTCCGCCAGGATCCTCGACGCCGGGTGCGGCACGGGCCTCGTCGGGCAGCAACTAGCCCGGCGCGGCGCGCTGCGCGTCGACGGCGTGGACCTCAGTCCGGCCATGCTGGCCGCGGCCCGGCGGACGGGCGCATACGCGGAGTTGAAGACGGCGGACCTCAGTGGGCCGCTGGAGTTGCCGACGGGGTCGTACGATGTGCTGACTTGCGTCGGGACGCTGACGCAGGGCCACGTTGGGCCGGGGGCGCTGGATGAGATGCTCCGTGTGGTCCGGAAGGGCGGCCTGCTGGTGGTGACGGTGCGGGAGTCGGTGTGGAGGGAGAACGGGTACGAAGAAAAGGTCAGGGAGATTCTGGCGCGGGGCAGGGCGCGGTTGATGACGGATGACTTTGAAGTACGTCGGGTTGCGAAAGACGTCGACTTGGTATACGTCGTTCTTCAAGTATGACAAGAATCACCAAAGTCCTTGACTGTTATGACCTGATACTGACGCAGTTCTGTGTCAATACAACACTATTGATCTACAATACGTTGTTTGGAGGAGTGCATTGGCCTTTTCCTTAAAATAGTCCCAACGCCTGCGAAGCTGCTGGTCAGGTAAGGCAATCCATCATATACAGATATTTCTGGTTCATAATCCAGTCTACAACATCAAGCTCCCTGGTCCGACTCGTCTCTCGAATCAAACCCTCATCGCCAGGTAGTCCCTGCCACTTCCTGTGGACGTATTTAAAGCTAGCAGCGGCGATCTCCCCAGCGCTGCGCTGAAGCCATGTACGGGCAACCTCGCCGTAGGCGTTGTGATCGAAGAAACGAGTCGATCTATTATTGAACTCTGTCGAGATAAGTACTTCAGCTATACATTTGGTATGCTCGCTAGAAAAGAGTGAGGCATGTGAAGAGTATGGATTATGATTGAGTGATTCTAGCATCAATATTAATCTTCCAAGTAAACAACTCTCGACCCGTCCCAGTGAACCTTTCATGCAGATGCAGCCTTTGCCTTGGCCCATTCTACAGTGCCCTTGACACTATCTAGCACAGTGCCGTGCGACGGCATCCAGCCCAACTCTTCTCTCGTCTTCTTGCTGGACGCCGGGTTATCGGCCATAATGCCAAAGAGGAACCACTCAAAGTGCTCCTGCGCCTGGTCAGCCGGGATCGACTTGACCGGCACGCCCAGCTCCTCCCCGACCCTGGTGACGATGTCCTTGACAGGCACGCCCTCCTCGGCAATCGCATGGAAGATTGATCCCGGCGCGGCCCTCTCCACGGCCAGGCGGTACACCCGCGCCGCGTCCGCAACGTTGCCAGCACTCCACCGGTTCTTGCCATCGCCGACGTACGCGGCCACGCCCGTGCGCAGCGCGTTCTGGACGAGCATGCCGGTGAAGCCCGAGGAGCCGTTGCCGTGCGTGGTGGGCGGCAGGCGGACGACGCTTGCGCGCACGCCGCGGCGGACAAAGTCGAGGCAGACGGTCTCCGAGGCGGCGCGGGTGGTGGCGATGTCGTCGCTCCCGTCGACGATGTCGTCCTCGTGGCCGAGACGGCCTTGGGCGAGCATCATGGTGCCGGAGGTGATGACGAGGGCGCGCGGTGGCGAGGCGGAGGCGAGGGCCTCGCCGATGGCGGTGATTGCGGCGCGGTCTTTGGCGCAGCACTCGGCGAAGCGGGTGAAGTCGTGGACGAAGGCGAGATGGATGACGGCGTCGCAGGCAGAGGCGGCCTGGCTGAGAAGGTCGAGGTCCTCGATGATGCCGCGCAGGGGCTCGGCGCCCTGACGGGTGAGCTGCTCGATGCCGGCGTCGCTGCGGGTGAGGCCGAGGACGGTGTGGCCGTGGGAGAGAAGTTCCTGGACGACGGCGGTGCCGACGAAGCCGGTAGAGCCAGTGACGAAGACGCGCATGATGTCGTTTGGAGAAGAAAGTTGAAAGGGTAGTTGAGAGTTATAGAGTGATGAGGGATGCAAATGGAATGACGATAAAGTCGTGTTTAGTACCTCAGGGAACCATCTCTGTTTATATACTTTGAACAGAGAATGCGTCAACGATCTGCAGCCCCCGAGAAACAACCCGCAACGCACCCATGTCCGCAACGCACCCGACAGGAGGAAGTCACCAAAAGACCAATCATTGCCTCTCAGAGCCGAACCTCAGTCTAGTGTCATGACGCTGGCGGACTCCGGACTCCCGGCTCGCTGATACGGACGTTACAGCTGGCGGATGTAAGATGCGTAGTAATGCCATATTGGCAGATCTACAAATCATCTTTGCAAGAGAGATTATCGGTATCGTCGGTTTTGAAGAGTCCGCGACTTACATGGCAATAGCCAATCAGAGGACTCGCGATCCGACAGCAAGGTTAGTGCGAGCGTTGACGCGATCGGAGATAGATGCAGGTAAACTCCGCTGCGGTGTCTGGGCACGAGGCTTGCGGCGGAGGACTTAGAATGACGTCTGCTTCGCATGCATAACTCATTCCTTGTCTTAATCATCAAATAAAATTCTCCCACGTTTTACTTGCTCTCTTCCCGACTACTCCTCCTCAACCGGAAAGCTAGATACGCCCGATAGCCGTGATGGTGAGGATGGATCCGGCCACCAACACCGGCGCCAGACCGCAGGGCCGACAACGTAGGTCCAGATACGGCTGTCGCAACTGCAAAATACGCAAATTAAAGGTAAATTCAGACCGTTCTCATAGTCTACAGGCCTCATGACTAAATTTCGGCTTTTTAGTGCGATGAAACAAAGCCACACTGCAAAAAGTGCAATGCCTATGGCGTCTTGTGCAACTTTGAGCACAACGTCCGAGATCTCCAGAGCATTACTGAGAAAAAAAGTCAAACCGTCCTGGCAAAAAGCAAATCGTGGCAGCTTCTTCCTGTTATTAGTGAAGCCGTCTGGTCCTCCAATGGATCAACCTGCTTTGTTCTCGACGCTCAGGATCAGGCACTGTTCAAGCGATACCGGGACCGGACCGTCTTGACGATTGGTGGCTTGCCCATGGTGGACACATGGAGTAATGATACCTTACAGGCAGCCTTCCAGGTAAGCTAAATCCTCTACCGTCTCACCGTGATCAGCCAGTGAAGCATGAAGGCTAACGTAGGAAAGCACCCCTGTCTGATGCACGGCATGTTGGCCGTCGCCGCAGCCCACGACCGGTATCTCGGGCTGACCCCCTCAAGTCGTCGCACACTTCGCGAACTGAGCCACTGGTCGCAATGCACCATTCTCTTCGCCAAGATGCTCCGCGGAACGATCAAGGAGGAGTTCAAAGACGCCTGCTGGGCCACCGCCAGCACGCTCGGCATACTGAGCTTCGCCTCCACGAACGTGGACCTGGCCGCGCGGGATCCCTGGCCGCTCGGCCCCGCAGACTCCTCCGACCTGGAGTGGCTGCGCCTCGGCGCCGGCAAGATGAAGCTCTGGCAGCTGCTCGACCCGCTCCGGCCGCAGAGCGCCTGCCAGCCGATGCATCGCGTGCTCCGGCGCATCAGCGAGCCGCTCCCAGAGAGGGGTGCGGACGGCATCCCGCGGGACCTGGCCGAGTGCTGCGGCATGGACGCGTCCTCAACCGCGGACAGCAACGCGTACCACAACATCGCTCACGGCCTGGCGCAGCTCGACGGCTACGACGGCCACGACGGCCAGAAGGGGTACGGCTCGGCGCTGCGGGTTTCGGGGCACATGAGCGGCGCGTTTGAGGCGCGTCTGCGTGAAAAGGACGTCGTGGCGCTGGTGTTGCTGTGTTTGTGGTATGGCAAGGCGCGAGGGACGAAGTGGTGGATAGAGATGAGGGCCAGGTATGAGCATGCGGCCATTCGGAGCTACATTCAGCAGCACCACAGCGAGCATGTGGCCGTGAAAAGTTTACTCAAGAGTTAGGTGCGAATACTGTTTCTGATGAACCTTTCATTTAGTATACGCCAGATGATGTGCTTAAAACGTAGTATCACAAGTGGAAGGAGAAAGTTTACGAAGTGTCGGGAAATGCGTTGGTAGTCATAAATAAAAATAGCGAGCCCCGATCACATGAGAAAATAACTCTGAGTGGTCTAGTTGGTTCATGGCGTTCGACTGTAATTGAATAATTGTCATCGAAAAGTCGGCGGTTCGACTCCGTCCTCGGAGATTCTCTTTTTGTATTTTTGATTGGCGGAAAGTAGTGCCCCGCCACTGTTGCTGGTGCTGGGGGTCTTTTGTCCTTTTTGGCCAGCCTTGCCAAGACGTGCCATACGATGCACTGACATCCATCTTGCTGGTGCCAAAATATGCACCTCACTGACACATGGCGTGAGGTCATTGGCCTGAACAAATCGTATATGCGCGCAATATCATTTCTTTCAATCCGCAGCATCATCACTTCCCTCCAGGAAGAGCTGAGATTCCAAAGTTCTCGTCGCCTCCCTAACCTGAGAAACAACAGCCTTGCCGGCAACGGCTAGCGTCCATGATCATGCACCCAAACCGGGCGTCGACGCCGCCGTGCCGTTTATCCCGAAAACGCGCGTCAGCGGCTTCTTGGGCATCGAGGCACAGATTTAAATTCACGCAGGATCGCTGCTGGTTCCAGACTGAGGACAATCTCGCCTCGTCGTCCCAAGTTGCCTTGACCGCTTCTGCGCCCGCTACCAGTAATGCAACCGTCTGAAGAGCAAGTCGCAGAATTCCTGAGCTTCGCGCCCGAGGCCGGCGAGGGAAGGGCCTTTCTTTTTCTCGAGGCAAGAGACCCTTCAAGGCGCTGCTCGTCCATCGGCGATGCGACACTAACATTGCTGGCTCACAGGGCTCCAACACAGTAGAGGCAGCCGTCACCGCGTACTATGACAACCCGGACAAGTACAGCAGTCCAGCGGTGACGAGTGACAAGAAGAGCAGCAAGGCCCTGCAAGATGTAGGCCCCAAAGGCGGCGATGTGCTGCCAACATATCAGCTCGCGCAGCGGTCACAGCCGATGATACACAACCATACCAATGTCGTAATACAGGCGGCGCATGTCCGCGCTCAGGATGAGGTAGATGAGAGACTCACCTGCAAGTCCCAGGTACAGGCTAACTTTGTCCCCGCGTAGCAAGATATGCAAACCATGCTACAGACTGTTCAGTTTCAATTTAAACTGTACAATCCCGACCTGGAGCCAGAGCATGAGTTTGAGGGATACTGCGACTGCCTCGTGCACCAGTACCAGCGCAGGAAGTGGGATCGGCGAGGAGTGCAGACAATGTGGTCAAAAGCTGTCATGTACCCCGGTAACTGCTAGCTGCCCGCCCTCTACTCTATCCTCCCTCTAACATGAAGACGAATAGGTGAAAAGGCGTACGACAATTGCTACACGACCCAAGTCAACATCTTCTCCAGCAATCCATATCGGTACAATGTCACCTCGCCGTATATTGGCAGAGATTACATGTTCGCAGGATCCTGGACGCCGCCGCGGCCAAGAGCATATCTATACACACAATATGTTAGAGACACGATAGCATTGAACGCACACCTCAATGCAAAAGCCCAAGCAGACATTGATGCTCAGGAGCCCCCGGTGAGCATTTGGCAGGTGGACGAGCTCGCCAAAGCGGCAAGCAACTTGAGCTTGGAAAATAATGGTGCACGGGTCAAACCCCCAGACAACACGCAATGCAGCTCCGAAAAGACTACGAATGCCGAGAAGACTGTCAACACTGAGAAGGCCACGGACGGGGAAAAGAACGTGGGTAGCTCAGGTTCGCAAACCCCGCCGATGGTAGGCTCGTCAAGCGCAGGTAATCGCCAGTCTTGGTTCAAAAAGATCGTTGCGCGAAAGACGCCCGAGCAAAAAGAAGCAAGGCGACTAGAGAAGCTGAGCGCGAGCTGCGGGACCCTGCGCAACGCGATTCTGCAGGAAGAGCACGGACGCTGGCCGACGCAGGAATGGCGACGTCTGGTTGCCGAATACCAGGCCCATGTTGGCATGACGCGCAAGATTGCCGAGCTCCGGGAAAGATACCCAATCCAGTACCTCCAACTACTTCGCGCGGGCTACTTCGAGCCCATCCCCGTGGCGTGGGCCGACCAGGCCTCTAACCCGCTCAAGTTTCGAATCGAGGGGATGGAAGGATGGCGGGGAATCACGCCGACGTGGCGCGGATTCGAAGATACCGCCGAGGAGCGGCTTTATTGGGTGCTGAACCACCGCGAGGGCATGACGGGCCCACGACTGAAGCCAGACATGATCTCGGCGCTTAACATGGCGCGCCAGAGGATGGCGTGTGCCGTCGAGCCGCCGCCGCAATACTTCTCGCAGACCGATACATGCCACCTGCAGCACACGTCGGCGGGCTACTCCAAGCAGGTCATGGCGCCACCGTTTCGGGCGTTTGATGCGCCGGAGACGGCGGCGGACGATACCATGATTCTCCTCGACACTTCAGGATCCATGGACTTTGACCCCGTGAGACCAAACTACAGCGAGTATCTCATCACAGGATACTCGCGATCCACGCAACCGAAAAACAGAGGTGAGCTATCCAGCCAGCTCCGTAGTCGCTTCTTTTCCGCTAACACATCGTGGTAGACGTCGCCAAAGCCATCATCCGCCGCTTCGTCGATGCCATGACCAACCACAGCCACAGCGGGCGCGGCTACCAACTCGTCACCTTCGCCAACCACGCCTCGTACATGGGCGTCGTCAACCACCAGAACCTCGACTCGGTGTGGCGGCAGGTGCAGTTTGGCGGCGGCACGCGCGTCATGACCGGGTGGCAGCGCGTCAAGCGGCTGCATTTTGAGCGGCACCGCGCCTCGGCGACCCACCACCCGGTGTTCGGGTGGCAGGCGGGGCCGGGCACGCCGACGCTCCGGCTGCTGCTGCTGCTCGACGGCGAGGCGACCGACATGGACGAGTTCGAGCTCGACCTGCTGGCCAACGCCTGGGCGCACGTCACCATCTTCCTCATCGGCGTCGACGGCTGCCCGCACCACCACCGCCACGCCAACGAGCTGCAGCGCATCGGCGAGGCGAACCACCACGTGTCGTTTGTCGACGCCGTGGGGAACATGCCTGAGCGTCTGGTGACGCACGAGCTGCTGAAGAGACACCTGGGCTACGAGGTGTCCATGGCCGAGTTTGTGGAGCTGGAGCAGCCGCCGGCGTACACGGAGGTGTAGCGGTGTTAACTGCCAACCCCGCCTGTCGTGCTGCAGCGTAATGCATGCAGCTGTCTTGTGGCCGTCGAACTAGTTGCCTTGTGACAAATGGACCTACCTGGCCATTTCCGTCTTGCATGCTGCCTTGTTGCCCTGCTGCAATGCAATGCTTGCAACGGTCTTGTAGCCGGCCTGTCAGCTGCCTCAGCATGGCCGGATCAGCCCAGCCAACCGCGCCTTGCTGCCTTGCTGCATGCAATGCATACAGCAATATTCCAATCGGCCCACAAACCTGTTGCCTTACTACGGCCGGACCTGCCGGGCCGTCTCTTGCTTGCTACCTTACAGCCCTGCTGCGCTGCAATGCATACAGCGGTCTTGTAGCCGGCCTAACAGCTGCCTTGACCAGACCAGCCCGGCCAACTGCACCCTGCTCGCTGCCTTGTTGCGATGCAATGCATGCAGCAATATTATAGTTGGTCCGCAAATCAGTTGTTCTGCTACGGCCGGACTTGGCCCGGCCGCGCGACCGGGGAACCCTGGGAGTATTCTGTTCGTGAAAACTTACCACGCAATTGGCTGAGATGCTACGATAGTTGCCTACTGCGGAGCTCTGCGTTGTCAGTTTTTCCAGTTCACTCTTCATGTTGGGTCTGCCACAGGTCTCATTCGCCAGTCAACCTGGCCGCGCATCCTGCGACCGCCCCAATCCGGCCATGCCCGCAGAGGGACAGCAAACATGAGCATCCACGGCGGTGGTTGCCTAGAACTTTCTGCATGATGGCTGCGCGATGACTCCGTTGAGGAAGTAGAGATCACGCGGGTGCAACTGGAGCGGGGAGGTCTTCGAAATGGTGTATATAAACCAGTCTGGCCCTCAACCTTTCTACCTACCTCGTCTTCATTCCACACTGAGATTTCTCGTTTCGCTTTCAGAACTACAGACACTTTGAAAACAAGAAAGAAACGCTCTGTTGAGATCAATAGTGAGTTTTGTCGTCGCACGTTGTCACACGGAGTGTTACTGACAGACCCTTGCCTAGCGAAATGTCCGACGACCAGGGTTATCGTTCCTCTCAGGAATACACCGGCGCAATAGTCGAGGTCGACGCAATCGCAGTTTCCACCAAGCAAGTGGAACTCATGGCCGCGATTTCTTCTGGTGAAATGTCGAAGAATCGCCGAGCGAAGCTGGCGCAGCAGAAGACAGCGAAAGCTGAACCGGCGCAGGCTCAACCGGCGCAGGCTCAACCGGCGCAAGCTGAACCAGCTTTCGAATTTGGCGGTGATCCGGCGGTGCTGGCGGCTGTGCTTTCTTCTGGCTCCAAGGCGAAGGGCCGCCGACAGGAAGATGCAAACCGGAAGGCACGAGTCGGTACGGCGGTTTCGGGAAGTGGTGGCGAGCCGGCGAAGACGAGCGGACAGGATCACGCGAGCAAGAATTTACAGGCCAACGAGGGAGGTTTCTTCTAGAGCCGGGGCAAAGGCCAACCGACAGGATCACTAAAGCAAGAATTGACGGGCCAAGAACGAATGTACAGTGGGTGGCAACATGAATGTGTCCCCTATTAGGTATCTCGCCTCTCCTAAGCATCTTAGGTACTTTGTATATCCTAGGTATTTTATATATCTTAGGTATTTATCTTCGCCAACTACCTCAACTATCGTAGGGTTAGGTCAGATACCTAGCCGGGGCCAAATACATGTTGCCACCCACTGTAGAGCGCCGACAGCACTGATACTATGTACAGTACCTATATACATAGGTAGTTAGTTAGGGTGGCGGTTCCACTACCAACCAGTCTTCAATTCGACTTATCCTATTCATAAAGCTTTCTAAGGGTTGTTCTGTACTCCTCAAATTCTACTAACTTCCTTTGGATAGCTTCTCTTGAATCTTTACACCAGAGCTTTGTTAGTATCTCGTCAGTAGCGCTAGTCATTGCGAGTGAAAAGTGTCCAGAAACGTGCTCCAATACGAGATGGAAGGCGGCGTTAACCGAAGCCAGGCTGTGCCAGAACCAGACCCCCTTTGTAGTCCACATCTCTTCCATGATGGTCGATATTGGCCATGCTAGTCTATACTCTGCTTCTCTCTCCCGAAGGATTTCCATAAACTCTCGTCGCAGCTTCTCGTACTCGGCCAACTTCTGTCCCTCAATGTCGGAGATCGTGCCACCGCTTAGCCAGTACGGTATCGCCAGGTTTTCCACAGGCAGCGCCGAGATGTATTCGAGGTCAAACAGGCAACTGATCTTCCAATCGTCGTCGACGAAGAAGTTTCCAGGGTTGAGGTCGGTCAGCTGCATGAGAAAGGGCCCGTTCCTGTACTGCTTCTTTATGTAATGATGGGCGACCGCTCGCAAAAATACGCGCGTTCCCATTTGGCCTAGGCAGGCCGTTTCGGTATCGCTGGCTGCGATTTGTGCACGGTAACTTTCGTCTAGGAGCGTGATCATGTCGGAGACGAAGGGCTCCGTGCAGGTGTACGTCTGGCCCGCGGGCACCGTGCGGGGAGCGCCTTGGCCTTCCAAGATGGAGGTGCCGGCGAAGACGGCACGGCCGTCGAGGCTGATGGTGCAGTCGTTGTTGAAGCGGAAAGAGCCGATCTTGGGCTGCGGGACCTTGGCCAGCTCGAGGATGATGTTGGACAGGCCGGTGAAGAGTCGCTTTCGACAGAGGGGATCGGCCAACTTGGCGAACCAGTCCTGGGCGGGCAGCCGGCCGGTCTCAGGGCCGATGAACTCGAGCAGCATGTAGTGAGCCGGGAGGCTAGGTGATGCATTGGTTGAGACATATTTTGAGGGCTGCGCGCCGTAGAATCTCCGCGAAAGCCAGTATCGGATCGCGTGGAGGAGACGCGAGTACCAAGGCCGCGCAGACACGTGTGTGAACTGATGTCCATCAGCTGTTGGTCCAGATGGCAATGAGCAAGTTCCTTTTCTTTTATTCATCTTACATGGTGTGCTGACGATCCGAAGCCGTACAGGTGCGGGATCCGAATACTCGGGCAACTCTCCTGTATCCAGACATACGCGCCAACTTCGGTGCGAAGCTTCTCATCCAGACTGCCCGGGTACTTGTGCTCGGCGATCCTGAAGGCCATGGGACACTTCATGAGCAGCTTCTTCTTCTCCGCGCCGCCCCGCAGCTGCACGTCGATCGGGACGCAGACGTTGAAGCCGCCGGAGAGCCATTTTTCGGGAGGGTACACGGTGACGGCGTCGGTTGCGGTGCCGAGACCCAGGTGGTGGCTAGCCAACGCGGCTATGGAATCGCGTTGGCGCGATAGCTCCGCTGTAAAGGCGTTTTTGGCGTGAAGCTCCTCATGGCAGTGGATGACGTTGAAGGTTTCTTGCAGCGCGTCCTCGTAGGTGAGGGACTCATTGTTGAGGAGGTCTATTTTTGAGGGCATCACGGCGAATGAAATCGACAGGCGGTGATGGTTACCATGGCGTGAATTGAAAAGGCCAACAATAAGTTGAAATAGGGGCTTTGTACATGCAGCATGTTGGAACGAGGCTGAGATTACTAAGGCGAAGCCTACATACATGAGCCCCTTTATAGTGGCTTACCCCCTGTAGCCGGCCCGTCTTTAGGCAGCTCGGTCCCTGAAAACAAGGCGAGATCCGTTAGTCAGGTACCAGAGCATTGATATTAGGTATCCGTCAAGGCGCGTGGAATTGTAAATATTGCATCTTCAACTATTTGCCAACTTTCCATAGATCGAATGAGAAACGCCAATCTCAATGTGTAGCTGCCTGATTGCTACCCTAGGCATGCGACTCAACCTCGACGGCCGCCCCTACCTACATAGTTACCTGCCGTTGGACGTCCTCTCCGAGTGAATCCGAGTGAATGTCCGCAAAGCCTAACCTTCAACATACTATGTCTCATCTGAAATCGCCAATGGTTATGAGGCCGCCGTTCTTACAGCCTTAGTTATTAGTGCCCAGGACTTGCCCCTTGGACAGCCTCAGTGCCTCAGTGGCGCAGCATGATGCTATCGACGTTGCTGCCTAGGCAAACGGCGTTTACACCAGACATGCTGCTGTGTCGAGATTTGCAGAGGCGCGGACACAAAAAGCATGGAAGCCGGCTCCTTTCCGGGCTTTGGAAAGCCCCTTGACTATTGACCCTCTCCCGGCGACCGGTTCCCTACACTTCTCGAAGACGACTGGCGGGCCGCGACGTTGACGATCCGAGAGCTGTTCATGCTCTGGTTTACCGAGCAAGTCACCAACAAGCCGCATTGGCAAACCAAAGTTTTTTACGATGCCATCGTCGAGAAGTGGAGGGCCAAAGTTGCTCACGTCGACTAGTTCAAGGCCGCCGGCCACCGACACGAGTCTCCCTGCTCGGACGCCATGTGGGAATATGTCCGTCTCTTCCGCGCGCCAATTCTTCCGTTGAAATCTGCTCGCTAACCGGGTAAGTATCTGTATATGGTACGGGAGATGCGGAGTAAGGCAAAGCTATACGAGGAATCAGACATGATTCCTGTGTTCGACGCCTCGGCTGATCAAGTCCGACGTTGTCATTTCCGCCGAACTCAACCAAAAACTGAGGGCTGCTGTCGCGCCCCTGGAGCAACTACCAGAGACTCAAAAAGACTGGCATCCTCGGAGTGATGGTAAAGTTCTCGACTTGATACACCCCTCATTCTGGCCTCTCATCTATGGACGAAGTCGCATTGTCACTAATAGGCCTGTCATCCTCGAGAACTGTCTTCGAGAATGCGGCTTGGGCAAGGTCCTTCCGGAACATGCTACAGAAAATACGTAACAGAACATGCATCCACAGAGAGTTTACAGAGATAAACAAAAGCCTTGGTCAGACCGCTTTCAATGGCTACCTTGCGACGTTGAAGTCAGCGGTTCGGCGGCCAAGATTGTCAGCTATATCAACAACCTCCATCCTGCTCGCCATTCGGACCTCTACAATGTAATTGAGAAAAATTATAGAAAAGATTCTGTCTCTTCTCTTTGGGACCTCGTGTATCGTTGGCTGAAGAACTTTGCTCGGCTTCGAATTCCCTGCCCTCGAGTAGGAAGACAATGTACCGTGCCTGAGATATGCAGGGGCAAGCGTCGGTATGGGTGCGACACGTCATCACGCCCGTTGGAAGATGGCGAAGACAAGCGACCAGAGTGGCAGGAAGGACTACCGTCGTCTGTATGGCAATCACCCGCTGGCAGCAAAGGGCTCTACTTGGTTCAACGCAACACACCCCTTGGCACAGCCAGAGCCACGACCATACGAGAAGGAAGAGTCGATCACTGCGGAGAAGCTTCGTTACTTCAACTTCTTTCCCGCGGGCGAGCCTGGTAGACCCGAGGAGCTCGGATGGTCGGCGGACCGCATCCAGGTAATTGTCAAGCTGGCAAACATTCATCTCACCCCCGAATAGCCGACCTACGACGGCGGCACCTGGCACGTTGAAGGCCAGTTGAACGAGCACATTTGCGCCACGGCTATTTACTACTATGACTCAGAAAACGTCACCCCGTCGCATCTCGCTTTTCGCACACGCGCCGATCGTGAGAGCCTCATGATGGACCTGAGCTACGAGCAGGACGACTACGAGTCCATCGCGGCGACGCTTGGCATCAACGCCCAGGGCGATACGCTGCAAGAGCTCGGCAAGTTTCTCACTCGTCAGGGTCGCCTTCTCGCATTCCCCAACGTGTACCAGCATTGGGTAGGGCCGTCCGAGTTGAAGGATAAGTCGAAACCGGGGCATCGCAAGGTTTTAGCCTTGTTCCTGGTCGACCGCAAGATACTGGTTATCAGTACGGCCTGCGCGCCGCCACAGCAGGCTCACTGGTTGTCCGGCAATGATGGGAATGTGCCGAAAGAGTGGCCCATCTCGCTTGAAGAGGCCAAGCAGACGAGACTTGAGCTGATGGATGAGAGGACGGCAGTAGAGAGTGCTGCAGATGAGGCTCTACGGGATGATCAGTGGAACTTCTGTGAACACTGAAGAGCAGTCACCCAAAATGCTTAATGCCATCTTTGGATATGTACACTGCGATATTGTTATACTTGACACCGCAGCGTGATCTATCCGTGCTTTCGATACCTGGCGCAAGACAACAGTCGCGGACTCTTTCCGGCGATTCGGTCCTATTTCTTACCAAAATTGGGAATACGTTTTGCCCGATTTCAGTGCATACTGCTTAATCATGAGATTTATCTTTCTCTAGGTGTAAAGCAGTTCCAAGGTATGTGCCCTGCCAGTGACGTACGACTTCACTAATGCCAGAACTCGTCAAAACAAACAACAAAATGGCGGCTCAAGCTCCAGGAACCTTTTCATCAACCACAACACTGGTGTGTCACTTGGCGCTTACGCCACCACTGCAATTTCAGCGCTGTCGTGCCTGTTAAAGTCACTTTTTAGATGTAAACACGGTGTTCCTGGGGTGGGTGATTGACGTTATGTTAGACTACTTCTAGCTAAGCACTCGTATCAGGTATTCTAGTTGGGGCGACGGTAATCTTTGCGAGATTCTTTTCGATACTTTGGCTCGCGCATTGCTTGACCGCCTTTATAACTGCACAGTCCTTATTAACAGTCCTCAAGCTCGGGCTGCTGGTCGGCGGTCTCGGACTCGGATGGGGTCGCCTCCTCCTCCTTCTCCTCCGGCTTCGCTGGCTGCTCGCCCTTGATGCACGCCTCCGTCGCCTCCTTCCGCTTCTTCTCGCAGTCTTCCTTCGTCTCGCCCGACTTGTTGACGAACCTGTCCTTCATGCACTGGGCAAAGATGCGGTTGCCCGGGACGGCACACTCGGCCTTCTTCTTGTTGGCAGCGTCCTTGTCAAGAATCTCTCCGCCCACCTCCTCGACGTCGAGGCAGTCCTGCTTGGCGTCGTCGCGCTCCTTGTTGCAGCGTTCGCGGAGTTCCTGGATTTTGGCCGCGGGCATGAAGCCCTGGCCGCGTGCCTCGAAGCACTTGTCGAACACGGCGACGGACGCCTGGAGGCAGATGGCCTCCTTGCTGCCTGCCTCGGGCGCCTTGGGGTCAGTGCCAGGCGGTGCGGCGAGGGCGTGTCCCATGAGGGCGGCGAGGACAATAGTAGCGGCTTTCATGGTGGGCAAGGTGGCTTGCGTGTATTAAAAAAAAAAGAAGTAGGATATGTAGCTGAAAGATGGTGATCTTGTTAAGAAGTGAGTGACTTGAATGACTTGAACGAGAGAAGCGGTTGCGTTGGATACTTCTGGGCAAGCTCTAACCCGGTTGATGCCATCTTTTATATCTTCACTTGCTGCGTACAAAGACATGGGTTATCCTTCTTTCCATCTAGCCATGAGTCGCAAGAACATCTAGAATTGCCCAGAAGGGCCGAATGCATAAGGTGACGCCTGTGTTCATCTTAGTCATGGATAATTCCCCTGGCAGCATATAAAGTGTTGACCATGTGAGGACAGCCAGCCCAAGACCCATGACAGAGTATTGTTTATTAATGCTACAGAGCCAAGTATTGCTGGTACGGTGTCTTATTAGGGGTTGCAGTGTATGCGCAGAGAATGACTTGCATCCGTGATAATCCATCACCACGTTGTAAGTGGTTCAGGTCCTTGATACGTGAATCACGTCGTGCCCACTGCATGAGATCTAGGCGCACAAGCCAGCAAGAGTACTAAAGTTTATTCTACCAGGGAACCAATAAATATGTGCAGTTCCTGTAAAACAACGCGTTTCACGTCATGGGCCACAACCACACACGTTGATTGTCTGACTTGTATATAATGATTGTGGATAACCTTATGCTGTGAACTTGAGTCGCGGAAAGCTGAGCCTCCCCAGTCACCTATCTACATTCAAGGCAACCTTGCTAGATCTATCAGGGATCTTGAGACAATCCCTAGTAGCGTTCGCATAACTTGCAACATTTGCATAACTTGCAGCATTTGCATAACTTGCAGCATTTGCATAACTTGCAGCATTTGCATAATGCAGCATTTGCATAACCTCCTAACACTCCCATCTTTGGAAGGATAACTATGTAGGCATTACTCATGTCGGGGTTAAGCGGTTGTGGCGCGGAGCTCGTGTGGAGCGTTCCGAACTTGGAGCACGCGTTCCGCTGAGAATATCTTTTTAGCAAGCAACGTTACCTATGTATGTACATACTAACATACATACATACATAGTTATTAGTAGGGAAGCGCAAAGGGGACAGAACCTTGTGAGGACGTCCTCGCCCAAAGGCTAGGACTACATAGCCACTTGTTTAGTAGTAAGCTTGTTTGTTCGGAAAACCGTTGACGCTCTCATCTTTTCGTTTTCTAAATCTCCCTCTTTTGAGGTCGCTTAGCAGCCCACGCAGGATTTGCGCTACTGCCTACATCCATGCAACATGCTGTAGCTTTGACACTGCAGTTCGAAATTTGGCCCTTAGCCTCAGCGCTTGCGGAAGAGCCAAACATGCCGAATCAATACGCAATAAAAGTAAACCTGCAGTTGTCTGGAGTCAGCCGTAATTATGAAAGTTCGAAATCTCCTCTTTCTCTGGGTGTAAAGCAGTTCCAAGATACCTACTAATGTACAGTACTGTGACCTGCCAGTGACATACATAGGACCTCACTAACACGGCCAAGATGCCCCGCAGCCAAGCTTTGGCGGGGTCTCGATACTCACAATTGCCCAACCCAACATTCAAGCGTCATCTTTCTTCTTTCATCAACCAATAATCCCTGGGATCTTCCTGATTCTCCCGGTCCTCGACATCTCAAAATGCCATACCCGTTTGTGCTCCCTACCACGTCGGCGTTTGCCTTCTCCAACGCCTTCGCCTGCGACTCCCATCCCTCGCTGCCGCTCAGCGCCAGCACCTACCGCGGGGTCGTCCGCGACGCCCTCAAGAAGCACAAACGCCTCGCCGCAAGCGCGCAGAGCTCACACCTCGCCGTCGTCGTGTCCAGCATCGAGGCCTACCTGCCTTACCTCCTCGCCATCGACGCCGGCCTAGCGCGACGGCCGGCCGGCAGTTGCACAACCAACCAAAACATCACCGTCGCGATCAAGAACGCGCTGCTCATCGAGTGGCGGCCCACGCTCTCGGGCGAGGTCGTCCCGGGACGGGAGCGCACGCGGGTCAAGGTTGCGAGCCTGGAGCACGAGGTATTCTTCACGCTGTCGACGCTGGCGTTTGCGCACGGCGCGACGGCGCGCGCGTGCCTGCAGCCGCTGTACTCGACGACCGGCAGCATCCTCAGCACCCCACAGCGCACCACGGCAATCACCACGGCAACGAGGCATCTGCTCGAAGTCGCCTCCATCTACGATCATCTCGGGCGGCGGGGCGACGTGGTGGCGACCCCAGGGCCGCCACCCCCGCCGTGCGTGGACGTGAGCCCGTCGACCGCGCGCGCGCTGTCGTCGCTCGCGCTGGCCGAGGCGACGCTCCTCGCCATCCTCAAGGACGACCCGTACCCGGCGGCCGTCGCGCAGGACCGAAACGTCAACGACACCGAGTGGATGTACAAGGCGCCGGACATCCCCAAGGTGCGCGCCCACCTGTTCGCGCGCCTCGCGCTCGCGGCGTCCGAGCACGCCGCGCAGGCCCTCGCGCTGTGCCACGGCGCCGCGGCGGCGCCGGGCGTCAACAGTCGAGTCAGCGCCGGCTTGGTCCGGTACGTGGAAGACCTGCGGCGCACGAGCCGCGCCAAGGCCTGCCGCTTCTTCGGCATCGACGCGGAGCTCGGCGGCGAGACGGCGGACGGCATCGGCTGGGCGCGCGCGGGCCTGCAGGAGCTGGGTGTCGACGTCGCGGAGAGGGGGAAGAAGAGTGGTGGTGGCGGCGGGTTGGGGCTTGGGAGGTTGAAGAAAGAGTTCAAAGAGCGGAGGGAGGATCGCAGGGTGGACGGTGACGGTGCGGCCTGGGGCTCTGATGCGGGCAAATTGGAGGAGACGAGGATATTGGAGCTGCTGGACGCGAAATGGAGCAAGATTAATGACACGGTAAGAAGAAGCACACATTGCTTTACGGGGGTGCTCGGGCGGCTGATGCTCTATCCCAGATGAACACAAAGGCAGTTCCGCCGCCGGCGACTCTGCTGCCAAAGATGCCTTCCGGGCGCGACGTACATACGATAAAGCCATACGTGCCTCCAGCGCTCGGCGCGGATGTGCTGGAGGCTATGAGGGCGCCGCCTGCGCACGAGGATAACCAGGATGGTGACTTGAGCTCAGACGCAGATGAACCAGGACCGTCAAATCCGCCGGGAGCCTATCCTGGAGCCGATTACTCCGGTGGTCGGGCGACAGGAAGCTCCTACTACTAGCCATGTGGGTGGAGGATTCCTAACTTTTAATCCAGGGAACCAAGCTCATCATATCAGTATGCCCAAGGTATACAGCGACAATGTATAAATTTGTATTCAGGTAGGAAGGCAAGTTTGTTCATCAGGCGTTACGCTGTTCATTTACACTTTTGGTTAGGTGCCAATCGTCATCTGACATCCATTCGAAGTAGCCGACCCTCCGGCTTACAATTACTTGGTGGCAACGACCGTGCGAAGAGTCGTCGTCGAGGGGCACGGAGGCTTCGAGAAGGTCGGCCAGGGCTTGCAGTCGGGGATGCAGCTGCATCCAGGCTCCGTCAGCATCACAAAAGCCAACGCTCATCGCGGTCAGGAAACAACTTACCCGCCGTACATCATGCCGCACTCGTTCACGTAGTCAATACAGATGGTGCGCGTGCGGCAGTCGTCCACGGAACTGGTGGTGGTCGTTGTCGGGGGCGCCGTTGTGGTTGTCGGGCAAGGCGGCTTGGAAAAGGTTGGCCAGGGCTTGCAATCAGGCACGCATCTTTGTTTGTCTCCGTGTCAGCAAACCAGCACAGCAAAGGAGGAGGCGTTGTGCGAGGGGCTTACCCGCCATACATCATGCCGCACTCATTCACGTAGTCCAGGCAGATGGTCCGGGTACTGCAGTTGTCCTGAGTAGGCGTGGACGTGGGGGGTTTGGTGGTGGTTGTCGTCGTGGAAGGGCAAGGAGGCTTGGAAAAGGTCGGCCACGGCTTGCAGTCAGGCACGCATCTGGTTCCTTTGGCGTCAGCGACATGTATGCAGATACTTGTGTATAGAAGGAAGGGCGACTTACCCGCCATACCAGATACCACATTCGTTGACGTAGTCGAGACAGACGGTGCGGGTGCTGCAGTCGTCCTTGGTCGTCGAGGTTGTCGGCCTGGTTGTGGGAGGCTTGGTCGTGGTGGGCGTGATGGTCTTGATAGTGCAAGCACCGCCATGCTTCCCATTGGCCGTGGCCAGAGCCGCAAGAGCGACGAGGGCAGTTATTTTGGCGATCATGTTGTTAGTTGACAATGGGTTTGCAACGACGGGGTGTGATGAGCGAGTGGATGTATGCTTGACCTATATAGATGCAAGAACAAAAGGGTCCGGGGGTGGGAATCTGGGGAGATGAAATGAATGGGAGGATCACTTCTCTTAAATGAAAAACAGGGAAACATTTTAGCTCCGTCTGCTGAGAGCCAGCTACAACACAATGGTACATAGGTAGGGCTGTTCGTCAACTGGTAGACTTGTAAGACACTGTCGCACGCTTGGATGGCCCAACTAGCGCAAACTTCTTGGCATTCCATCACGGCAAAGTTGATGGGCTTGATTTTATTAGGGCAGGCTGAAAAGGGGCACCAATCGCCAGAAAGAGGTAGTGCGCCGGCCATCGTCGTTGCTGCCACTTTGAGCGGCATTGCGGCGATGGCTTGCGTCCAGTGCGAGAGAGACTAGCGCATGCACCGACACGGGCTTCAACTTGCAAGTGAAGTGAGATGCGCCCCCTCTCCCGTATCTGGGAACACGAGAAAAGGCCTCATGACGCGCTTGGAGGGCGGTGGTCAGTTGAACCGAGAAGAAGGGGAGAAACGGGCATTTTCACAAGGCTGCAAAGTAGTAGGTGGGCACGGAGCGCGCAGAGAAGGGCCCGAGCTGGACTTCGAAGTGGTGGATTTCAACGACAAAGTCGAGACGCTCACGGGCTGAATGAAGCATTGACATGGCGTCGCTGCCGGGTTCGGGCTGTCGGGGCTGAATGGCAGGCATGTGCCTTGTCCAACGGCATCACAGATTCCCGTTTCCTCATCAGCAGCCCAGCAGCAATCAACACTTACTCAAGCATGGAATAACAGAGCTTTCTGTGGAGGACGCAGTACGGATAACTACGCTGTGGTACGACGTCGCGAAAGCCAAACTGAGGCAAGCGACGGTTAGAAGAAGATGGATTGTGTAATGTGAACAAAGGCAAGTAGAGTGAACAAACAAGGGACAAGAAAAGTAGGTTAAAGATAAGAATTGCGCTAAAACGGCAGCTCGGACAGCCACCGCAAAGCTGAAAGTAAGTACCAGGAGACAATACGAAGGTCTTCTCCAGCCATGAATAACTAGTCAATCCTGTTAATGCGGACTGGCAAGCCTCGTTGGGGGCGGGGCCATTTCTTATTATAGACATTATATTTGCCTGCAAGTCGATGTATTTGAAAGAGAATCTTGATGAAGACTGACCTTGGACTTCCTTTGTCCCCATCTTCGTTACTGGTCGGGTCTCGCGGGCACGACGGCTTGGCTGAGATCGAGAAGGGAAGTTGCCGGATGATAGGCTCACAAATTAATCAATGATTAGCAGCTCTGGTGGCTTCCAAGACTGTCAGTCTCAATTTATCATGTGCTTTTCTTGGTGCATTTGCAGGATTTCGTATCGGACCCAAGAGCTGAAAGCCTCGCCAACGGAGAGCAAGGCGGGCGGGCTTCCTGCAGACAGGGTGCATTGAGAGTGGTGTGTGTCATGGCAGAAGGAGGAGGTTGGGTGCATGATGGTGGACTCTCATCTCCATGGTAATGCATGGTGCTGGTGGATTTCTGTTGATTTTTTGATCGTGCGTGCATCATTTTCATCTCATTCATTCAGTCATGCATCTTTGCTTGCAGTCTCATCACCCGCCTTGATCAACGTCTCACTCAGTTCCTCGCTCAGCTAAATGCAACTTCCATTCTTTACACCCATCAGCACTTTTATTGGGCCATTTTCACCCGCAGCCTTCTTTCCATATTTATGTTTGATTTTATGCATCTAATAAATGCCTACCTCCCCCTCACTCACCGTTGTGCTTACCTTTCCCAGCATCCTCGAGTCTATGACCCCCTGCTGCAGCCCGCTGACAAACAGCGCCACATGATTTTCATATTCACATTCTCATTCTCATCCTCATTCTCAGGACGATTCTTCGCCAACATCCTTTTTAAACGCATTCATTCATTCACCGCATACACACCTTTTTTTTTTCCGCTTCTCTACATCGCCTCTTATCGCCCTCCCTTATGTAATGCCGCCAAAAAGCGCAACCAGCGCCAGACTCCACCAAAGCAAAAAAAAAAAAAAAATGGCGACAAGGCATAGCAAAAAGCAGGGGCGGAAAAAGGATTGGCTACCTATGCTAGGCGGATCATGAACGAAAAGGTCCGCCGGGAAGGCTAGCATCGGGACCGGGATTGCTTCCCTTTTTTTTCCTCTTCGCGCAACTGAAACCTCCTCCTCATCCATCTCCGTCAACGACGCCCCCGGATCTTACGGACCGGCCCTCCCCCATCCTCCAAGCAGCGGCTCTCGGTTCGGTCCTCGAGTTTCCCTTACGTCACTCTTTTCGGTTTTCCATGGCGGCGTCTGCTGCCAGGCTCGCCCTTGCGACGCCCATCCACGGTATGTCGTCGCTTTACCTTGCCAGCAGTCGCCCTTGCCAGGTCGCCCCGGCTTCCTTTTGCGCAAACGCCGGCACCAACCCACACCGTCGATCAACATGCGCGGCCTTCTAACTCGTCGCACAGCACAGGTGGCGCGTGCCCGGTTTCTCCGGCCGCTATCCCCCTTGTCTCAGCGCAGCCGCAGCCCAACCGTGACGACGACGACGACGACGGCGACGACGACGACAGCAGTCCCCGCGACGATAGCGGCGCCCAGTATGCATCATCGATCCTACTCTTCCTCCACCTCCCCCTCCTCATCAACACCATCTTCCACCACCGCCTCCCCTATATCCGCCAAGAAGCCGCGCTTCTCCTACCACATCGCCGCCTCCTTCATCGCCAAGGACCGCCCGTTTGACCCGTCCACACACGTCTTCCACTTCAACCCCTACAACCGGATACAGCCGCCGGCGCGCCACCGCCGGCGCTCCTCGCGACCCGAGTCCGGCCACGACGCCTTCTTCGCCTCGCGCGCGCAACACGACAGCAGCAACAACAACGGCGCCGGTGGCTGCGGCGCCGTCGCGTTCGGCGTCGCCGACGGCGTCGGCGGCTGGGTCGACTCCGGCGTCGACCCGGCCGATTTCTCCCACGGTCTGTGCGACTACATGGCCTCTGCCGCATGGGAGCACCCCCCAACCCCCGAGACCACCACTACCACCACCACGCTCACGGCCCGCAAGCTGATGCAGCTCGGCTACGACGCCGTGTGCGCCGACACCTCGGTGCGCGCCGGCGGCAGCACCGCCTGCGTGGCCGTGGCCTCGGCCGACGGCCTCCTCGACGTGGCCAACCTCGGCGACTCGGGCTTCCTGCAGCTGCGCCTCAACGCGGTGCACGCGCACTCGGAGCCGCAGACGCACGCCTTCAACACGCCCTTCCAGTTGTCCGTCGTGCCGCCCGCCGTCGCCGCCCGCATGGCCGCCTTCGGCGGCACCCAGCTCTGCGACCTGCCCCGCGACGCGGACGTCTCCCACCACCGCCTACGCCACGGCGACGTCCTCGTCCTCGCCACCGACGGCGTCCTCGACAACCTCTTCAACCAGGACGTCCTGCGCGTCGCCGGCCGCGTCATGCGCGCCGCGGGCGCGTGGACGCGCGCCGACGGCGACGATGCCGGCCAGGTCAGGGTGGCGGACGACCTGGAGGCTGTCGTCCGCGGGCCCCTGCAGAGGACGACGACGATGCCGCCGGGGAGCGGCAAGGGGGGTCCGGAGCGCGCGGTCACGCTGCAGAGCTTGCTCGCGACGGAGCTCGTCCTCGCGGCCAAGCGCGCGAGCGTGAACACGAAGCAGGACGGGCCCTTCGCCAAGGAGGTACAAAAGTACTACCCGCAGGAGAACTGGCACGGCGGCAAGATTGACGACATTTGCGTCGTCGCCGTCGTCGTCGTCGAGGATCCCGTGTCTACGAGGAGCAAGCTATGATTCTGCTCCCCAGCTTCCTCCAACCAGCCATTTTGATCTTGTCAAGAATTCGTTCTGATTGCTGTATGTTCTATGTACTAGGCATTTTCGTCTTTTTGGGCATCTAGGAGTTTTTTTCTTTTTTTTTTTTTTCCAGCACCCTTTTTGGGTGGTGTTTCTTTTTAGAACTTTTAGACGGCTGGGCATTTAAGACGCAACAACGCAAGTATTCGGACGGCGCGATAGCATTGCCCGCATTTAGCCCTATTTCTCTTATTTTCTCTTCACCTCAAAAATGAATCGGTGGGTTTTAGTGGTGTACGGGGAGTTGCCTTGATAGAAGGGGACTCAACACTAGTTCAATGAAACAAGCATCCTACCATGCCTCGGTTGCATGTTTACTAAAGACCCGTTACTAGACACCCGGAACCATGGCTGAGCATAGATTGATTCACTCCGCACAGATCTATCATTAAAAAACTGAAAGGATTAATTCGCGATCCACTTTGCAAGGGGTTCCGGGCCCGTCTAGATCGGTGGCATCGGATGTCGTTTTCATGATGTCATGCACTTGCTGCAACGGGCAATAGTGTACTAATACGCCGCAAGTAAGGCGCGGTAGCCACTGTCGCCAACTTTCATTGTGAATTCAAAGCCCAATGATTTCAATGCCATGGATATATACGTGGTGCGTATTCACAGGCTGGCCATAACGGCGCCCCAGGTGCAATGACTGATGGTGGCTAGGCGGGCGCGTTGGCTGCCTTTACGGTAGATATGCTCATATACCCGTTCGACACTCTCAAAACAAGACGACAGAGCCAGGATTACCTCAAGAGCTACGCACAAGCCGGCAAGAATAGCGCACTGGCTTTGCGAGGACTATACCAGGGAATTGGAAGCGTCGTTCTGGCCACCTTGCCCGCTGGTAAGTTGTTGGAGCTTGCCCAACTCTTGCCCAACTCAGACAGGGACTAATATGAGTACACCGCAGCCGGTGTCTTCTTTTCTACGTACGAACTGTTCAAGACGACAATTTCGAAGTCGTCATTAGTACCTTTGCCAGTGGTGCATTCTGTCGCCTCTGCTACCGCGGAGGCGGCCTCTTGCTTGGTCCTTACACCTGCAGAGCTGATCAAGCAACATGCACAGATGATACGGTCGCAAGGCGGTGACAAGACGCGATCAACATCTCTACAAGCGTTTCGGGGACTGTACGAAGCCGGCGTTGGACGGCGACTTTTCACGGGCTACACGGCGCTTCTCGCACGGAACTTGCCATTGACGGCAATGCAGTTTCCCATCTTTGAGCACTTGCGTGCAAAGATATGGGCGACTAGGCCGCGACGAGAGCCAGGACACCAGCGGATCCTGGAGACGGGGGTTATCGCGGGGGCGAGCGCAGCGACGGCGGGAGCCCTTGCGGCGTTCATCACGGCGCCCAGCGACGTGGTCAAGACACGGATGATGCTCCTGACGGGCCGCAGCAACGGCGCGGACACCCTCTACAGAGGTGGGCGAGATCAGATGGCAGCGGAACAGCAGCCTTGGCGGGTGGCAAGACAAATTTATGCCGAAAGCGGGACGAAAGGGCTGTTCCGAGGAGGTGGCTTGCGCTCAACGTGGACGGCGGTTGGCAGCGGGCTGTATCTCGGGACGTACGACGCCGCCAAGCTTTGGTTGACTGGCGGCAAGGACGCAGATACGAAATCTAGATAGATCTGGAATGCGGAAAGGTAGCCTGGATGAGGTAGCGCAAGGCAATCAATCGGCGTTGGATGTCGCCTTTAAGTTGGTAGCAGCTGTCACTGGTACACCGCAGGGAGCAACAGAAATTGAAATGATTGCACATCATGGTTCGGCTGCATATATAGTATGCAGCAGGATTCAAGCCACGCTGAGCAGGCACATTACCGCCGGTGCTGCATCGGATGTGACGGGTATGCAGCAGGAGCATCATCACATTTAGTGGTGGTTGGTCTGACTGAAATTCGTAAGCCGGCTGCTGCCATCAGCTTCATCAAGTCAAGATGTTTTCGGGGGGGCGTCTGTTCAATAAGTAGATCCCACAGTATCCGTAACAGTAGTAAGAATACTGCAGCTTCTCATGTGGCGGGCATTGAGTGTGAGCGGAGGGACGCACAAGCGATGAGCACTGTCGCCCCCAGGATGGTGTCATCCAGGAACCTCCACGCAATGAGCGCTAACAGGCAAAAGAGCATAAGCGTAACCGCACCGGCCGATGATGGGTGGGACTGGCCGCACGTCACATCATTTTTTCCTTTCCTCTTTTCAGTTGGAAACCAAAACAAGTCCGCTCATCTCAATCAAGTTCAGCATGGTGTGTATGGAGTGGCTCACGCCATGCGGGTGAGTTCTCACGCTAAACCTTGTTGCGCTCGCTTGTCTGACTTTTGACGGTGTATGTATCCGTAAAAAGGGTTGCGAAAAGAAAAACAAAGAGAGAGTTTCGTTGCACGGGGAGGTTGCTCGAGTCAGAAAGGCCTGGCTTTCTGGCCAGTTCTTTCCCGCCCAAGCCTTTCTACTCATTTCTGATCAACTTCTGGATTTCTCTCCTCCCCGCAGACCAATGCACGCCGTCTGTCGTGTCGTGTCTCTCCGTCTTCGGGCCCCTTGTTCCCCCCCCCTCCCCCTCCATTCAAGTGCCAATAATGCCACGTCCATTTGGGCTTTTCGCTAAGCACGTAGACTTTAATCCCATGACCATCGGTGTCGGCACACCACCTCAACGGCACTCGGCGCTGCTCCCGAACCCGAACCGGTGCTGTAAAGTCTGTTTGGGCAAGGCTGCAAAGACCCTGCACTGCCTTTTGTGGCGCCGATCTTGGAGAATGGCGAAATCACCCTGCCCGACCGCCTCATCACAATAACTGCACCCCCCTTCGTCTCTCACTTTCATTGCCCGGTAGCCGTCAGGCGTCGAGCCCATCCATGCAATCCATCCACACAGTCCCGCCGCCCGTCTCGTAACGACGCCTGTCGCATCTGTGCATGACTTGCGACTTGTCGGTAGACCGTCCCCAGCGCCGCCAAGGCCAATCCTCCACAAAGTCGATAAAAGTCGTCTTCTCCGCCTATTCCCCCGTGTTGTCCTGTTTTTCTTCTCTCCCCCCAAACGCGTAGCTGCACACCTTTTTGCCGTTCGTTCCTGATTGCTTCCTTCACCCTTTCGCTTGTCCAAATTCCGTTTCGTCAAAAGTGCCCTCGCTTCTGCTCGCAGCGTTTTGTATCTGTACAGCGATATTAGTAGCAGCTCGCCCCTCGCCGAGCGCATTCCCCTCAACGTCCGGCTACAGCCATGGCTGTGCAAGAGGTAGCGACTCTTCTTCCGATCCAACCTCCCAAACTGGCCAGAGACGTAACTGAAGGCAGTCTCGAAGACGTTCAGCCATGGAGCGAGCCTCGCTTCATCGTGCAGTCGCCGTACAACGAGCTCCGGCACCAGCTGGACTTGACCACGCTTGACTATGAGAATGCGCTGCTGGCGAAGGCGCTGAGTACTCTCGACGCGACTCGAGAGGACTATGCCGTTGCGTCGTACAACGTCTCGTTCAACTGGTCAGATGTCATGGCCCGTCTCAAAGCGCTCGTCAGCGTATACGGCCAGCCGTATCGGAATGCCACTTTTTACATCGTCGCATTCCGCTCGCAGATCAAGCCCAGTACCGACTACAGCCACCTGGGCGAGCTCGACAAGGCTGCTCATCTCGAGGCGGTCGAAAGTGGCGGGTTTCTCAAGTATGTCGTATGCAAACCAACACTCCCCATTCCCCGAGTCAACTGACCCCAGCGAGCCACGGCTGCGCTTGCTGCTGGTGCCCGTCAAGCTGACATGTCGCAGGTACTGGTTTGGCTCCCCGGACTCGGAGCTGCGTAACTTGGCCACATGCCTTTGGCGTTCCAAGGAAGATGCAGTTGCTGGAGGTCGCGGCCCCGCTCACAGAAAGGCGGCCATGTCAACCCGGTCGTTGTACGCGTACTGGAAAATCGACCAGCACCGTCTCACCATCCGCAACAACGCTGAAGCTTGGGAGATCGTTCCTTGGGTCGACGATGCTTGAGCGGTGAGACTGCGATGTCCGTGAGCATTTTCTGATCCGTTTTTTTCGGCGAGCACGGTTTTTATCAGATTTTTTTTTGGAGTTTTCCTTCTTGGTCGCTGTGAGCCGATTTTTCCGCGACTCCTTTATTCATGATTTCAAAACGGCCTTCTTGCAACAGAGAAAGCTTGGGGTTGTTGAATTGCGTGCAGAGCGCAAATTAATTCGTCAAAAACCCTAGCTATCGCTATAGATGCATTTAAAAATAGAGAGTACATTTTTTCCAAAGACGTTAGCAGTGAGAATACTGGTGCTGGGCACGATACCTCATGCAGTGCTGAGAGATGAGTCGATGCCTTCCAGGCGCTGGTGATGATGGAGAGTGCACGTTGCTGCCCCCGCGTTACGAGAGGCGGCGCCAGACATGACGCCCACATTCTGCCGCGTTTCACCGCCTTCCACCCACAACCACCCACAAATCCATGTTGGAAAAGTTCGATATTTCACGAGCACGCCTGCGAACACGACCATCCCTTTGCCGCTCACCCCCAGCGCCCGGATTCTCGCCCTGCAGCATCACTTACGGCTAGCGCACGAATTACTCTCGAATCCGACATAATGGCCGACACCACTACCGACGCGCCTGCTCAGGCTGTGCAGGTCGAAGCTCTCGTGAGTTGCTTCATGCCCCACCTTGCGTCGCCTCTCCCCCCTCACGCCCGCTAATATGGTGTGCGACTGTAGGTGATTATGAAGATCGCGAAGCACTGCTCGACCAACTTTCCCAGCATGGCCACCGGGTCCCTTGTTGGCATGGACCAGAACAACGTCGTCGAGATCACCAACACATTTCCCTTCCCCACTGTCGACTCGTCCGCTGTCGACAGCCACCAGAACGATGCTGCCCTGGTTGCCGCTGCCGCCCCTCGCCAAAAGTCCAACATTGCCTACCAGAACGAGATGATCCGTCACCTTAAGGAGGTCAACATTGATGCCAACAATGTCGGATTCTACACAAGCGCCACAATGGGCAACTTCGTCAACATGGCCTTGATCGAGAACCTCTATTTCTACCAGAAGGAGCAGAAGGACATTGTTGCCCTCGTCTACGATACCAGCAGAAGCTCTCAGGGCAATCTGAGTCTGCGCGCATTCAGACTTACCCCTACCTTCATGAACGCTTATAAGGAGGCTAAGTTTACCACAGAGAGGTAAGCCGGGAGAGATGTCTGGGCAATCCGTTCAACCGATGTACTAACAGGGTCTCACAGCCTGCAAAAGTCGAAGCTCACCTTCAAGGATATCCTTGTTGAACTTCCCGTCACTGTCCACAACTCGCACCTCCTCACATCCTTCCTCCATCAGATGCCCGCTATCCCTTCACAAGACGACCTTGAAGGGCCGACGACGCTGGCGGAGCTTGAGCGCGAGCCCATCAACGCTCCTCTCTACCCCAACATCGACAACCTTGACGTCGCCGTCGATCCTTACCTGGAAAAGACCTGTGATCTGCTGCTAGAAAGCATCGAGTCGCACTACACCGACCTCAACAACTTCCAGTTCTACCAGCGCCAGCTTGCTCGCGAGCAGACCAAGATTTCACAGTGGCAAGCCAAGCGCAAGGCTGAGAATGCCCAACGCACCCTCGCCAAGCAACCCCTCCTCCCCGAAGATGAGTGGCAAAGGCTGTTCAAGCTTCCCCAGGAGCCCAGCCGCCTGGAGGGCATGCTCAACGCCAAGCAGGTTGAGCAGTACGGCAAGCAGGTGGACGGGTTCACGGCCGGTATTACTTCCAAGATGTTCGCTGTTCGAGAGAATCTCCTGCCGCAGTAAGTCTAGGACGGAGGCGAAGGTAAAAGGGACAAATAACACAAAAAGGGAGGACATAGAGATCTCATTGGGCTGTGCATGCATGTTATGACAGATGAGTGTGGCAACCTTGGAGACATGCTGGATTGTGTTGCATTAGCGGCGTTCCGGAATAAGATGGTATATAATGGTAGTTACGGCGTACCTTCGAAGAATAGAAGGATGGCGCCGAGTTGAACCATTGAGGAGGCCTCGTATCTTTTGTGAAAATTGTGTGATGGCCAGGGACGAGATCTGGTTTGTACAGACTCATAAGTCTCAGCCGAGTCTCACGAGTCTCACGAGGGAAATCTAGTAAACTTGGAATGTCTAGGGCTGTACAGCTTAGATGCCGAATCTGCAGCCCATCTGGGGATGCAATGATAATCTAGAGATATATTCGAGAGATAGCCAGCCTCTACAATAACGCTTATGTTGTCACTTTTACTACTGAACCTAGACCAGATGATGCTTTTCGAACGTTAATACCGCAATTGAGACTCGGGCTGTCGCTCTGCCGAATGGTCTTTGCAACCTTGATGAGGGAGAAGTGAGGCGCTTCAGCGCACATATTGGAGGGGTAACGGAGAAATGAGGTACTTGCCCCCAAAGTAGCTAGTAACGAAGGTGGACACTCGAGTCTGGAGGTCCGGTGAGCTCCCAGGGCTGACCACGTTGAATGTACATACATATGTTGAGGCCAAAGTGCGGCATAATTCCTTCGGATGTCGGATATAAGTGGCAAATGTGATACAAATTCATTTGAGTCAATACCGATTGTCAGCCTCAGGATACCTATCTGTGTACTGACTATATGTCTTTCTACACTAACCTCATTGCTGCGGTGATGGGTTTCTGCCCCTCCTCCCCTCTGTTGGGACAGCGCAAATTTTACCCCTCCATTTAAATCCGGGTACCTGTTGCTCAAGTACCTTCCATCTGCAGGCAACCCTTTCACCGCCCGACTCCTCAACCTCCGGAATCCGACACTGCCCCTCTTTGTCCCGCCGCCTTATTTCTTAGCCAGCTAACATTTTTTTCTCTCGTCCTTCCCCTCGATCCTCCCCTCTCTTCCTCCTCATTCCTACCCCTTCATCCTCTCTTCTTTTCCAGCAATTCTTCATTAACCTTTCCCTTCACCCCCTCCCATCACACATCACACATCATGTCTGCTCCTGCCACCAAGTTCAAGGTCGCTGACCTCTCCCTGGCCGCCTTTGGCCGCAAGGAGATCGAGCTCGCCGAGAACGAAATGCCTGGTCTCATGGCCATCCGTCAGAAGTACGCTGCCGACCAGCCGCTCGCCGGTGCCCGCATCGCCGGTTGCCTGCACATGACCATCCAGACGGCCGTCCTCATCGAGACCCTCACCGCCCTCGGCGCCGAGGTCACCTGGACCAGCTGCAACATTTTCAGCACCCAGGACCACGCCGCCGCCGCCATCGCCGCCGCCGGCGTCCCCGTCTTTGCCTGGAAGGGCGAGACCGAGGAGGAGTACAACTGGTGCCTCGAGCAGCAGCTCTCCGCCTTCAAGGACGACAAGAAGCTCAACCTCATCCTCGACGACGGCGGCGACCTGACCTCGCTCGTCCACACCAAGTACCCCGAGCAGCTCAAGGACTGCTACGGTGTCTCCGAGGAGACCACCACCGGTGTCCACCACCTCTACCGCATGCTCAAGGACGGCAAGCTCCTTGTCCCCGCCATCAACGTCAACGACTCGGTCACCAAGTCCAAGTTTGACAACCTCTACGGCTGCCGCGAGTCCCTCATTGACGGTATCAAGCGTGCTACCGATGTCATGATTGCCGGCAAGGTCGCCGTCGTCGCCGGTTTCGGTGATGTCGGCAAGGGCTGCGCCATGGCCCTTCACGGCATGGGTGCCCGCGTCATCGTCACCGAGATTGACCCCATCAACGCCCTCCAGGCCGCCATGGCCGGCTACCAGGTCACCACCATGGAGAAGGCCGCTGCCATCGGTCAGATCTTCGTCACCACCACTGGCTGCCGTGACATTCTCACCGGCGTCCACTTCTCTGCCATGCCCAACGATGCCATCGTCTGCAACATTGGTCACTTCGACATTGAGATTGACGTTGCCTGGCTCAAGAAGAACGCCACCTCCGTCCAGAACATCAAGCCCCAGGTTGACCGCTTCCTGATGCCCTCTGGCCGCCACATCATCCTCCTGGCTGAGGGTCGCCTTGTCAACCTTGGCTGTGCCACCGGCCACTCCTCCTTCGTCATGTCCTGCTCCTTCACCAACCAGGTCCTTGCCCAGATTGCTCTGTACAAGGCCAAGGATGAGGCTTGGGGCAAAAAGTACGTCGAGTTCGCCAAGACCGGTGCCTTCGAGACTGGTGTCTACGTACTCCCCAAGATTCTCGACGAGGAGGTCGCCCGTCTCCACCTTGCTCACTGCCAGGTCGAGCTCAGCAGCCTCACCAACGTCCAGGCTGAGTACCTTGGCCTCCCCGCCGAGGGTCCCTTCAAGAGCGACATCTACCGCTACTAAGCGGAGATTGCACTGTAATAATAACAGCCCAAACCAGAGTTTCCTTCAACCGGCACTCGCTTGACGTGGAACAATCTTTTCTACATATAGCATATTGGGGTACACTTGTGTTTTCAACAGCATAATATTGCGAGGCATTTGGGTTGGGCAAGATAAAAAGTATGGGGGAATATTTATGATTTCTTTTGTTTACATGATGTTGGCACCTTTGCCGCTGTGGTCTTTTGCATAAGGCTGGCTAAAGGTGTGCTTTTTCAACAAATGGCGTTGTTATTGCTTGGTAATGATTCCCCCTACGGAACGAGAGACGACATTATACATGGTATGAGCGATTGACCCTGCGGGCAACACTCTTGAAGGCCCGTCAACCGTGGCCGATTTAGATTCCCTTAATTAAGACGATTCTAAACAACATGTCCCATTTATGTGTATGCCGATTGCCAATTTTGCTGTGTCTGTTGCAGCTATTCCGGTCTGTCTATCTCGACCACCGTCTATCTCAACTACCATCTATCTCTATTACGGTTTGTGAATGTCTACTACAACCCATCATCTACCTACTGCATATCCTTTTGCTCCGGCACGATGCTCTTTAGCCGGCCTTCCTCCAGCGCGAGGCGCACGTTGTCGAGCGCCCACTCCTCCATCTTGGTCTCGGTCTCGCGCGTCCAGGTGCCCATGTGCGGCACCAGCATGACCCTGTCGTTGGCCAGCAGGCCCGAGTGCACCTCCGGCTCGTCCTCGAAGACGTCCAGCCCTGCGCTCGCCACCACGCCCGCGTCCAGCGCCGCCACCAGCGCCGCCTCATCCATCACCGCGCCGCGCGCCGTATTGACCACCACGACGCCGGGCTTCATCATGCCAAACTCGCGCGTCGAGATGATGTGCCTCGTCTTGGGCTGTTGTTTCATCTTGTCAGTCACTACATCCCACGCAAACTACCTGTCCGCTATTTGAAGGGCCGGGGGGGTTGGCTTACGTTTAGTGGGAGGTTCAGGCTGAGGACGTCGCTCTCCGCCAGCAGCCTCTCGAAGCCCACGTACCCTGCGCCGCCCTCCTCCGCCGGGTCCAACCGGGTGCGGTTGTGGTAGCGCACCTCCATGCCGAACGCGCGCGCCTTGGCCGCCAGGTTGCGGCCGATGCCGCCCATGCCGAGGATGCCGAGGACCTTGCCCTGCGGGTCGCGGCCGAGCGCGGGCAGCCTGGCCGGGTCGCCGCGGGGCCCGCTGGCGCCGCGAAAGGTGCCCTCGCGGAGCGTCTTCATGGCGACGTTGAGGTTGCGCAGGGCGCCGAGGATGAGGAACAGCGCGACGTCGGCGGTGGCGTCGTCGACGGCGGTGGGCGTGTTGGAGACGCGGATGTCGCGGGCGCGGCACGCGGCGACGTCGATCTGGTCATATCCGGCGCCTTTTTTTTTAATAAAAAAAAATCCCAAATAGTGAAACTTTTCGCTTGGGTTAAGCAGGGACGCACCTTTGTGGCAGACGAAGCGGCAGCGAGGGGGAAGAGCGGAGACGAGCTCGGCGTCGAAGAGGCCGGTGATGCGGGCGGAGCCGTAGGTCCGGAAGATGGCTTCGACGCCGGAAAAGGCCTCGGACTGGCACTCGGCGAGGAACTCGGCGCGGTTGGTGGCGGTGGGTTGGATCATGCCGCCGATTTGGGCGACGGAGGTCAACGCATCATGGGCTCTGGTAGCAGTTTATCGTATTAGTGGTTGGTTCTGTTTGAGGTTGACGGTGGGGAGGGGAAGGGGGGCAACCAACAGCTCAAGGCTTCCCAACAAGAGGAATCTGGGCTTTTGAGGGGCAGTCATATTTTCGGTCAGGTATCGTGTCGAGCTGCCAAGTCAAGTAAGATGGCGTGTATGAGAGTGTTTAAGAGTGTACGAGAGAGAGAGTTGATGTTGAGCATCACGGTAGTGGGGCAATGTAGAGGGCGCCCGATGACGGAGGTGAGTGAGCTGGCCGGCGGGCGCTTTTATCCAATCGAGATGATTTGTCCCATCAGACATTAATTACAGCAAGTTTTGTGGAGAGGACTGATAGACCGTTTGTGATATGTGGTAGTTTGTATTATATTCTGCTGGTGACAGCTGTGTAGGTTTTATGAGGCTTCATTGTGTGACAAAGGAAAGGCACAATCGCTGTGCAAGGGAACGAAAAGAGTGCCTGCAATCCAAGAAAAAAAAAAGAATGAACCTCCATTCAGGAACGCTTCATGTAAAGAGAGGGCTGGAAGCACTTTTCCTCTATGATATAAGTTGATAAATAAATGGCCAACCAATGCTTCCTCCTCCCCTACATGAGCAACCGCCAGGCACCGAGCAGGACGGCGGCGAAGCCGGTGCAGACGCCCATGAGCCACTGCAAGGTCTGAAACTTGACCTGCTCGAGCTTCTCGCGGAGGGCGGCAACCTCCTGCTCGATCTTGGTCTCGGTCTCCTTGATCTTGAGCTCCTGGCTAAGGGCCTCCTCGCGGATGCGGCCCTTTTCGAGGTTGAGGTCGAGGCGGACGCTGGCCTGGGTGCGCGAGACCTCGTCGCGCAGGCGGCTGCCGAGCTTGGCGATGTCGTTGGCGAGGCGCTCGTGGGCGCCGCGCGTCGTGTTGGTCTCGGTGCTGTCGGCGGAGAGCAGCTCGGAGCGCAGCTTAGCAAAGTCGACCTTTTGCGTGTACGTGGCCTTGGCCGAGTCCTCGCGAAGGACCATTGTGCGCGTGAGGTTCTGGATGCTGTGGGGGCAAAAGTTAGCACTTCATGTTGATTCCGTGGCCCGATTGAATCGTCTCGCGGCAGGGGGCGGCTCACCTCTCCTCAATCACGTCACTCAGGACCTTCATCATGGCCACGGACTGCTCCTCGGTGAAGCCCTCGTCGCGCAGGCGCTTGACGAACTTGAGCGTGTCGAAGTGGTGGTCGCGGGCGCGCGGCGTCGTGGCGTGGAACGCGCGCGACAGGATCGGACTTCGTCGGTCGGCGCCGCTCGCAGGAGAAGGGCGAGGCCGTCGGGCGCGAGTGGCCATTGAAGAGAGGGCAACGTTCGGGGCGAGATGGCGAGGAGCCGTCGCGGACTGCCAGCTGAGGCGCGGCAGAAGGAAGCGCGGCAGCATCTCCGCGGCGGTGACAGCAGCCATTGTCGCAAGTAATACGATTGTTGGTTCGTGGCGGGATGATGGGGGATGGCTTGGCTTGTCGAGTTTGCAGCAAAAGACGATGATAGTGATGTGTTGGTCAAGCCAAACAGAAATGTTGGAGACTCGGTTTGCACGAGACAGCTTATTAGTGGGGGGCGGAGCGTCGGAGAGCATCGGCCCAAGGGTCCGGCCGTTACGTACAAAGAATGTCACAGTAAATAGTGAAATATTGAAAATAGACAAACGTTGCACTGGCTTATTGTTGTGGAAATCAATCTTTCTCGAATTTGAAAATATTTTGAAGGTCACTTCCCTGGCAAGAAGAAATCTACCGACCCCAAGTCATCACCTTGCGGATTGCGGTGGTACTCTCGCGTCCCTGCCACTCACTATAGCGCTCACATCCTTGGGATTAATAGCAAGTAGGCAGACAAGTAAGAAACTTACTATATAACAGTAAAACATTTCCCCCATCGTGGACTTAATTTTGAATGAAAAAAAAAAGATCATAGATTTAATGAGCCTTGATCATAACTCGGCCACCGCTGAGATGCTTCGTCATTGAAAGCAGCACTTGCAGCATTCTTCCCGTGGTTGTGTTATAAAAAAGCATAATTATTCCAGTGAAATATCATATCCCAGTCTGCATTCCAAGCTGCACCGTATGCCGATTCGAGCTACTAACATCCTACGCCATGCAGTCGGCATCATCGGCATCATCGGCTGGTTGGATAACATGCTCACCGACACGACTTCGTTTCAATACGAACGGAAGCAGTCCCTCACAACAAGGTAAAGCTGCCTTGCTATCCGGTCGCCGATCTTCATCTGCCTCACGCAGCAGCGCGCCCTCTCGCCCTTGGCGTCATTGCGCATCGCCGTCGATCAGATGTCGTTCCAAGGGCCTCCCCGACACTTGCCGAGACAAGATGACAAAGAAGGATGCAAGCTGTGAGCATCCTGCATGTCTTCAATTCTCCGATGTTGTCGTCTTTTTTTTCTTCCCCGCATTAGCAGTGTATTAAGTTGGCTGCAGCGATATGGATGTGCAGCGATATGGATGTGCAGCGATATGGATGTGCAGCCCTGCACGTCTTAGACAGTAGAAAGAGCGGCAAGTGCCGCATCTCAAGACGGACAGAGGCTGGCTGAAAATGCCTACATGGTAGACTTGCAGCTTTCTTTGCCAGCCATCACGCACCATAACTGGTCTCTCCATCGTATTCGTCGCACGGCAATAGCCGCTTTCTATTTTCTATCAATTTGTTCCGAGACCTACATAAAATATTGGATAATTACAATATGATTCATGCCATGCCGTCAATGATCGACATGTTTACTCTATCCATATTGCCTAAAAGTAGGACTGTCCGATGCAACGAGAAGTAGCCCCGGGCCGTACGCTCAATATGACCTCAAAAATCGGTGGTGGACCAGGCGCTCGCCCGGCGGCTTCGACTGAGAGACTATCCACGTCAAAAAAGATTAGATCCAAACGGAGTCACAGGTCCCAATCACAAAGAGTTGGAGGCGTAGCTGCCGCAGAGGCTGAAAGATGGGGTTCCGGGACGATCTTCATGATCTGCTACTAGAGACATCATCGACAGCATGTCTCGGATCCTGCATCGATAGTCTGATATCGGACGCACAATGTTGGAGATCATGTTTCGGCTCTGATGCTTATCTATCAATAATACAATTTCCTATCTGAATGATTGGGTACGTATCATGCCTTTGACTGAAGAGAAGGAGCAAGCTGGCAGCCAAATCCGCAGGGGTGTCAAGTGCCGGACATGAAGTCATCCCCAACTTCCGGCTTGAGCCAGAGTACTTTCACGAGTACACTAGAGAGAAGTGCCTAGACTTTGAAGCTGTACGTGGTTGGAAGCTATGGTGCTTGCAAAGTACCTGCCTACTTCTTCTCAACAGTCACGAGGATGGGACATCTCTCGACTATTTAACAGCTGCTCTCCCCCTTTCCCGGCGTCTTCTTTTTTCTCATCAACAACACGATCCTGCAAGCAAGCAATTCTACACGCTCTATTTACAAACAAACCCTAACAAGCATCTCACCATGGCTCTCGCTCTTCCCATGCATAACATTCCCATGGATGAACCTGCCCCATCCGAGGTCTTCGACTTTGAAGGCACCACGCTTTACAACTGGGTTCTCTCCGAGACCGAGCATGCCCACATTGCCAACATGCTGGAGATGGATCGTAAGAATACCCATACCCCCTTCACCCATTTGCATACCCCCAGTGCACGGGACGCGCGGCGACGAAGAAGAAGTAGCTGACATGACTTGCCGTCCACAGCCAGCGAGCTCACGCTCAAAGGCTCCAACTTCCTCCAGGACCGCTCCCAGTGCGCCGGCTGCGGCAAGCACTCGGGCATGGACGACTTTGTCCACAACGCTCTCTATGCTGGCATCCACTCAGTCGACTTCATGAAGGACTTCCTCCTTGGCAAGACCAAGCAGGCAACCCCGTTCACCGAGCACGAAGTCGTCTGCTCCCGCTGCAGCACCAAGCATAAGGAGGCCAGGTCCTGGTTGGCCTACCCTCCCTGGCCTAGATACTAAGTAAATCGCAGGTAGGGGTCACGACCGCTACCGCGTTTACTTACACACCTCGCTTCTGGCCATTGAGAGATCATCTGTCAAGTGTTTCATCTCTCCATAGTATTGTTTGGTCTTTTTTTTCCTTGTCTGTTTTAGCCGTGTACTCATCTAGCAAGACACGGGTGGCCAGTTTAGCTTCTATCAATGAGATCGCATTTTATCGAAATGCCTACCCGCTTCGTTCCCTCCATATCTGTGTCAAGTTTCGCGATGTCGGCCGAGTGCACCACCAACAGCTGAATAAGAAATGCCAATTTTATCGTAGATTTATATACCAGACTCTTTATCGCATACTTTGTATGGTTCCCCTTTTTTTTTCTTTTTTCGCTGCTTCGTTACGCTGAGGACCGGCTCTCTGTTCATACTTCCACTTTTGGCTTATCGATAAGCGCAACCTCCCGATAACGAACCTGGCTAACGTAAAGTTGCCGTTCTGCGAAATCTCATCCCCAGCGTCATCTCTACAAACAAGCAGCCCAGCACCACCACAGCTCTCCCAACTAACGTTTCCCTCATTTTCCGCTTTTCAACCCGCCAAAATGGACATGTACGTCTTCCCGTCCGCGAATTCCCCTTGCCGCGAGGACAGCCGATGCGACGCGACAACAGGATCGGACCGCAAAAAAAAAAGGGAACGCTAACAACCAGCGAAACAGGCTTTCCGCATCCGAGCAGCGCACCCTGGAGCAGCGCATGCAGAAGCGCCAGGTCAAGGAATTCATGGGCGTACGTCTGAACACCATCAACCCCCGAGGGGCCAGGAGGGAGAAAGAAAAGGAGTGCTAACCGCGTCCGCAGGCTTTCGGCGGCCTTGTCGACCACTGCTTCACCTCGTGCGTCGACGACTTCACCTCCAAGGCGCTCTCCTCCCGCGAGAACGGCTGCATCAACCGCTGCGTGCTCAAGTGGATGGCCACCCAGCAGCGCGTCAGCGACCGCTTCCAGGAGCACAACGCTCAGCTGTCGCAGCAGATGCAGCAGAACTAAACGACGGGCGGTTCCGTCCAGGACAACTTTTGAATATAATACGAAAGAAAAAGAGGGGGACATCACAGGGGGCGTGGGATCGGCTTGTAGGAATAAATGGCATTACGAGAGCCTGTTGCCCGGTTGGCGGCCGGCAAGTGTATCATCATGAGGGAAGTGCTCCTGGAGAGGATAAAGGAGCAACGGGGTTTTTGGAACACTGGCAATGGTGACCAGTGCCGGAAACCATAAAGGGCCATGCCGAAACACATACTGTAATTTTACAAAATCACCGACGATAGTCGTACTCTGGCGGTAACTACCGCTAAGTACTATTGAACATGACCTTCTCACATCTATAACTTGCAGTCAGGCACCACATTCTCTGGCAGCAATCACTCCGGGTGAACAGCGTGTCTATTCCTTTGTGATATTATTCATAAAATCCCATGATCCAAATATTGTTTACTATGTCTGGTTTCCGCTCTCTTATAATGCATACAACACTGCGCGGAGATTCCCAACAGCCAACGCCATAATCAACACTGCCAACTGCATCTTTTCGGCTCTTGCGTCCACAAGCAAAAAAAGACAAAGTCCAAAGAAAGAACAAACGACTCCACCGCGGTTTTTCCCGCCTACTCCAGTTCGTCAGCCAAGATGTCCCGAACAACCTCCAGTTGTGAGACAACCTTGGCCTCGAGCACATTCTCGTTGGCCCCCGCGCCCACCTTCGTCGTTCGCCACTCCATCTCGCGCTGGCCGAGCGGCAGGAGCCTCTCCTTGAGCAGTCGCCGGCTCGCCAGCCAGTAGTCGACGTTTTCGAGCAGGCCGCTGGCGTCCCATTGAACAGTGCCAATGTCCCGCGCGTTGGTCGCGCGCAGTGCCTTGAGGACGCGCGTGATGAGAGCCAGCGAATGAATCTCAGACGTGCTGAGCAAGGTGATGTGTTGGATCGCGCCCTTCGCTATTGTCCGGTTGGTCCCGGGGGCTTCAAATCGGTCCACGCTCGCATTCAGCAAGTGCGAGAATTGGTTCAGCACATACGTGATCTCGGGTGCCACCGCGACGCCAAGCGAAGTAAGCAGGTTGATCATCAGTGGCAAAAGGCCTTTGACCCATATTGTGTAGCAACGTTGCGCGATCGGTGCATCTGAAGTGGGAGAGATATTCGTCTTAAGCATCACCTTTGTGATCTTGGCAGAAAGAAGGTTGCTGAGGATGCCGTCGCAGGCGAGTTGCTCTCCGATAAGCGGCAAATTCGACAGCTGAAGTAGGAACATGATCGCTAGCTCGCCATACACGGGGTCGCCATGGATGGCCAGTTGATCAGCCCACGAATAGAGCGATGATGCGGCATTGACAACCTCATGAGTCGCCATAATGTTGAGAACCTGGGTCTGGGACTGCTCAATCGTAGGCAGCGACAAGGCAGCCTGCATGATCGCTGTGAGCAAGCCCAAATCTTCCGGATACACCTCGGCATCGCCATCGTGAATCAGGCTGACAAGTGTACGGAAACCACGCCCGACGACGATATCCAGCAGACTCAATACTGTTTGGGTGACCGACACAGCGGATCCACCGAGTTTCACAGGCGGCTCAGGGTCATCATGCTGTTCGCTGCGTTCCCTCTTCTCTCCGCCGACGTGATATGCGCGGAGGGTAACAAACAGTGCCTTCAGCAGGACTCGGTAGTACCCAATGGAGCTGCTGGCGAATGGTTCATCTACACCGCTCATGGTACCAACCAGTGTAGTTAGCATCTGGTTGACGTCTTGAACGGGCAGTTTGGACTTTGCTAGGCGCTGCACGAGGATAAGTGCCAGATTAGCACGCTCCTGCACGAGCTTCAAGAAGATGCTTTCTGGTCCAGGGACGTTTTGGTTGGCGTTGAGACATTGTTGTGAGACTTGCAGCATTTGCTTGCCGATGGTCTCGTTACCAGGCAGGCAAGTGCTAAGCTCAACGAGCAGGAATTCCCATGAGTGAAACAGGGCGATCTGGGCATCGACTAGTGACAAGTTCGCATTTGCAAGTTCCATTTCATTCTTGAACCCATTTGCTTTGCGTCCGAGCCATCCAGGGTCGAATCGTAGCATTGTGTCCGCCTGCTCTAGGTCGTAGTAGTAGTCAGATCCGAGATGACCTGGCGCCAAAGGCGTTCGCTTGAAGTTATCGACTGAGCAGCCGAAGTACTTGTTTGCAAAGTTCTTTGCAAAATTGTTGTGCAGCGACTTGTTGTAGCCAGCTACCTCAACGCCATCGCGCAGGTAGTAATCCAGGTGATTGACTAGACTCTTAGCCAGTTCCTCAGCACTTCCCAAGTGTCTTGAATGGTAAAGCTGCATTGCAAATGTTTCGGCAATGTACGCAGCTAGCCTAGCCTCACGAGCGGCGCGAATACTATCCGACTTCATGACAAGATGGGACGGTTTCAGCGCGCGCGCATATGAGCGTAACCCTTCCATGTACGACGTGTCCTTCTGCAATGTGAATACGGTCCATGGCCAGTAGTTTTGGGCTGATGCAACGAAGTCCAAAATCGCAAGGGCCTCTGAAGTTTCCAAGTCATCGATCTTCTTCAGCTTGGACAAGGCAGTTGCAAAGACCGAGTCGTCTGAAATGTCCTTTGTTTTGCTGTCCTTAGCCATCGCTTCTCGTGGCGTTTGGCCAGTAAGAAGGCAGTTAGACATCCATTGCTGGCGGTTCCGCAATATCGAGGAGAAGAACTTCCAGATTGTTTCAACATCTGTTTGCAGGGCATATGGCTGGCCTAGCCGAGAGAGCAAAGTGATGAAGGACTTTGATACCCCAGGTCCGAGATATCCCAGCAGCGAGGGAGGTTCACTGGAGCCTTGACCCGCATTCGAGACGAGCGCCTGGAGGAGAGACAAGATGGGCGTACGGAAGAGATCGGAGACTGCGCACAGGCGAGCCAATAAAGTCGAGCTCTTGAAGAGATAGCTTTCCAGCATTGTAGAAGATCGTTCGACAAAGTTAGCAGCCCGGAGAAGAGAAGTGGCAAACGTGAGAGCCGATTCTACCTCGTTACGGACAAGGTTCAGTCTTGAAGGGTACAACGTGGACTCGGGGGTGAGAAGGGCGGAGATGAAAGAATACAGAAGTGGCTGAAACCTCAGCGTGCCACTGGATGGCGAAAGAAAGCAGTCGATGACGTAACTGGCCGCTGGCCGTAAACAACTCGTTAGATTGTCGGACTCGCTTGACTTGCCCATACTGTAGCTGTGGTGGATGATCTTGTTCAGCAAGGGCACAACGCTGTTGAGCAGAGAGATACGGCTTATCTCCGCATCGAATTGCCATGTAGAGGTGTTTTCGAAGATATCAACAGAAGCATTGGCTACGGCCAAGGCCACTTTAGAAAGCACTTTATCTGAAGTGCCGAGCCATGGGTTAATTTCTTGTTGTCGACCGCGCGACTTGTTTCCAGCTTGCCGTTGCACCCCAGATGCGAGTGCAGTATCAACAACATTGGAGAAGAAGAATAGCGCCGAATTCAAAAAGTCCAGACGCTCAGATACCAGGTCAAGGCTGCCAGTCAGCTTGGAGAGTTTCCCGGCTCTCGCTTCGGAGCTCAGCAGCTCACTGCGGGCAAGGTATGACCATACCCTGCTGGGTTGAACGGGCAGAATCGCATCCAAGAACTTTATGCAAGCCGTAATAACATTGATGGCAGACTCTTCCGTCATTGCCAGCTCTTCTTGCATGAAGTAGTCCATAGTATCGCAAACGATAGTAACGATATCCTTGCCGCCACTGATGTGCTTGCTAGCCTCAGAAAGGATATCGTCATCTTTGTGTATTAACGCATCGGGGTTGCCAGCCAGCTTCAAGTACTCCATCCGGATCAGTATAGCGAAGAGCTCAACGACTTCGGCAATGTCATGGGGTTGCAATGATTCGAATTGGCATTGATATCCTTCCTTCATGAGATAGATTTCCAGCCGGCGACCTAGCAAGGAAAGAGCCGAGTGCCGGTACTCAACAAGCACCAGCCGTCCACTATCCGTAATAAAACGCCCTTGAGTGCCCCGAGGAAGACGATATGCGTCATCGTCCATCTGCCTCTTTTTCCAGGAAGATGAGAGTGTGATGAGGGGGATTTCCTCCGTAAGGGAAAAGGAATTCGTATTCTCGTCCTCATGTACCAGTTCATATTCTTGGAAGCCCTTCGGCAGCTCCAGGGTCAGAGTAGATGTATTGCGTAGAAGGTTCAGAACGTCCGAGTATCGTTGGTCATCGACCTCGCCAGTGACAGTGCAGAGACTCTTGCAGAGCGATATAAACGGCAAAAACTCGTACGGGAATCGATCCACAGCTTGTTGAAAGTACCATTGCATAAGAATATCGTCATTAATAAACGATGACACCGTATCGCCAGAGGCGCGAAGGTTTTGGACCGAGGACAGATCCCAATAACCACGGCCAGGTGACAGTAAGCTAAACAGGCATGTCAGGCTATCGGCTTGATAGCCAACATATCCATAGCTAATTTTGAGGACATCCGCAAAGACGATTCGGATGCGCGAGCTCAGCAGAGGAGATGCACAGCCTGAGATGCTCGGCCCAAGTGCACGTGCCATGTCGCTCATGGCATTGAACACTCTTCCTCCAGTAGTGACGCCGGTCGCGAGTTGCTCCACGAATTGCGCATCCCGTGGAGTAGTGGCATTCTCCAAAAAGCTATCGAACTTGGTTGATTCGATTGAGAAGAGACTGCCAGCCGAGTTGCGTCGACCGAGGCTTGGGCGCGTGACCTCTCCGGACTCGAACCTCTCTCTGGCAGTCTGCTGCAACAGGTTATCTCTCTTCTCGGTGCGGTTGTGGTAGGAGGCATTGAGCCTGTGTAGGAGCAGAGCCCAAGTGAAGATAGCGGGAGTCGCGCTTGCGATATCCATGTTCGCTGCATTGAGAATGGACTTGTGGATTTGCTCGAGGACTTCTGAGGACAGCAAGTATGAATCAAAGGTGTCGTCAGGCTGCCCGGAATCCTCGTCCTTTTCGTTCAAATAGCTGATTGAGCGTTTGGGCTTCAGCATGATGACTGAAACGGCAGTGGCAAGCGTTCTGAGTGGCGCTATCAGCTCGGCTATGCCCTCGTGGATTGGCTGTACAGAATCAAAAAAATTGTACATCTCCATTAGGGAGAACCATTGAGTTACAGAGCTCGGCGGAGCAAAGTCATCTCCCAGACTATCCACAAGCTGAAAGATGACGGAGAGTGCATGAACAATTTCTGTGAACAATGTTCGTAGCCATTCAATTTCAGTTTTTTCATTAGAAAGCAAAGCGTCGTCGGTAGTCGAAAGCAGGCCAGATTCAATCCGCCCAGTGCAATCGGTGAGGACCCTGAAGTAGGCAGGAAGCAGAGCCTCGATTTGTTCCTTGGTAGATCGCGTGTTGAGCTTGAATAATTCACCAATATCGTCGTTATTTTGCGCAGAAATCGGCAGCCGCCCGTATAGTTTTATCGAGTTGACGTGATCGATGGCCATCATAAAGTGTCGGCGTTCGCTGAGGAGGGTTTCGAAAAGGCGAGTGCGGCGGGAGTCTTGCTTCTCGAACTCGGCAGATAATTCATCGGTATCGAGGGCCGCTGCTGAGCCCAGATCTGATAAGAATGATGCACTCTGGCCATCCTTTAGACCGGCAGCTTCATGTAGATTGGTGGCATCTTGCGATGAAAGCGGCCCGACAAGATGGCGCGATGGACGAGACTGGTGCTCAACAATGACAATTCGCAGCGCTGCGACTAGGTTGGTTTTAGCGTTTTTGCTCAGCCATTTGGCATCATCTTTCAAGACTTGTATGTCGAGCTTCTGGGTCGAGGCAGAGGTGACGTTGATGGGCGCGGTCTTGGTCTCGAAATCTTTGCCAGAGGCGTCATCGGGAGGTGAGAAGGCGGCAATGGGATTTTTCAGCAGCCCGTGTACATATTCGTCGGAAAAGAATTCAGAGAGCGCGCTGCTTCGCTGGAGACGTCCAGTGTTGTCCGAAAGCGCGGTTGCGACAAGCTTCCATGACCTGTGTTCGAAGGGTTAGCATCAAATGTGTGCGGCAAGCAAGCAGACGCGAGAGCTTACAGAAGCACCTTTTCCCCTGAAAGACACTCCTCCAGGGAAGGGAAATAGATGCGATCTGACAAGGGAGCCATCGCCACTGTCCTCAATGCGGTGGCAGTGGCAGATAACACATCACCTTGCGCCGATATTATGAGGGTGCTTTTAGATGTATGTACGCGCCTGAACCGCGATCTCCAGGTACAACAAGAGCTCACCACACAGCTTGGTGGGCCAACTTTTTTTTGGAGCTATGTACATTATGACAAGCCGAGAATCAGCCGGGCTGCAGAGCCTGAGCCTTGCGGCTTGTACAGCAGCAAGCGGCTTCGGCGCCTGGCATTCACCAAACGGTCGGTGGACAATCAGTCGCTGCGCTCCCTCACTCGCTACAGCACGCACTTTTATTTATTTATTTTTGATAGAAAAAATCAATTACCGGTAGGGTCATAAGAATATTCTTTTAGCCGCTTAAATAATTAGGATGCAGGACTAACGTTCCGCGGCGACTTTCACCGAGCTCTCCTGGCTCTTGCGCCCAAGCGTTGAGGATCCCTGCCAACTGCTAAATCGGCGCCATTAGTCAGAGCGCCGTTTCCCGCACTGTAACGCCGCAGACAGCTCCATGGATCTGTACAGTGTGACCGAATAGTCAACACCGTACGTCTGCCGATGGCAAAGAAATGCCGTTATCATTGTGAAGTGACACACACCTCAGCTCATCTAATTCTGGTTTACACCGACCAAGCCGTGGTTTCTGGCACGATCAAGATGCCTTTTCCCGACATTATTGACCATTCTCCTCGCGAGGTCAAATTCTCACCACCAATCCCAACGGCAAACAACCTGATCCTCATCGACAACTATGACTCTTTCACCTGGAACATCTATCAATATCTAACGTTGGAGGGTGCTACTGTCCACGTTATTCGAAACGACAAGGTCACCCTAGAAGAGCTCATTGAAAAGAAGCCCAGCCAGCTTATCATCAGTCCCGGTCCGGGTCATCCCACCACGGATTCGGGTATCAGCCGAGATGCTATTCGTCACTTTGCAGGCAAGATTCCCATCTTTGGTGTCTGCATGGGCCTGTAAGGATATCTCAGAGCCTATCCTATTGATTCCAACTCACTAATGTCGATAGCCAATGTATCTTTGACGTCTATGGTGGCGAGGTAAACTCAGCTGGAGAATGGTTGCATGGCAAGACTTCGCCCTTGAGTCACGACGCCAAGGGTGTCTTCAAGGGTCTAGAGCAGGAGATTCCCATCACAAGATACCACTCGCTCGCCGGATCTCCCGTAACCCTTCCCGAATGTCTCGAGGTCACTTCCTGGGTCGCCAAACCTGATGGCAGCCGCGGCATTATCCAGGGCGTCCGCCACAAGGAGTACACGATGGAAGCCGTGCAGTTCCACCCTGAAAGCATCCTGACTGAAAATGGACGCACCATGATTCGAAACTTTTTACAGATGCAGGGAGGTACTTGGGAGGACAACAACCGTCTACAGGCCGCGTCGGAAACCGCGAACGAGGCTTCGCCGGCCCCTTCCAAGAGCAACAACATTTTGCAAAAAATCTACGCCAGCCGCCGTGCGGCCGTAGAGGCTCAGCGAGTGATTCCGTCTCAGAGAATGGAGGACCTCCAAGCCGCGTATGACCTCGGCGCCGCTCCACCCGCAGTGCCCTTCGTCAAACGCCTCAGTCAAACTCCATTTGATGTTTCCCTCATGGCTGAAATCAAGCGCGGCTCCCCGTCCAAGGGCATTTTCAACATTGACGTTCGCGCCCCTGTCCAAGCTAGAAAATACGCGCTGGCTGGTGCTAGTGTCATCTCTGTCCTGACGGAGCCTGAGTGGTTCAAGGGAAGCATTGAGGATCTCCGAGCAGTCCGCCAAGTCCTAGAGGGCATGCCCAACAGACCAGCAATTCTCCGCAAGGAGTTCATCTTTGATGAGTATCAGATTCTCGAAGCCCGTCTGGCGGGTGCGGACACTGTTCTTCTCATAGTCAAGATGCTGGATGTCCAAACTCTCGAGCGTCTATACAAATATTCTCAGTCTCTTGGCATGGAGCCTTTGGTTGAAGTTCAAAACGCGGACGAAATGACAATCGCCGTCAACCTGGGCTCCAAGGTAATCGGGGTCAACAACCGAAATCTGGAGACATTTGACGTCGATCTCGACACTACTGGTCGTCTTCGCAGCATGGTTCGTGATACCACCATCATTTGCGCCCTGAGTGGGATCAACACGTACGAAGATGTCATCATGTGCAAAAATGACGGTGTAAATGCCGTTCTCGTTGGTGAAGCCATCATGAGAGCCCCGGACGCCAGTGTTTTCATCAGCGAGCTGTGCTCTGGCAAGGCCCCAGCCACCAAGAAGGAGCGGCCCCAGCCCCTCCTCGTCAAGATCTGCGGTACGCGAAGCGCTGCGGCCGCCAAAAAGGCAGTCGAGTCGCACGCTGACTTTGTTGGCATGTGTCTCGTACCCGGTGCGAAGCGTTGCATTGACAGTGACACTGCCCTCGCCATCTCGGAAGCAGTGCATTCATTTACTGGCACAACCAGTTCCAAGCCTGAGCCTTCGGTACCTGTCGCAGGCGCCGCCGACTACTTCCAGGGCGCTTACAGCCGACTACAAAGCTCACGGCCCCGTCTTGTAGGCATCTTCCAGAACCAGCCGCTCAGCGAGGTCTTGGAGAAGCAGAAGCTGTACAACTTGGATCTTGTCCAGCTCCACGGCGATGAGCCCATCGAGTGGGCCAACCTTATCCCCGTCCCTGTAATCCGCGCCTTCAAGCCTGGCCACGTCGGCCTGGGTCTCCGCGGCTTCCACACGGTTCCTCTTCTCGATTCCGGTGCTGGTTCTGGCAAGCTGCTGGACGTATCAAAGGTCAAGGCCATTCTGGAGAAGGACTCCAATCTGAGAGTTTTTCTGGCCGGTGGGCTGAACCCGGACAATGTCGCAGAAGCAGTGAAGGCCCTGGGTGACCTGGCGGACAGAGTTATCGGTGTGGATGTCAGCAGCGGTGTGGAAGAGGATGGGAAACAGAGTCTTGAGAAGATTGAGGCGTTTGTCAAAAACTCCAAGAGCATTCGATAGAGCAAGGATTCGAAAAAGCAAATACCATGATAGAAATGAAGGAATTTTTCTAGTATATACAGAATTTCTTTTTGACATACCTCAACCTGTGTAAGCTATTACCGCAAGCAGCTCGACCGCAGGCGTGCCAATTTGTCGTGAGCGCTGTTTGCCAACCGCGTGTGTGCACGCTGGTCACCGCCTCGAATTTAGATAAATACCAGCTATGATTTCCTGCGCTCTTCTAATAATTCGATACGATTTCCAGAAGCTCCAGGAAATCAATCATGTTTCCTGCATCATTCCTTCACCTCGTCGCCTTCGCATCAGCCATAGTGTACACGATGCCTTGTCAAATATTCAAGAATCGTGTGATAGCGACCGCAGGACCGCCTCCACCGTCGATCACTCTTGAGAACTTGCGAAGTTGGATACCTCTTCGCAAGGGTCGCTTCGTTGACTCTTTCGACGATGATGTTACTCACCTACTCTGCACCCACGAGCAGTTCAAGAAAAGGGTGCCCCTTGGTATCATCGCCATTTCTCTTCAATTGTGGGTAGATGCTGACAATGAATCGATTCTTCCAGTTAAGCAAGTCTTGAGAGATCATAGGCGCGTCCATATTGTTCACTATGACTGGCTCGAGTTCTCTGCCGTGTTCAACAAGCGGCTCCCTGAGCGGGAGTACTCCATGCGCAACATCTTCGCCAAGGAAAGGGCAGAAAGGCGTGAGAGAAATTTGAAAGAGAATGGGCGACGGCAAGGCGAACGGGGCGTGAATCCGAGTAAGTTGTCCGCGCACTCCCGCGCGTCAGAAAGCATGGTCCAGTTGGGTTCGATGCTAATGTTTCGTCTTGCGCACCAGCTTTGTTCCATGTCTATCAAGACCGGGAGTTCTTTTCATATCAGATAAATCTTACTCGCAACAATTCCTATGATGGCGAATTTGGGCAGCGATACATACTGACAGTGAGTTGATCAGGCCACAGGTGCCTCTAGCAGCTTTCATCCACTAACAAGTATGCGAAGCTGTGGGAGTCCGATGCAAAGCCGCATCTGTATTGGTTCACGGCCAAATTCATGAGGCGAAAGGGAGATCCAAACGCCTGCTATCATCGCCCCAGTCCGTGTTCGGGCAAATGGCGCCTCGAGATGGACCACTTCGTCAACTTTTTCCGCATCAAAGCGGGTATCGATTGGCAGGATCGCGTTCTCCGAGAGGGAACCACGCCTCTGTCTCTGTTTCAATACAGCCCACCAGTAAGCTTCAGTTTCTCAACATCTCGGAATGCGTGGCTGACATGGATACTCCAGACCGGCGGCAAGCCTGTTGGCAGACGCCTTCGGTTTTCGTACGACCATTGTGTGGAGTTGAACTTGGAATGGAAGAGGCGGAATCTGCCACAGGAGATCGATCACGAAATAGAGAATAGAGATGCAGAAGAAGTAGACGGGTCTGCGGAAGATGATGACGGGGACTCTATCGGCGACGATGAGGAGGGTGGCATCGCAATAGACATCGACGAGGAGTTCCGGGAGGTTTCTCCAGGTGCGGCCCAGGCCATTGAAGAAAGCGACGAGCCAAAGTCCAAGCCACCCACGTCGGAGAGCATTTGTATCTCGCCTGGAGAGGAAAGCACTGAAGCGTCAGGCGATGAGCGCGCCGAGCCGAGTCCGGGACCACTTGATCCACCAAGGCAGCTGTGAGAAATGCAGCTGCAAAACAAAATTGCCCCGGGAGGGGTTTGAGGAGTCATTCGTGGTATCATTTGATATACATATAGCTTTCTGATTTGCACTAATACACTGGCTGCAGCTTTCAAGCCCCAACTCGCGTCGAGTGCGTTTGTTACCTCTTCCCTCTCAAAACCTCAGTTTCGGAAAAACAAAGACGAGCAAGACCAAGACAAGCATCAGCCCGTAGATCCAGGCATACAGTATCATCCGCCCCCACCAGCCCTTGCCCTCCGTCATCCTGCGCAGCGTGCCCATGCGCCCGCGCGCCGCCTCCATGCTCTGCTCCGTCTTGGACATGCCCTCGCTCGCGCGGCCCACCGCCTCCCGGTCGGCCTCGAGCGTCGACGAGAACCGGTGCGAGCTGGCCTTGAGCGCACCGGCCATCTCGAGGATGGACGCCGAGAGCGCGTCCTGCTCCGCGCGCTGCTGGTCGAGGATGGCCTCGGCCGTGGCCGTCGACGTCTCCGGCGGCGCGGGGGCGGCCCGTCGGCGGTTGGCGAAGAGGGCCGCGCGCGCCGACGAGTACGACGGCGACGCGCTGGTGGTGGTAGCGGCGCCGGCAGCAGCAGGCGTGGTGTTCTCGGCGCCGTGGCGGCCCCGTAGGGTCTGGCTGGTTTGTGTCGGGGCCGGCGCAGCAGCGGCAACGGACTCGGTCGGAGGAGCTGATCTGGTCGCGGGGGGTGGGGAGGAGGCCCCTGTTGCGGCAGTGCGGTCCTGTGCGGTGGGTGAGTCGGGCTCGGTATCGAGTGCCGGTGGCGTGTATTGCGGATCGGTGTCTTCGGTGGTTGAAGTCGCGCTTTGGCTAGGAGTCGGGATGAAGCCGCCCAAAAGGTCCTCCTCGTCTGAGCTGTCATCGTCTAGCTCATCCTCATCTGCCGCGACCTGCCCAGGGTTAGCTTTGGATTCTCGCTGGTTAAATGCCAAGGAAATTACCTGGCGCAAGTCCTTTAACCTATCGAATAGAAGCTCTAGGGTCTCCCGGTGCTCGGCCAGGAGAGGGTCCGCGTTGGACTTGAATGGTGTCGCCGCAGCGTCCTGTTCAAGCTTTAATAATCGGGCATGTACGTGTTCGAGGTTCTATTCAGATTTAATTAACGCATTGTTCTAGTCGTGAGGAGGGCTATGCAAGGCTTACCGAGGCCAGCTTCTCCCTCTCAATGGAACTTCGACGAAGCCGTCTCTCGTGCTGCGGCGTAGGGTGCAGAATCGTGTCTTGCAATCGACTAAGAATGTGGGCTAACTCCCCAGCTTCCGCTCTTGTTGAATCGCCCGCGGACTCGAGAGGAGTAGATGTTCGCGCCATGGTACGTTGTGTTGATATAGATTGACAAAGGAAGAAATGCTGCCAGGTAGCTTTGCTCGGTAGGTAGCTCTCGGTACGCATAGTTGGCCTGTGACGTGTGCCAACGGCTGCCACTTACTAGCCGCGCCCCGCCAAATCTACACTGATACCCTATACGTCGTTGTATATATTTGTATGCCAATCAATAGCCAAGATGAGTAAGAAAATGCACTCATTAAGGGGTTCCGACCTTAAATTCACTACTAAAAGGCTCGGTGAAGCCTTAAAAAGACAGACAGAACAATAGCGGTGATTATGATAGTAATGCACAAACCTTTGAAAGCGTGCTATGTCGCCATGATTACCGGGTTTGAGAAGTTTGGTAACAACATGGAGAAATTTGCAAATTTATTACCTTCATGATATATACCTATGCAGTTTAAACGGATGTTAATCGCGAGTCCCGCTCGCAACACCTAGTCTTCTGTCTTGACCTTAGTATCCTCTTCTTCCAGCCGTAGGGATTCTTTCAGCCGTTGTTCTTGCCTCCTCCAATGACCCCCTTCTTCATAATTTGAGCTTATTTTGAGTGCTCTTCTCATTCTTTCATCTTCCTTCAACTTCGCATCCGCCATAGCATGCACCTGATGCCCCTTGAATTGCCGCCGGGGCCCGTTGGACCCATTACCGGACTTCATTTCGTCGAGAAGCTTTTGTCGAAGCGCATCGCATTGCTTTTCGATCTCGTCCTCGTCCACCCTAAATCAGCCAGTCAGCTCATCGATCCAAACTCAACACTCTCTTGGCGCCTTCGAGCTTACTCGTCGTCTTCTAGCTTGTCGCGGAGCTCGAACACCTTGACCTCGATCTCGCGCTTGCGGTCATGCTCTAGAATACCTTTGTCTGGTTGCCGTTGCTTGTGAGGTAGGGAATCGGTGTTTTTAGGATACGGCGCAGCGTGATCGCGTGGACGCATGTGCGCCAGGTTCTTTTGAACATAGCCGGAGGTTCCGCTCCCGCGGGGGGTAGACAGACCAACATTGTCCGACATGACCATGGGATCTTGGAATGATGCTGGCAACGACTATATCTGCGATGACTTATGAAGCCGCTGGAAGAGTTGTACAACGCTGCTGCTGTGGTTTGTAGGTTGCAAGAAACATGCCCAAATCCTTGGTGGGGTGTCATTGTAGAACCAACGTCACAACAGCTAGAATGGGTAGGCGGTGAGGGCGCAAACGCAGCTTGAAGACGGCAGAATTGGGAGAGTCATAGTGGGGGAAGACGAAGTCTGTCAAAAATGAAGAGTCAAAGATAATGGTTTCTGTGGCAAAGTTATAAAATCAAATCCTGTCCTTTGTCTCCTCTGATTTAACGGGGTTTTCAGCGAATTATCAGCAAAATGCCGCATCTGGGTGAAGACAATACAGAGGGCTCAGAGCCTGCGTTTGTCTTTCCTCCAGTAACAAAAGATCATATCCAAAACTGTTCTTACGACGCTTGGTTCCCCAAGTATCGCAGCTCTTGTATCAAGTCAAGAATTATCCCAATTTCTGCCGACTTCATCACCTACTTACAGGAGGATGGGATTATCTTGGCAGATGACAGTGATGTCCTTGGCGACGCGCAAGACGATGAATGGCAGAGCTCTGGTGCTATGACTTCCAACAATGCGCCGAATGACAGCCAAGATTCGGATGAAGACGAAGCTCTACAACTACCTCCAAATCAACGTTTTCCAGAAACTCATACCAAGATCAAAGAGACCATTGAAGAGCTTGGCGGAGCAGTTGCGCCCAAGCTCAACTGGTCTTCGCCGAAGGATGCCAAGTGGATTTCAGCACACCAAAATAGTCTCAAGTGCACCTCACCAAACGATATTTACCTTCTCCTGAAGTCCTCGTCATTCATTTCACACGATCTCGCTCACGCATTTGATGGGTGTACCGCTCCGGAGCCCACCCGGCCATTCAGCCCGGTACTCGTGCTCCGCCCTTACTTTACACCTCACGTGGCGCTGGAGTTCAGGTGTTTTATTAAGCATCGCCAACTAATTGGAATCTCGCAACGAGACTTAAACTATTACGACTTTCTTGAGGTTCTGAGGCCGAACCTTTGGCGCAAGATTACCAAGTTTTACAACGAGACGTTGCAACACACATTCCCTGATGCTAGCTTCACGTTCGATGTCTACGTTCCAGAGAACTCCCTAGCAGATGATGGCTTAGGAAGAGTTAGGCTCATGGATATTAACCCTTGGGCGATTCGTACCGATGCGCTGTTGTTCAGCTGGGAAGAGCTGCTTCAGCAAGAAGTTGCGAGACCACTTTATGGCCCTCCGGCCGGTGCGGACGCTGCTGATATCAGCGGGGGAGAGACAACTGCCGATGAATTGGACGACGAAAGCATCCAAGATTACAGTCCTACTTGTCTCCCTGAGCTTAGAATCGTGGAGAAGGACGATCCTGGCGCGTACAATTTTAGCACACCACAGTACTCTGCGCACAAGCTACCCAAGGAGGTTGTCGATGCCAGTCTGGCCGGAGAGGGAGGGCTACGAGAATTCGCACAGCAATGGAAGGACATTACTGAGGGACGCGGCGGTAACATGTGGGAGCAGCCTGGTGCTGGGGGCGCATGAGTTCCTTACCTATAGATAGACTTAACAATGTTCTGACTAGGTAAACGCAGTGGGGTGGAGGAGTTTAAGCCCAAGGCGGCGAGCAACATGGATTCATAGGTCAAAGATTACTCAAATCAATAAAGGTGAAGCTACCAGACGAAAGGATATCACGAGATGCCCCAAATTCACATACCCCTCACCTTCTAAGCGAGGCAAATCGTTGTTTTGCAGCAGTCAAGCGAGCATGTGGCTCGTGCGTTGGTTAACACTTCGAATCGCCTTGCCAGCTGTTGCCAGCTGCCAGCTCACTTACACGATCAAACACGAAACCCTTTCGCCACCCGCACGCACAACTCTACAGTTGAACTCGAGCACCCGTCAATATTTCAACAAACACGACCGATATGCCTTCTCGTCCTCGACCATCAAAAGTTACAAAGCAAAATGGAAGCACTCGTAACCGCAAGCCCTCGTCTGGCACTGTGCAACAGGAGCTAGAACACCGCTATGTTGTTGCCAACGGAAATGTGAGTTGACCTTCATTTAACATCTTCCCTTGACTTTTCTTTTCCACAACTCGCCTTTTTTGCTTGCTCCATCAGCCGCAAAGCACCAATCAACATACTGATCAAAGTCTCCAAGACTAATGGACACGGCCTAATCGACCGCGTTTCCCTTGGCCACCAGATGGCCCTCCCACTTCGTCAGACAAGCCCTTTTCCTCGCGTGGGCGGCAGTAGCGACGTCCCTGACAACTTCTCCTTTGCCCCCCAGCCAAACCCTTACCCCGTGCTCGGCCCTCCGCAATACTCGACTGCCGCCGACCTCGCACGCTCCAAGTACGGCGCCGACGTCAAGCTAGACAGCGCGCTGTGCAAAAAGCTCGGCGCCGAGGAGGCCAAGCGTCCGCCCACGCAGCGCCGCGCCGACCAAAAGCTCAACATCGACCGACGCAGCAACATGGAGGCGTTCGTCGCCCACGTCACCGGCCAGGTCGTCAACAGGCCGTGCAAGAACTGCTACAAGGGCCACGGCCCCTGGACGCAGTGTGTCGTCTACGAGGGCCAGATGTGCGGCAGCTGCACCAACTGCTGGTACAACGCAAGCGGCTCGCGCTGCACGTTTCATGGTACGTTGAGCAATTGCCTGTCTTGCGGGATGTGACTTACAGCGAGGAACAGGCATCGGCACTGGCTCCCCTCCCCCCGCTGCAATGCCTCCGAGCGGCGTCCCGGCCAACGGGTCTGACGAGACCGGCGGCGGCAACTTGCCCTATTATACGTCGCCCAAGGATGACGCGAAGGTCATTCCAGATTGGGCGACGCCGCATCGAGACAACGAGAGCAACGACTCCTCGCAGAACCATTCGCATGCCTCGGAGCCGCTCCCTACCCAGCCGCCCGCCTACATGGCCTATCCGCCGCCGGCCCAGTCGATGCCTCATCAGGGGCTTGCTGGCATGGGGATAATGGCCGGTGGCGGCGGAGGGCAGGACGCGGCTGCCTCAGTCGCTTCCTGGATGGCCTGCGAGCCAACGCGCCGGCTAATTCGCCAGGCCATGGACGACGTGGCTATGCTGAGCCGGCGCGACCGGTACATCGCTCGTATTGAGACGGCGGCTGAGGAGCTCGGCATGCGCATCGCCGAGTACAATGAGTACATGAAGACGCCAGAGGGCGTCGCCGATCTGCAGCACTTCCAGGAGGCCGCGGCTGCGAACATGATGCCTCCGGGTCATGCGCACGACGCGCGCATGGACACCACCATGGAGACCGAGTCGATTCACGGCGATAGTTCCATGGCTTGAACTTGTTTGTCCTGGGGAAGTTTTCATATCTTGTCAAACTATTTGCTCCTACGCAGCACTGGCAGCACGCCTTTGCCATATATACTGGCAATTTTTTCTGCGTCTTCCTTCTCAGAAAATACTGCTGTCATCTTCGGATATTTGCTTCCACGGTATTTCCAGCGATTTTTGTGTTTTTGGCTTGGCCAGGGTCCTTGGGCGAAAAAAAAAAGGCATCTTTGGTGGGTTGGGAAAAGCGAACAGCGGAAAAAAGGGGAACTTGGGGAGGTTGGTGTTGTTACAACATATGCCAATACCAAAAGATGAGAAGACCCAAACGGGTTCGCACCTGTCATGTACTTAGCTAAGGGATCATGACACAGATCACAAACCTAGGTTCTTCGAAAACTGTCGCCTCCTTCCTCACGGACAGGGCTGCACTTGGACTCACATGCTATGGGGACGTCAACAGGCAGGAGGATTCAGGGTTGTTTTTTTCTCAAAAAAGAATTTCGTAATTAAACAAAGTAAATGCATCAGCTGCGCGCGCCTTTGTGCCTCTTTTCTTCTTTCGTCAAGATGCCAGCCATCCGTGTTTCCGTGTTGTACTCCGGCCTTTCTTGACACCAATCTTCTCCTTCTGTCGGATAGCCCGAAAAGGAAACCAAAGAAAACCAAAGATATAGAAAAAAAAAGGATACACATTGCGCGCTATTGCTTTCCTTCAGCCAACGGCTTGGCCAGCACAAAAAAAGAAAACAACTCAAGAAAACTTGCCTTCAACTCTTTTTACATACAGCGCCTAGCTTAAAAAGATAAAAAGAAGAAAAGAGGAAAGCACGACGAGAATAGAGAACAGGTAATAAGAACTCAATAAAATGAGAGGGAAACCGACGAGAATCACAGGAGAAAGAAAAGAAGATGAACAAATATCCACTCCGTTTCCTCCTCGATCCAAGGCTAGTCCCCTTTGTAGGGGTCAGGGCGCGTCAGGCGTTCCGCGCCGTAAGCGACCAACCAACCATTGAGTTTTGCCGACAGACCGGTTATGGTGCCCGCTGGGCAAATAAATTGGCCTTTGTCGTTTATTAAAGCAAAACTGGTCGCGTGATAAGATTGAAGATTCGCGGAGTGATCCAGGAGTTTGAACGAAGAAAATACCGGACGCTGGTTATGGCCGCAGGCTCGGGCCGCTGGCATGATGACCATTTGTATACAAATTCGTAAGCCGCCTCCCCTAGGTCCGTATAGTTTCGTAATCGACTTTGAGGGTATTCATGGGTGCTAAAAAGAAAACGCGAAAAAAAAGAAGCACAATATTTGAAAAGAGAGCGCAGTTTAAATTAGGCCACACAAACGCAGATTCTCCTGGATAATGATGTCTGTAGACTATTAGCGCGTGAGGTAGCTACGGCTGTAGAACAAATCATACCGTTGACAGCAGCCATGACAAACCGAATTTGGGTGGTGTCAGTGGCGCATGTAAAGTGTGTGTAAATCTGCTTGTTCTCGTGCTGATTGAGGCTGACAAAGCGGTTCAAGATGTAGTCGCAAGCAGCAGCGTAGTCGTCGCCCCCTTCGTAGTCGGGGAAATACATCTTCATAGGACTATTGGGTAGCTTCTCCTTGAAGCGATCAATCTTGTTGAGGAACAGAATGATGGACGTCTTGGTGAACCACCGCGAATTGCAGATGGAGTCGAATAGGGTCAGAGCCTCCTGCATACGGTTGACAGTCTCGTCTTCGAAGAGAAGCTGGTCGTATTCGGAGATGGCGACGAGGAAAAGGATAGTTGTGACATTCTCGAAACAGTGAATCCACTTCTTGCGCTCAGAACGCTGGCCACCGACGTCGAACATGCGGTAGGTGAGGTCACCAATGATGAAGGTCGTCTCGGTGATACCAGTGGTCTTGACTCGCGAGCGAAGAACGTCTTGGTCGTTGGGCATGTAGTCAGGGGCGGCGATGCGGGTAATGTTGTCAAAGTAGCTGGGGACAGGTTAGTATTGACGGATGACAGACTGGTTTGCAAGTTAAGAGTCTGCCCGAAGACAACTTACTATCTAGCCGAGTCGTTGAGCTGGTACTCGCGCGAGCGCCTAAAGCACCTTTGCACGCCGACGTCTTTCCAGAGAGCCTCAATGGCTCCGCCGACCTCGGGAGGAAGAACCTCGCCTTCGATCTGGGCGGGTTGGATGAAGATGGTCTGGACATGGTATTCCATGCGCTGGTCATCTAGAGGGAGCTCGAGAGACTCCATGGCTTCGAGAATGACGCGCATCGATTGGACCGTGTTGCTGAAGATAATCTCCTTGAAAGATTCGCGCTCATCGCGGGAGTAGCCGCCCTCATGAATGAGCTTCATCTGCTTAAGGATGGTTGACTTGCCCGATTCACCAGCACCTGGCGTAGGGTCAGCACGACGAGTTTCGGCCATACAACTTCGGCCCTCCGGCGACACGAAGACAGACAGGGCATCTTCAGATGCGGGAGCCAAACTTACCCAGAAGAAGCATCTTGATCTCGTTGCGCTGCATCATTCTGTCGCGGCGAAGCTGGTTCTCAATCTCCTCGTTACGGGCTCGACCCTCCTTCTCCTCTGCGCTCATTCCGCAACCCATCTTGGCTGTATTGGACTGATAATCGCTTTCGGGCGCTGGTTAGAAAAGAGGGAAGAAAAAGTCGTTTCTGACTGTCGGAGATTATTATTGGCGCCCCTGATCCTAGTTGGCAAAACCGTCGATGAGATCCTGTGTCTGCGGAGAGGGGTCAGCAAAATAGGGGAAGAGGATAAGCTGTAGTGGATGGCGGCAGCACGGGCGTGGCACGAGTAATTGATGAGGAGAAAAAAAGACGAGCAAGCGGGAAGCCTCAAGACTGCGACCACAGACTGCCACAGTCTGAGTGCCGTAGATGGGAGTATCGCGATCACCTCGACGTGGGAATTTGGCGATGAATGCTGGCGGGCAAGGTGCTGGAACAGTGAAGCTGGCGTCCCCCCTGGCGTGGCTGGTAGTGGCGGGCACAGCGTACTACTAAAACAACCGGCGATGCGGGCTGGGGTGGTTGGTGGTGGGAAAGGGGAGGAGGAGTAATGCTCACCAAAAAAGACTGATTGCGCCGAGGAAAAAGAACGCAAAGGACAAGCCAATTGAGGGCGGCGAAGGAGGAGGAAGCGCGTACGACGATGGAAGGAGGTGAGAAGAAAAAAGGAAGCGGAATGAGTTGAGATGCGATGGTTGCAAGCGGAAAGCGGGTGGATGGGCAGATTGGTGTGGCTCGTCAGAGGAAATGAGTTTGCGAGGGGACGACTGGAAAAGATGGGAGGGGCCTGTCCAAGCACAGCTTGGTTCAAGCTAGCGGGTGGCAGGCTACTACTAACAGCTGCAGCGACCAGTGGAAGGTGGCATGAGGCATACGGTGGTAATAGCACCATAGCGGTATGGCAGCCACAGGGAGAGCGGGCGCTAGAAAAAGGAGAGAGGGGAGATCACTCAGTCACCCCAGCGGGAATTTACAGAGCTACTGGCCGCTGTAAGCTTTACCTGCAGACATACATACATACGTACCTACATACAAAGATGCTCTCCGCCGGCGCTAGTGTTTAGCGGGTCAACACTGGACTTGGACAGTGCAGTTCCCCCCATTTCTGCACGGTACCCAGGTACCTGCCTCCACGCCAATCTCACGCAGAACAGGGGCCCAGATCATCATCTGGCCCCCTGTATTTGCAGCGGCCAGCCGCAAATTCCAATTCCCCTTGGGTGGCGTCGAATGTCTCTAATATCGGCGGTGCCCACCAGAACAGGTACCGTGTACACAGTGTCCGCGGTTGCATCCACTCATCCACCACTCTGGGGCCATCCCACCTGTCTCCTGCAGGCAGTCCCTGAGATGGAAGCTAGAAAAACCTGAGACGGGCAGGTCCGCCTTCACATCTTCGTATCTATCGTCAGCAAGGGATTCGCCTCCACCGGCCGTCGACAATACCAGAAATTCGGGAGTCAATGTACTTCGTACCACGAAAGCCAGGTTTCAAAGCAGTGGCAGCTTTCTTGTGTCCTGTTAAATCTAACTTGATCTGCCATGCTCTGCCTAGGTACACAGCTATTCAGCTATTTACACGATGACCCAAGCTTGCGTTTGCTCAAAACATCACCGTCATGAGCAGCTACGATGAAGGCTCCGTGCCAGTAGCCTCGTTTGCGTCTTTCTGCCGCCATCCTCAGCCCGCCACCAGGGGATCGACGCACGTCGCAGACTTGGTTTGACGCGCCCCTTCGCTGCATTGCCTTCTAACAACTCCTCGAACCGCCTTCTAGTCCTGGCTGACTCGCTCACCCAGCCGAATCACCGCGACAGCCCTGCCCTCTGCCACACATTGCCGAGTCTCCTCATCTCATGGGCAGTTTTCTACGAAGTAACCTTGCCCCCCGTTGGCCCCTGTCTGGCCTGGGCTTTCCATACTAGCCGGGGGGCCCTGCGCCTTTGGTCAATTCGCTAGCGCCGGTGCTTTGGGGCAAAGGCTCTTCTTGAGTTGCGGGGACCGGTGCCAGCGTTCGAACTAGACGGAATTCAACTAAGGTGAGGATACTGATAGTTATGACAGCTGCCGTGGATCTATTGTGGCCATGCAGTCAGCCAAAATTCACAAATTCCCAAGCAATGGTCTACTTTTCAACTGTACCGTTTCGACGTGCAAGTGAACGTTCTCGGCGACATCTCGCGAGACCGAAGTAAAGGGCACTGCCTTGAGGCATTGGTACGACACACAGCAGCACTCAACCGATCTTGGAGTACAGGGAAGCATCGCTACGCATCAACTCATTCAGCAGAGGTAGCCTCGTGTTACGTGCCACATCCGACACACCGGTATCTACATAGCTACTTCCGTGTTCTGTCACCACGAACGGCGTCAAGCGCATGATTATACAATCATAGCGTGTTATGTCTCACCTATCCCGCTACCAGGCTATTTGTTCGGGGGGATCTGCATACAGCAGCGGGCGGAACAGAGCGCCAGACATTTTTCTGGGACGCGTAAGGAAGGGTCCCTTGCATGCTTGACATGATAATATCCGGCATTTGCATGAAGCTGAGATTCCAGCCGCCGTGGAAGCAGACTGAAATCTCCGCTATGGTCAATTCTTCGGGCCGGACCTAGGTATAGTGGCCGTGGACCCGTTTCTGCGACAGCTTATTTGGCCGTAGCCTTCCAAGTCAGATCTGCGGCAGAAGACGAGACAAGCGGGCTACTGACGGGTTGAACCACAGAGTTGCCAAGCGACAATTACTTGTTTTGCGCTTTCACCTAAAGACGTCGCGATGATGCATACTCGCATACCGGGTAGTTTCCACTTGGCTCCAGGTATGCTGTCCGACAGCTTCCGCCAATTTCTCAACCGTGGTAGCGAGATTACCTACATTATGCAAGCAATTACTTTTTATCAACTGTCCTACGCTATGCAACTAGTTGTCGAATTGCCAGGACGATCCGCCTAATAATCAAGTGGCTAAATACGCGTTGCTGAAATTGTTGAAAAAGAAAATACATTTACTAACTGAATAGGATATAAAGGGAGGAATTAAAGTAGTCATTACTTTAACGATCTTTTTGGGGTCTCGCAAGAATAAACCAGCTTTGGACTCTTCGAGGCCAACACAAAGTATCCAATCCTCTTCGTCATTTCTCATGCCGCGTGCGCTACCGCTATTTTGCGCTACCCTCCTTTCTCTGTCATAATACGACAATGCTACCTATCTTTTTTTGTTCGTCGCTTTCTCTCACGCCTTGAGAATCTTGACAAGCTCAACGACGATGGCATCGCCCGCTTCCACCGTGCCCGTGTTGCCACCCATGTCCTTGGTCCTCAGGCCACCGTCGATGGCGGTGCGGACGGCGCTCTCGACGGCCTTGGCCTCGGAGGGGAGGTTCAGGGAGTAGCGCAACATCATGGCGACGGAAAGGATGGTGCCAATCGGGTTGACGATACCTTGGCCGCTAATGTCTGGCGCGGATCCTGGAGAATGCGTTAGTGAAGTGTACGAGCCAAATGTGGGAGGCGTCATCGAAGACAGGGGTCAGAGTGGGAGGAGGGAGCCTACCGTGGATGGGCTCGTAGATGCCCTGGGCCTTGGGCTGTTTCTCGTCGGGGATGCCGCTGAGACTGGCGCTGGGAAGCAGCCCGATGCTGCCGGGGATGACGGAGGCCTCGTCCGAAAGAATATCGCCTTGCAAGTTGGAGCAGAGGATGACGCCGTTCAGCTTCGTCGGGCTCTTGACCAGGATCATGGCCGCGCTGTCGATGAGCTGGTGCTGGACCGTGATTTCCGGAAACTCGGCCTGGAAGATCTCGGTGACGACCTTGCGCCAGAGGCGGCCGGTGGCGAGCACGTTGGCCTTGTCGAGCGACGTGACCGTCTTCTCGCCGCGGCCGCGGGCTAGGAAGCCGCCGAGCCGGGCGACGCGCTCAATCTCGGGGCGCGAGTAGGGCTCCGTGTCCCAGGCCTCGCCGGAGCCGTCGTCTTCCTTGCGGGTGCCAAAGTAAATTCCGCCGGTCAACTCGCGGACGATGACGAAGTCGGTGCCGCGGCAGACGGACGGCTTGAGCGGGGAGGCGTCGACGAGGGCGTCGGATGCGAAGAAGCACGGGCGCAGGTTGCCGTAGGTGCCCATCTCCTTGCGCAGGCGCAGTAGGCCCTGCTCCGGTCGGACGGCGCCGGTGCCCCATTCGGGGCCGCCGATGGCGCCGAGGAGCACGGCGTCGGAGGACTTGGCGGCCGCGAGGGCCTCGTCTGCGAGGGGGGAGCCGGTCTTGTCGATGGAGCACTGGTGAGGGGGACGGCCGAGGTTAGCGACGTGCTCTTCTCGGGGTGGGACGAGAAGCGACTTACCCCGCCGAGGAGGTGGTCATTGAGGTTGAATTTATTAGAAGTATGCTGCTCGATCGTCTTGAGGACCTGTAGAGCATTTTTATTAGATCTAGTTCTATGTGTGACTCGTGAAAGATTGCGAATTGTACCTTGATCGCCTCTGCAACAACCTATCCAGATCGCCAACCGTTAGCATCTCTCGCTCCAGGTTGCATGGTAAAGGCCTGGGGAACAAACTTACCTCCGGACCGCAGTGGTCGCCTCCAAAAACAACAATATTGTGCTCGGCCATTTCTTATGTGAATGAAGCAAATATGGCTAGATTGTGTTAACCGAGATGCGAAAATATGTCGATGCGGGGGTGGGGGAAGGAAAGCCGTCGGAGTAAGAGCGAGGCTTGCGTTTATAGCTGCGAAAAGCTCGGGCTGAAGCAGCAGCACAATTCAAAATGAATAGTTGGTTGTATAGCAAGAATATTTCTGAAGGAATTGAAGCAAGAAAGAAAAGAACTGAGCTTTATGATGGATAATAATTCGACTTTGCGAAGTCGGAGAGCGAAGCTCTGGTTTACCCCACTTGCCGACTTCGGAGAGAGCTTCACCCCGCTTCTACATGTTCGGTGATGATCGTTTTCGTAATAACTACTAATGAATTGAGCACCATTAACCGGCGATTGAATCAAACAAGGAATCAATTTCCGTGGCCTCCGGAGCTCCGGGTTAACTAATTGGCTCTTCCTAGTGAAACGGCTGCTCTCAGTTGCCGTATTATTGTAGGATTTGCTTAGGAATTGGGCGAAGCCAAATTTTGGTAGAGTATCTGCATGTCGGCGTTCGGTAGGTTGCTATTCCGCACTGGATTCCGCTTTTTTAAGCGTGTGCTGAAGCTTTCGGCTTTGTGAGATGCGATTCCACGCCGACATGGACTTCTACTATGTAGGTCGACAACGCTACCATGGCTCGTCTGTGAAGAAATGGCAAAAAAGTGATGCGAGATCGGACAGAAGCACCCAAGAAAGGCAGTCTCAGTTCCCTCTAAACAAGAAATTGGTAATTGGGCGAAGGATAAAGAATCATTATATGGAATAGTTTACATATTACAAGAGTAGAGTTAGTAAATCGTTAAGCTCTGCATTTGTATCTTACCTATGCGGACTAAGGTTTATATAAGCAGGGTGGTGTTGCCACGATCTTCTGTCAGGGGTCGTGGAAATTATCGGTCCAGCGCCCCAAGCTGAGAGGCTAGAGTCGGATTCGGTTGGTTTTCTCGCTGGCCACTTCTCCGCTGGACTATTGGAAAACAGCCCCCTGACTTGTCTGCACCCATGACTGCAATGGCCCCTCCCCTGTGGCAAGGCTGCCCGTCATCATCTGCAAGGATGGAGCTCGCCAGGATATCATGCAGGATGTCAGGGGCTTCTAGAAGATTTGCCGAAGAGCAAGTTTGCCAAACTGTATCGGTGCTTTCCAATTGACCTCTTTTGTAAGTAAATAAGGGGGCGCAAATCTGCATCTTTGAAACCCAAGGTGGAACTGTTGCTATTGATGTGATAGTGCACATTTTTGCTTTTTCTAGCTCAATACTGTGAATCAAGCTATTTACCTTTGGGTACGGGTCGAGATTATGTATATACATAGATCTCTATAGATAGGTATGTATGTATCCGTACCTGCAACCACAACACAACCAGGCTGACACATGCTACCCTGGTGGCCGTCCCTGCGATAATAACCCTAAAAGAAAAACGCGCTGTATTGATGCGAATAACGCAAATTTTATTCAAGTCACAGGCGCCAATGGCCAAGCGCGCTGTGAATACGGTGGGAGTCCTCCTGCGGCGCGCACGCGCACACCCACCTACAACATAGGGGTCAGTGCTACGTGACTTGCTGGAACTGCAGCCGTGCAGCAGGCGACCCATCTAACGTTACTTGGAGGAGCCTCCTCGTTCTCAGATAAATTATACTGAAGAGACCCCTACACCTTGTTCCTATAATACTCGAGTATTATACAGAACTCCCCACCCGGCGGTTCGGTATTGAAGAGCCACGTGCCCATGAAGCTGGTCTGAGCACGGCACCAAGTTGTAAAAGACCCGACGTTGTGGTTCGTCAAGGTTTTCACCAGGATTGCAAAGGTTCGACCAACCCAGCTGTGGAACGGGTGACAAATGTGCAATTGTTATGGTGGAAGTAGGACAAACACAGCCCGTGCTGGGTCACGGAGTGTTTTTTTATCTTATTATCTGTGTAACCGTGCTACGAGAGAACTCGGTCTGTTCCGACTGTTGGGATGCGGTGGGGAAGGGGACGATGAAGCATGGAGAATTGAATTTTTATTATAGCTAGACTTGATTCGTGATGCCAAGGAAATATAAAGATGTAAAGTATGGTATGATGTTGAACGCCGAGTAGAAAATGCAGAGCCAAGCCAAGCCATGTAGAGCCGAGTACAAAGGAAAACAGAGCCGTCAAGACGTTGTCGCAAGAGTTAGTTACTGCGCAAGATGAAACTTGAAGAAAACAAGACGCCATAGAAAGCCACCAACGCGAATCTTTACGCGGACACCCCGACAAAGAGGGTCGAGTGGGCAATGGTAAAGGTGCAGCCAAACTCGGGTGCTGGTGTTGCCATCCAACTCTGGACCCAGCTGGTCCTCTTCTTGATGCCCTCAACAGCGCCGGCCGACGCCGTCCTCTGAACGGGCTCATCCACCTCTTCGTCGTCGTCGTCGGCGTCGCTGTCATCGCTGTAGCGGCTGCTGCTGTAGTGGCTGTCGCGGCGATAGAGGGGCATGCCCGCCAGGGCGTCGCGGGTGGCGGTGACGGCGCGGCTGATGGACGCGCGCTTCCACTGAGTCGTGGAGGTGAGAGAGAGGCGGGAGGAGGGCCGTCGGGTGAAGACGATGGACAGGCGCTTCTTCAGACTCGGCGTGTCGGTGTCGGACTCTAGGCTGGAGAGGTCCAACGATGCACGTTCGCGGCGGTACTTGCCCTCGCCGTTGAGCTCTTGGAGGGCAATGTATCGGGCGTCCTTCTTGAAGAAGCGGCGGCGGATCTTCATGATTCTTGCAAGTATCGTTTGTTGTAAATGGGTAGAGAGGTAGATAGAGCAAAAAGGAGAAGAGCGGAGGGAGGTAGGATAGATAGAGGTGAAGTGGAAATGGGGCTTGTTGTTTGTTTGCTGTCGTGTATACAACTTAGAGTTCACTTGTCTCTTGTATGACAAGCTGTCGTGTAAGCTACCTATGTAGCTTGCCGGTGTAGAGTTTAATACGAGAGATTGGAAAACGGAAGTAGGAAAAGGAAAGAAAAAAAGAGGGAGAGGAAGAGCATACAGACTACAAGGTTAGAAAAGGCATGCTCCCGTTAAAAGGACAAACTGCAGGCCCTGTTTGGGAGAAAAGAAATGAAAAAGGGTGGTGGCCACACACACACACACACACACACACAGCACCACCACCACCAGGCGCGAGACCGTGCGTCCGGACGGACTAGAGCATCACATCACCGTCAGGGCGGCGGCTTCGCGTCGCGCGGACGGGAGGAAAAACGCTTTGGTTGGTTGATTAGGTTGTTGGTATGCGAAATGTTTCACCCGCGCAAGGCACGGCGGTCTAGGACCTGTAGGGAGAGTGAGTAAATACGTGTCTTGCTTCCTTTTTCTGCTCTCTTCCCGCACCCTTTGGCTTGCACTGTGCCGCAAATCTGCATTTTTGAACAAGACATATGTGCTGCTGGCGTGATGGAGGCTGGCATGATGTGCGCGGCATCTGGATGAACGCCATGACATCCTGAGACACGATGGGCAGCGCCACCCTACGCCTCGTGAGGGAGCGCACGGAGAGGGGGGGGGGGCGCAAACGCATAATAGTCTAATTAAAGACTGGGTAAATTCAAACGGAAGACATGAGTTGAATGCCTGAATGGTTCGTGCAGCGGAATTGATCCGAATGAGATGAAAAGGGGACAGTTAATCCAATTCATCATTCGTTTGCTGCATGCAAGTTACAATCGCATCATAAATAGCTTGCAGCAGTAGCCACCAGATCTGTGGTTCATCATGGCTGCCAAGCACAGTGTTTTAGCGCCAGGTACCTCGCTCAGGCACCTGACTGGCAGGACATGTACCTTCATTCATTCAACAACCACATCCTCATTTTATGTCTCTTTCAAAATAAAAAATCGAAATCCTCACAAGATGTATTCACTCCAAAGAACCCTCCTGAATATCATCAATTCCGCCTCACCCCGGTGATTGCGCAATTGTTTGTGTCGCCGGGACGCCGCATACATACAATAATAGTATCCGCACCCCTTCCGCTGTCCACCATCCATCCACCAATAGCCAATCCCCCGCGCCACCATCTGCCCAACAAGACATCGGGGGAAAAAAACCGCCCGCGACAAGGGCAAACAAACAGCTTGTGTCATCTCTCGACCATCAAGCTTGCATCCCTCCGACGTCAATTGACCGCGATACGTGGCCCCGCTGTGCGACTACCGCTCCTCATCATCTTCAATTATCTTCTCTTGGCGTGCCTCACTGGGCAGCCTTCTCCCCGCAATCATGTCTATCCCCATGACCAGACTTGGCGGTCGCGGTACGCTCCCTCGGCGCATCCTTGTCGCACCGCGCCTTCGTTTAGGCAGCTAACCGCTTACCACACATCCTACAGCCTTCAATGCCGATGACCACGGTGACGACACTGAGCGCGAGTACGACCGCCTGCGCGACCTCGCCCGTTCCGAGGCCGAGAAGCGCAATGCTTGCTTCGACAAGGTGAGTGCGACTAGTTAGACGCGCAGCCTCCTCCTCCCAAGCATTGACCCCCTTTCACAGTCACGCAAGGCCTACGACTCCGGCGACGGCGCACGCGCCAAGGAGCTCTCCAATGAAGGCAAGTCGCACGACGCCCGCATGGACGACTACAACCGCCAGGCCTCCGACTTCATCTTCCGCGCCAACAACGCCCCCGGCCGCGTCGAGGCGGACTCTATCGACCTCCACGGCCAGTTTGTCGAGGAAGCCGAGCGCATCCTTGAGGAGCGCATCCGTGCCGACCGCGCCCGCGGCCAGACGCACCTCCACGCCATCGTCGGCAAGGGCAATCACTCGGTCGGCCACGTCCAAAAGATCAAGCCCAAGGTCGAGGAGCTCTGCCGCGAACTCGGACTCCAGTGCCGCACCGAAGAGAACGCCGGCCGCATCTACATCAACCTCCAGGGCGGCGAACCCCTGCCCCCGCAGCAAAATCACGGCAAGCCCCATGGCGGACAACAGCAACAGCACGGCGGTCAGCAGCAGTACCATGGTGGCCAGCAGCAGCAGCAGCATGGCGGTCAGCAGTACGGAGGTGGCCAACAACAGCACCAGAACCAGAACCAGGGACAGAACCAGCAGCAAGACGACATTGCCGCCATGGTGGAAAAGGTTCTCCCTCGTATCATTCGCAAGCTCGAGAAGGCCTGCTGTACCGTCATGTAAAGAGGCCGGCCGACACCGACACCTGGGATTTTTGTTTTGGCTATATACCAAGTTATACTACGTTGGATTTTTTCTAGATACCAAGGCTTTTAGGCGCACAAATGGTCAACTGCTATGTATATACCTACATCGTATCTATACATTGCTTGCTACTAATAAAATGTACATGCGATCGGAACTGTTGCAGCCCACGCCCGTCCTTTCCATCCTCGTCTTCATTCCCACCTGCGCTGTCGACGCTCGCGCTTCCTCTCCCGCCTAGTCTTGCGCGGCGGCGGCTGCTCCTGATACACGGGTATCGAATACCCGTGCGGCGGCGGCCTCTCACCACTCGCAGGCGTTTACCTCTGCTGATGCTGGCACCGCCGCGGTGCCTCCACGTCGCGCACCGGCTTAAACTCCTCCGGCACCACCGCCAGCGTGAAGCCCACCACCTCGCAGACGAGCACGACGACAACCTCCATCGCCACCTCCATGCCCAGCATCAGCCAAGCCGTGGAGGCTATGTGCGTGAACGTCTTTATTATGCCGTACACCAGCCGCACGAGCACGAACGGCAGGCACGCGACCACGGCCAGCACCACCCGGCGCTCGCCCCCCGCGACGCGCCCGAGGTTGACCCAAGCGAGAAGGGCCTGCGCGCACAGCAGCGCGAACACGCCGAGCAGCAGGACGCTACCGACGTGGCTGAGGGTAGTCTGCGTGCCGCCACCATCCTTACCACCGCTGCTACTGACGCCGCCGATGACGAGCAGCACGATGGCGACGAGCATGAGCGCTAGCGTTGCGCGGTGAAGCAGCAACGAGGACGGTGGCCAGTTGTCGCGCATCGATTGGAAGGCGCGGGAGAGGAGGGCGAGGAGCGTCAGGACGAGGGGGCCCATGCCGAGGCTGCTGAGGACCGCCCAGCCGGTGTACAGCCCGCGGTCAGTCGGGGCGGCGAGGGTGGCGAGGCGCAGGGAGGCGCCGACGACGCGCACGAGGGACAAGACGAGAAGGTACCGCCAGCCGGAGGACTTGCGGAAGTCGTGCCGGAGGCAGAGGAGCACGGCGCCGGCGAGGAACACCGTGTAGAGGGGGACTTGGGCGGCGGCGAGCCCGTCGTAGGCGTCAAACGGACGGGAAGGCATGCTTTTGTCTGTGTTTGCTCCGAATATTGGAAAGTACAAAAATAAGATTCGAACGTATTACTCGCGAGAAGGATTGCCACTTGGAGGTCATGTATAAAGAGCTACTCGATGCAAGCTATATATTGACGGACAAAGCCTGGCGGCCTCGTAACGCTGCCACTAACCCGGGAAAGCGGCACACAAATATCGAATGAATCGACCATTACAGATGAAAAGAGAAACATGCAACCCATCGGAAATATCAGCCCTCCGCCCGATTCTCTCCTGGCACAACCCTACGGGACTGCGCCAGTGTGACGGCGCAGCACGTTGAAACGATTGCCTAAATGGGAAATAGGTGTGATATCGGCGGTCGGCAAATGCGCTCCCGCTTGCACCGACTCGATCCCTCTTGGTGCTTGCAAAGCCCCTCAGGCTGCGGACCGGGGAAGGAGTACAGGGCAGGTTTTCTTTTCCCACATGCAAACTAATTGCCATTTATTTGAGGACAGGGGAGGTAATTAATCATCTATCTCTGACTTGGGCTCTAAATGCCCTTCCTTGTGGCTGCTGCATGACCGGACCAGCAGCCATGACTACCATGGCTGTTACTGCTTTGCTTCATTCCATATACATATGTTCTTTTATTTTCATATTTTATCGTCTATGTAACTTGATTATTGAATTTATGCACTCTTTTTGCGCCTCGTTATTATCGTCCTTCAAGTTGTTTTGTGTACTGATTACCTAAGCCACTTACACGCGCTGTCGCGGTGGGCAACCTGGACGCGTGTGAATTATCGAGTTTCCTTCGCACACTAATTCTCACCTCCTTTCGTCCCACGTTCCTTCTCCAACTTAACAATTTCTTGTCATATGACTCGAAGAGTCTCTAATCTTCCTTTTAGATCCTTACCTACGCTCCGCTGCCTCATTGTCAGCCACATTGCTGCTGCTGCTCAACGTCCCCATGGTCAGGTAACGCTGCGGTACTACTCCCAGGGTGCTTCCGCCGCTGCACTATCCGATCCCATGTTCGCCAAAGCCAACAAGACGTATGAGGCGAAACAGCCTGCGCCCTCACAACAAACTGCTAGACGTGAGCTCGCCGAGCAGCTCTTTCCGCCGAGCAGCAGCCCGAACCAGCCGCCTGTGGACATTCGCGAGCAGTTCAAGCGGCGTGCCCCCCCGCGCTTCCTCCCCTCGTCCCCTTCGACGGCGCGGCCAAGCCGGCCACAGCTAAGCGAGAAGCTGACCCGAGACGGCGGTGCTACAAATGGCAGCGGAGCAGGCAGGGGGTCTTTGGCTGGACTCTATCACAACAACCATGCCTCTTTCAAAGACAACGTGATTGACCTGACAAAAGACGACGTCCAAGCAGCGCGGCCGCCACCTGTTGTGTTTACCCTAGATGAATTCAGTGACGACGACGAACTCGACCTGGATTTCAAAGTACCCTCGGCTGTCTCACCGTCAAAAGTTACGTCCATTTCCAAGGTTACGGTCGCGAAAGAAAACCAGCCCCCAATATCTTCAGGGCAGGCTATTCCTTGGTCCTCATCACCGGCATCACACTTTCTACCACCGCAGCAGCATCGAACTGAGTCGAATTTGTCAACAGGGAGTAGCGGCTCTTTGAAGCGAGACTCACCGGAGCACGATGACGATTGTTTCGAAATGCCTGCCCCTGTTCTGAAAGCGAAAAAGAGGACGCTTCCTTCTGACTGGTCACGAAGGACGGCACCAGAAGGACAATCACTACAAGGCAGACCCGAGACTCCAGACGCAAAGGCAAAAGTCCAAGGGCTATGGGATCAATCCGCTAGCGCTATAAAAGAGCAAAGGAAGCTGCTCAAAAACCAGAGGAACGCCAAGCAAGAGGAAGCTGACGCTGCAGCGCGAGCGCCTGCGATGGAGCATCTGCCGCCTGCTGAATCTACTACTGCAATACCGCGTTCGGGTCCCATTGCGCTGAGTAACGAGCAGCGACATGTGTTGGATCTTGTTGTCGAGCAGGGGCAGAGCGTATTCTTTACGGGACCTGCCGGTACGGGAAAATCGGTATTGATGAGAGCTATTATCACTGCGCTCCAAACAAAACATGGGAGGACTTCTGAGCGCGTGGCGGTGACTGCGTCCACCGGGCTTGCTGCATGTAACATTGGAGGCATCACGCTGCACAGCTTCGCGGGTATTGGATTAGGCAAGGATGTTGCTAGCGCGCTAGTCAAAAAAGTGCGAAGAAATCCAAAAGCCAAGAACCGATGGTTGAAGACCAAGGTTCTCATTATTGATGAAATCTCCATGGTGGATGGAGATTTATTTGACAAGCTGTCCCAAATTGGGCGCACAGTTCGCAACAATGGTCGACCATGGGGAGGAATCCAGCTCGTGATTACGGGGGACTTTTTCCAGCTTCCCCCAGTACCGGATGACTCAAAGGTCGCCTCCAAGTTTGCATTTGACGCGGCAACCTGGAATACGTCCATAGATCACACAATCGGTCTTACCCAAGTCTTCCGACAGCGCGATCCGGAGTTTGCTCGGATGCTCAACGAGATGAGGTTAGGCAAGATCTCAGACGAGACGGTCGCTGCATTCAAGGCACTTGAGCGGCCACTCAAGTTTGACGATGGCGTGGATCTTGCAGAGCTCTATCCTCTTCGTGCTCAGGTAGAGGGATCCAACGAGAAGCGACTACGCGACTTGCCAGGCGAGATTCACAGATTTGGAGCGCTCGATACAGGAGACAAGGATATCAAAGATAGACTACTCGCCAACGTGATGGCGCCCAAGTCAATTGACTTGAAGCTCGACGCGCAGGTGATGCTGATCAAGAACTTGGATTCCACGCTGGTGAACGGTTCTCTGGGGCGCGTCATTGGGTTCTCGGACGAGAAAACGTTCTCGATGCAGGGTGGCGCCACCACGAGCGATCCTGAAATGGACACGTCTTTGAGCAAGGCGCGGAAGAAACTCAGCAGTTTCAGCCGGGATTCTGACTGCATGTCCAGTTCAACGACCAAGTATCCAATCGTGCAGTTTATTTCGGCACATGGTGAACCGCGAGTGATTTTGTGCCAGCCGGAAGAGTGGAAAGTTGAGCTGCCGAATGGCGAGGTACAGGCCAAGAGGACGCAACTGCCGTTAATTCTGGCTTGGGCCTTGTCAATCCACAAAGCCCAAGGGCAAACACTGGAGCGTGTGACTGTGAACTTGGGCAGAATATTTGAAAAGGGCCAGGCGTACGTGGCACTGTCGCGGGCAACTTCGCAGGAAGGGCTTCGGGTGATTGGGTTCGATCGGAGTAAGGTTATGGCGCATGCCAGGGTGGTAGAGTTTTACAATAAGCTCTACTCGGCGGAGCAGGCCGGAGCGACTCCAGGTGTCCGAAGATCGGGTGCGGCGGGGATTTTGGACTTTGTGGCAGCCAGAAGAGGCACTTAGAGGAGAAGCTACCTAGGCAGATGTACATATAGATAGGGTATGGATGGAAGCGCTTATCCATCGTAAAAAGATGTATATAAGGATTCGTCACGGTTGGTGATGTGATTGATGATTGATGATGGCTGATGGCTGTGTTGATATGGTGGTGGCTGGAGTGGCAAGCATGACTGCAGAAGTTGCATTGGCGAATATCATGACTATTGATGTTATGATAGATGAAATCAAGTCCATGTTGTAAGTTAAAGTGTTGATGTTGTTCGTGGCTTAATTGGCCACCCGGCTTATGTAAGGCAAGTCTGTGTAGCAAGTCGTCTGTTGGTAACTAATAACGTAGAAGGTACATAGAAGTGGGTGGGTCTGATGTGAGTGGCACATTGATGAGCCATGACTCTGCCGGCGAGCGGGTCAAGTGGCTGCATGTCGCAGGCCGAAGCGAAGCTGCGAAGATAGCAGATGGGAAACCTTGCTGGAAAGCAGCCGAGCTGAGGTAAAACTCAGCATGAACGAGAAATTAATACAAATATTTGTGATATTTTTCTCTCTCTCCCTTTTTTTCGCCGTTCATTCGCCGCCAGCTGACCAAGTTCAAGTTCCATCCGGAATACAGGTACAAAGTGGACTTCCCCCAGGGCGGGACTCATCGTTGGTGGGGAGCAGCAGCAACACCACAGTTGTTAGTCTTATTAGATTTTTAGGCGCGTGGGCGACATTTCCTTCTCCTCCTTCCACTCTGTTCAACCCCAACCCGCGCCCCTCGCCTCTCCAAGAGTCGACCACTCGCAGCGCGATAAAACACGACGAGACTGCTGCCGCCATTCTCGTCTGTTTCCTCTGCATTGTGCGTCCACCTCTGCCTCCCGCTTCGCCCGCCTGCTGCTGCCCTGTCCCCCTTGGCGCAACACGTATGGGCAGCAAAGTTGGCCACGAGACCTCTTGTTTTTTTGTGCTCTCGGCCCTAGCAACCGCCAACGGCAACGGCGAGAGCCCTGACCTCAAAGAGGAAGCTACCTACGAATAGGAAGAAGGAGCAGGTATTTGGTTACTTGGCAACTTCTTTTCCTCGTCTCTCTTTTCGTTGTTTTTCACCGAGCGCCTCCCCGCAAATCGAGACAATCACAGATCCGACAAAACAATTCGGTAGCGAAGAGTCAGCTGAGCGACGTCCGCAGCATCTTAATCTCGGACTCGATTAAGAAATTCACGAGTTGATTCACTTCCTCCGGCGTCACCAATTCTGCAGTCGACATTAATGCAGGGGACTCTCGGATAGGCACAGTCGTCCCTCGTGACTGCAGCTTGCTTCTCCTGTCCGGCCGCACCGGCCTATGTCGTCACCAACAAGCCCGACACGACCTCACAACAATAAGAATAGTCGACTAGAGCCCAAGAAAACCCTGCAATCCGACCAACATGGCTAGTCAGTTCATCGGTCTGCATATGCAGGTGGTCTTGCGCGAACCGCCAGGATATCAGCTTCACGGTACCGTTACAGCCGTCGAACCGGGCATCAGCCTCAGCCTCAAAGATGGTACTATAATCGCCCCCCCTCTCTTATCCTCGGTCATCGCACTAACCTCCCTAATCAGTCTTTATAGTTGCGACCCAAAAGCATCTTTCCGAGATCAGCATTAATGCTCTCGACATTAAAGACGTCTCCGAACTATCCAAAGAGCAGAAACAGCAGCCACAGCAACCTCCACAGCCCGTATACGATCCTTCGATCCCTACTCAGCTGTCAGGATATGCTACCCAGACGACCTCGCCAAGGAACTCAAACTTTGTTGACCCTGCCATCCTGAGCATGGGACGCCGACCAGGCTCTGGGCCTCCTCCGGCGAGTGTAGCCTCCAAGGTATCCATGCAGTCGGTCGACCCTGGCGTGCCATACCCGGCTATCCGATCAGATGATCTATCAAAGGGAGATCTTGACCGCCTGTTCAAGAGCGTGAACATTTCCAAGGCACAGGTTGCCGAGAATATGCCGACAACCCCCGAGGCGACACCGCAGAGGCGTAAGGCTCGAAACCGCAACTCTCGACAGCCGAAGAACCCCAGCCAGGATGACGACGGCGCCGCGGCTGTTCCCGGTAGTCACGGCAAGGGCTGGCGACAGACGCCGATACTGCAGAGCACAGCGTCCTTCCAGCCATATAAGGCTCTCAAGAAAAACGGCAAGGCCTCCAAAAAAGGCGCGCCCGACAATGGCTGGGCTTCGGAGGATGTCACGGAAGACATGCCTGACTTCGACTTCGAGAATAATCTGGCCAAGTTTCCCAAGAGCACGCTGTTTGATCAAATGCGCAAGGATGACGCTGTCAAGGATTCCGATCGACTAGTATCACACAATCGAAAGCCGAAGGCTGGTACGGCAGGCGGCAAGAACTTGCACTATACAGAGAATGTTCTGGACTTGCCTGCGAGTACCCACAATGCCGACTACTGGAACAGCGAGGCTGAAGTCGGAGGCGTTAATGACAATGAAACGATGAGCGGTCGGGAACAGAAAGGCGCGCACTCGAACAAGAGAACAGACAGCAAGTCCGGGCCGAGTCGTCGCTCGCAGTCGCGTAAGGCGAGTGCTGCTATGGGCGGGCAACCACTTTCGCGAGTGAATTCGAGCGTGCGGCAACCACTGCAATCACGTCGATCCAGCCCGCGATCTGGGTACCGTAGCGCGGAGGTCCAGCCCAAAGTGCAGCAGCCCGGTCTCTACTTGGTCCCGTCGAACCGCCGGGTTGAGGCCATCTCAACACTTCAGATGCTCAACCTGGAAAACATTGCGGCCAACGAGATTGGCCTCTCGGAAAGCCTGATGGCTGAAAATGCGGGCCGTGGCATAGCCGAGGTGGCTGTCGAGGCGCTGTCAGACCCTGCGCTCAAAGTCCGATACAGAATAGCCGGGACGGCATTGTCGCAGACGACTGACACGTCGTTGCCAAACAATTCTACGATTGTCATCTTGGCAGGGAATCATAAGTCAAGCATCCGTGCGCTAGTCGCTGGTCGTCATTTGCGTAATAAGGGATACGATGTCATGGTTTGCCTGGTGGGCATCGAACGAGAGCGCGACCTGCTCGAGGACCTGCGTCTCCAGATCCAGCTGTACCGCAACTTTGGCGGCAAAGTGCTCCATAGAAATGATTTTTTCGAGCAGCTTCGCAAGTCGACACCGGCCGGTGCCGCCGGTGCCGCAAGCGGGGCTGGAGCCGGACGGGTGTCAGTCTCCCTGATCATTGATGCTCTTCTCGGGCTGACCATGTCGTTTGAGGAGCTACGCGGTGGCGATCAAGCCACGGTTTACGAGCTGATGGAGTGGGCTAATCGCAACGAAGCTTTTGTTCTGTCCATCGACGTACCATCGGGTATTGATCCCAGCACCGGCAAGGTGGCCATCATTGACGGGTCGCAACTCTTTGTCAAGCCCAGATACGTGGTGGCGGTGGGCGCACCGAAGCGCGGGCTTGTGGAAGCGGTGACGCCGCCAGACGACGACGATCCGCTGGCCACGAGCGGGGGAGTGGCCCAAGACGAGGAGTGGCGACTGTACCTTGTGGACATGGGCCTGGGGCACGCGGTCTGGCGCAAAGCTGGGACCAAGGTGCGCAAGGGTATCGACTTTGAGGGCAAATGGTTGCTGGAGATGAAGTATCGGGGTGTGGAAGAAGAGTCGGATGATTATTGAGGAGAGGTGCAGGAGGGGCAATGTCTCCTCCGTCCTGGTTGCTGGGCTTCCACATTTTTCTTTTGTGACTTGCATATAGGCGGCGTTTATGGGGAGGGAGATGCTATATTTACAAAAAGAGCAGATGAGCACGTCTTGTTCGTTTTTCACATCTCCCGTTTCCTTTAGTTTCTTTTTCCTTGTTTTGTATGGGGGAAAATGGGCACATATGGACATGGTCCAAGTTTGATTTCTTAAAACAACATTCTTATGCCTTTCAGGCGGCTGTAACCACATAGAGAAGAAACGGGGAGCATGGCCCCTGGAAGTAGTCAATTGATACCTTGCTTTCTCCTTTTTAACACAGTTCTGAAACAACTTTAATCCTGTCGGACGGTGATTGTTGATGCTTGTTGCGTCTCAGAAGTCACATCGGATCGGATGACGACGGAGAGGAGGGCTGGCGTGAGAGGGGATGATGAGAAAATAAGCTTATCTTTATTAGCGGACAAATGGGCTTGTGTCATGGGGGGAGGGGAAAATAGGAGGAGGCTTGCGGCACTGGACATTATTGGGGGCGACGGGGAACTTGTACAAGTTGGGGTAGCAGGTACCTATGCCAAGGGCTTTTTCTTCACTGATGAATGGATTTATTTATTTATGTATTGATTAGGTAGCTTCTTACTCTGTTCTGCAGTAGGGCGGCGATGCCAAGACAATGGAAGCCGTGCAGAAGAGCAGGAAGCGGTTCGTTCCTCCAACCCGTTCAGCTGGGGCGGTGCAAGAGGGTGGCTGATGCCGCGCGGAGATGTGATTACCTATGTATGCAGGTAGCCTGATCGGAGGACGACCACTAGGACAGTAGAGTCAATAGAACCGGGTTTGATTCTTGCTTGGCCAAATAAACATACATTTGTATGTATTTCCAAGTTGACGAGTTTCGCCCGTGGCCAGAAAAGGATGGCGCCATTCTAGTCTGCGGGGATAGAAGGATCCCTGGGGTGGTGGTGCACTACAGCGCGGGTGGTCATTTGTTATGCATGACTAGCACGCTGCATGAAGACAGATGACTAGAGACATGCAGGCGATAGCGCCGTTGAATTTGGGCGACTTTTTTTCGCGGGCTCCTTTTGCTAGACCTTTTAAAAAGAATCTGGGGTGGCTGTCCTGATACAATGCTTTGACGTGAGACATGTACCCTGCCTGTACGCTGTTTGACGGTTGACATGTAAAACGGATGACGACTGACTGCCAGCTGGGAGCAAGGCTGCTGCTAACCAGTGCACAGTGGGATAAACTGGAAAGGAGTAGAAAATTCAATCGGATAGTGCCCGAATTGGCATCTGGACATGCTTGCTGTTAATACCCATTGTATCATTCTTTATCGCGCTACGACTGATGGAGTAGCTGGCTGGCAGACAACCTACGACAGCGCAAGACAACCCACACCACGGCATCCCGCGAAAAATAAGCCACTTCCTTGAACGATCCACCCACCACCTCTCATCCTTTTGCGACGGAATCTAAGCTCCTTTTTTGGCCTGTCTCGCCCTGTCCTGCCTTGTCTCGCTATCGCTTCCGCAGTGCCACCACCACTTTCTCATTCTGACTAGACCAAATCTCTCGCACTCTCTCGACCTCCTCTTCCACCTCCAACAACAAAACCACTATTCTTCGTTTTTCCCACCCCGCACTCTTGGCAGCCGTCCTTTTCGCCTCTTCATTCCCTCTTGTTTCTTTGTCTCTTGGTTTGTCTACCCCGAAATCGCCCACGTCTCCTACCGCAATTGTCTCAGCTCCAAACGCGACCATCAGCCGCCGGCTCAACCCACAACCGTCGGTCGCCGTTCGATTTTGCCGCCCTCCAACGTTTGACCATCGCCACTCGTATCACGTCACCCACGGGTCGGGGGCATACTCAGATTCCATGGCCTCTACTAGTCGCTAGCTCTGCGGCCCTTTTTCTTCTCTTTTTTTCCCCGTCATCTCTCGACCGCCCCGCCCGCAATAGACGCTCTCCTATCTCGCCCCGAGGGCGTTGTTCGCAACGTCCCGAGCGCGTCGCTCGGCTCGACGCCTTTTGCGCTATAAGACAAGGCAATTTTTGTGAAACCCTTGTTGCGTGGGACAACGGGACTGGAGAATGGTGTCCGTCGACGCCGCCTCGGCGACGCTGACGGCGGCCGCGTCCCTCTGCTCCTCCACGCTCTACCCGGCCCTCGGCGTCATCACCCTTCCCGACCTTGGCCTGCCCATCACCCTCGCCGAACCACTCGTGCAGCAGGTCCCCTGTGTGCCTCTGTTACCGCGCGCCGACAGCCAAGACGGCGGCAGTAGCAGCAGCGGCAGCAGTAGCGCCGAATCGAAACAGGGCGCGACGACGAGTGTCACGCCCATCACCACATCCGCTTCCGCAGAGGCGGCCGCCGTTACGAAACCCACATCCACCGACGACGGCAACATTACAATATCGGACATTGTCGTCACCGCGACCACGGGCACCGCCACCGCCTCGGCCACGCTCAACTTTCACAACGGCGATGACAACCCCAAGACGGTGCACATATCCAGCTTCGGCGACCCCTTCTACCTGTCCACCTCGCCCATCATATACGCCCTCTCCGCGTGCACCATTGTCTCCTGGATGCTCGTCATTGCCCTCTTCATCACCACCCGCTCCACGTTCGACGGCGGCATCGTATACCTCGGCAGCCGGGGGAGCTTCACTGGCAGCTCCTCCTCGGGCGGCATCAGCATTGGCGGCCGCCCCTGGCTGCAAAAGATTGCCGCCCTGACCGTCGCCATATCCCTCACCATCGCCACGGCTGACACAATGTCCATTGTCAAGGACCAGTACATCTGGGGCGTCACCAACGCCCGCCAGCTGCAGCGCGACGTCATGTCCCGCATGGAGCTCAAAGTCATTCGAATCATATCCGACACCTTTCTCTGGCTCGCACAAGCCCAGACCCTCATCCGACTCTTTCCTCGGCACCGCGAAAAGGTTGTCATTAAATGGGTAGCTTTTGCACTAATCAGCCTCGACATTGTCTTCTCCTCGCTCAACAGCTTTCCTTTCGGGGAATACGACATCTTAAACGGCAACTACTCCGATCCAAACGAGAACGGCGACGGCAATTCTAACAAGGGCCTCGCCCACCCCATCCCCGCCATTAGCTATGTTTTCAAGCTCTCGCTAGGGCTCCTTTACTTTTTCTGGGTCTCCTACTACGCATTCTTGAAGCGACGGTATGCCTTTTATCACCCGCTTATGAAAAACATCAGCCTTGTCGCGGTCATCTCACTGCTCGCCATCACCGTGCCTATTGTCTTCTTTATTCTCGACATTTCGAAACCAAACTTTACAGCCTGGGGCGACTATGTTCGCTGGGTCGGCGCCGCCGCTGCCAGTGTCGTTGTGTGGGAATGGGTCGAACGAATAGAGGCCCTAGAAAGAGAGGAAAAGAAGGACGGCGTGCTCGGCCGTGAAGTGTACGACGGAGACGACATGCTCGAAATCAACGCCGCCGAATACCCTTGGCGCCATAAACATGGCAAGTTTGGAGGAAGCGGTAGTAGCGGTGGAAGTCATGGCATGGATTTGGAAGGCGGCCAGCTACATCATCGATCCAACGGACATGCCCTTGGTCCAGGCGGCTTTCAAAATGGCCAGACCGGGCCAACCTCGCACGAACACGAAGGCCGGAGTATGGGTGACATACTGCGACCGCAACTTTGGTCGCAGCGAGCAGCACAGGCTGCGACGCCCATAAGCAGAACGGATACGCCCAGCGCAGCCAGCACGGTGTACGCCGTTCGATATCAGGGAGAATCGAGAACGCCAGAGCCGCCCATGCCCTATTATACGCATACGTCTGATTTAGCGCGACACCCAAGCGGGCCGCACAGTTACAGCGAGGATGCTCATGACGCACGAAGTCATAATGGACGAGGCACAGGTGCAAGATACTCACCAGATACGACTGGCGACGCTGCACACGTCGCAAGCGAAATCAGTAGAGAGCCAAGCACGACAGTACCTCCGCGCGCAAGGATCATGCGCTCGGTATCATACAGCAACGAGCCGGAGGTTCAAGATGGTGCCGACGACCAGCACACCGTAACTCGGGCCATGGACTTTAACACCATCACAGCAGGCAGCCGAGGGGGGCGGGGCGGCAGATGGGATATACGTGGACGCCTAGAGGACTTTGCGGCATCACAGGCCGACCGCTTCCGTGACAAGTTCCATCCTTCCACAGATACCGACAAGCTGCCCGTCACGGTAGTGCCGGCACCGCCTCGTGTCGGTGCCGCGCTGCAGCAAGTTCTAGAAGAAGACGAGGAGGGCAGCGAGGCACGACGGCAACACCAGCCTGCGCAGTCGCCGTCTCAGGCCGGGAGTATCTACGGCGGCAGCTCGGCCATTGACGCCGCGGCGTCGACGGCGTCGGAGCGGTACGCCAACGCGCCTACGCGATCGTCACCCGCCCGCAGCCGACCGTCGCCGCTTCCCCTACCGGTGAACCAGCCGCCTCTATGGCCGGGCGTGAACCGTCGCGCCGCTACGCTTGACGATGAGGATGACGATGAGTCATTTGAAGGCGAGGAAGACGAGGAAGACGAGGGTCAGTCGACGACGGACGATGTGTCGTCTGTGCTCTCCCGGGAGCGGCCGCACGGATCGTCGGCGTCCCGGACGGGATAGACCTACTTACATGTACATGAAAGGAAACAGACGACCTCGCGTAGGATCGTCTTGTATATATATGCGCATGCGTGTGTGATATACCAGCATCATCTTTGGGAAAGCGTCCTTTTGGAATGGGGCGTATCATTTGGCGTTGATTTAGGTTTTGCAGAATATGACTGTTGCTTTTACAGTCAGTAACTGATGAAATACAGAGACACAGCGTACTTGCCAGGCTCTTACTGGCACCGAAACCAAAAGTCTAATCGCAATGTGATTTTCTGCCTTTGAAGAAAGTGAAATTGCCAATTGCCAAGCTACAAGTTGACAACAGTGTCCTGACTATCCCCCCCTTGTAAGAGGCCTCTCTGATTTGACGAGCCGTGGTGTTGCCAAGAATGGCGCTGGCGGCGTCAGAGACAGTGGGGGCTTTAATCAAACGGGCCCAGGACCTACATGGGTCGTTCTCCTGAGTTGGGTTTTTTTGTGAAGAAGGAAAGGACAGTAATAGGCTTTGTTATAGAGGGAATATTTGAGTCTTTTTTTTTTTTTTTTTTTTTGGGGTGTATACTCCGTTTGCTTGTATACCTCGCCTTAACAAGGCGGGAGGAGGTGCGTTAGGTAGACGATTTACAGCTGGCAGTTGGTAAGCAAGCGCCCGATAGCCGGTGAGCAAACGGGCTGGATCATCGCCAGATCCCATCTTCGCAGCCTCGCCTACACAATCCATCCGCAACTCAGAGGTCACATAAAAGAGATCAGGATTCACAATAACATCGCTTGCCTTCTCCCCTCTCCCTCTCCCCTGCTAAATCTCTCCATGACGCGCTGCGGGTCAGATCCCCTTCCGCTGCCGCTATAGGCAACACAGGGGTCCCCACCAACCGAGGGACTTGTAACCGCCAAATTCCCCCCCAACGCTGGGACGCCAATTCTTCTTTTTTTTCTCCTTTCTCTTTGTTTCATTCTTCTTGCTCTCTAGGACGCCAATTGCGGGAGTTTGATCTACGACGGGTAGCTGAACAGCACGGCACAGTGACAATCATTCCGCTACCGCAGTCAGATCGATATACTTCAATCGAGCGGGCCAAGTTCTCTCCGGTCCTTTACTAGCTTCATCAGACAAAGTTTTGGCGGTCTTGTCTGAAGACGGGGAAGAAAGAGACACTACAAGCGACAGCGACGACGTCACGAGAGAGGTAGCTATCCACCGCATTTTGCGAAACGAAGCTGCACCCCCTTTGTCGAGGACGAACGCCGTCAACGAGATTGGGAAGACGAGATCAACAACGGTGAAACAAGTAACGCAACAACAGGGAAATTCATCTACACCAAAACACCATGGCGACGAGCGACGCGGCAAGCGACAAGGAACCCTTTCCGCTCCTCAACACCTCCCTCGATCCCTTCGCCATGGAGGAGGACTCGCCGCCGCGCCGCCGCCGCAAGAGCTCTGGCCTGGGCGGCGAGATCCGCGCCGGCGACACGGGCGCTCCTGCCTTTGCCTCGAGCCGGGCGAGCCTCAGCGCCGGCGATTCCTTTAGCAACCATGTACGTTGGTTCTATCCAGCATCTCCCCCTCACCCCCTCTCACCTTCCCTCTTGCGCCAATTTCCTCCCTCCCATGGAACCGTACATCTGTCGCGCAAAGAATAAAAAAAACGCAAAACCATGGGACACGTCGCTAACAACCCTCTCCTTCTCCTCAACCAGACCGACCCCTCCTCTCCCGTCACGGCCGTATCGTCGTCGTCGTCCCCGGCCGGCAAGCGCATCTCCAAGCGCCGCCGCGCGCGGGGCCTGCTCTCGCGCTTCCGGCAGCTCATGGTGCGCCGCACCTTTGTGCTGCCGGCCGTGCTGCTCGTGCTCTTCCTCGCTGGCTACGCCGTCAACCCGACCGAGTCCAACGTGCTGCACCACTTCATCTTCCTGTCCTACCCGCTGCCGCAAGACGACCCGAGCAAGCCGGTCATGTACGGCAAGGGCAAGTGGGACATTGCGTTCGTCGCGTTCTACATCATTGTGCTCTCGTTCACGCGCGAGTTCATCATGCAGGAGCTGCTGCGGCCGTGGGCGCGCCGCACGGGGCTGAGCCGCGCCAAGCAGGCGCGCTTCATGGAGCAGGCGTACACGGCCGTCTACTTTGCGTTCCTCGGCCCTGCGGGCCTGTACGTCATGAGCCGCACGCCGGTCTGGTACTACAACACGACGGGCATGTACGAGGCCTTCCCGCACCGCGCGCACGAGGCCGTCGTCAAGTTCTACTACCTCTTCCAGGCCGCGTACTGGGCGCAGCAGGCCATCGTGCTCGTCCTCGGGCTCGAGAAGCCACGCAAGGACTACTACGAGCTCGTCGGCCACCACGTCGTCAGCCTCGCGCTCATCGGCCTCAGCTACCGCTTCCACTTCACCTACATCGGCATCGCCGTCTACACCTCCCACGACATCTCCGACTTCTTCCTCGCCACCTCCAAGGTCCTCAACTATCTCGACCACTTCCTCATCGGGCCGTACTTCTTCGTCTTCGTTTGCGTCTGGGTCTACCTCCGCCATTACATCAACCTCAAGATCATCGTCTCCATGTTCACCGAGTTCCGCACCGTCGGCCCGTTCGAGCTCAACTGGGAGACGGAGCAGTACAAGTGCTGGATCTCCCAGTACATCACCACCGCGCTGCTCACCTCCCTCCAGGCGCTCAACCTCTTCTGGCTCTTCTACATCCTGCGCATCGCGTACCGCTTCGTCCGTGACAGTAGCGCTACCGACGACCGCTCCGACGACGAGGAGGACGAGACGACGACGACCAAGCAGTCCGTGCCGATCCTCAAGATTAACGGCGAGAAGCCCAACGGCAAGTCTGAATAAGCGGTTGCCCAATTTCGAACTCGGTTTCTTTTTGTGGCTGGGTAGAAAGGACACCACCGCCAGGACAAAAGCAAGCCAAAACAGCTACTTTCTTGGACCCTTGTTCGCAAACACGAGATAGCACCACGAGAGTTGGCCGCCCGGTTCCACGCAAAGCTGCTTCACACTCTACGCTATTTCATTCTTTGCGCCGTGTTTTCTTTCTCCATATGGAAACTATTAATGTCTTTTTTATTACCAAAAAACTTATGCATGGAAACCGGAGTTTTTTACTTTCCAACATCCACCGATGACGACGAAGATGACCACGGGGCGGTTTTTGTTGGCAAGGTTTCGCATCAACCTCACACTCACTTTGTTGAAACGTGGTTTTCAACAAGAGAGGATGATAAAGGGGGAGGGAGCGGTATGCGCTTCGCATGATGGGATGATGACCTGGATGGATACGTGTGTCTTTTTTTTTTTCATCTACTTTTACACTTGTTTGTACCATAGACTTTTTTTCCGAGACTGCATCTTTGGATTCACGACGGGACCAGCTTCCTGGAAGCTGGCCCCTCGTCGCGGACTGCATGCTTCTCTGTACCTTTTTGTATCTATTTGTAATACATCGCCCGCCGCGGTGCACGACATTCGCTACGGATTCCATGATCCTCCCAATCCCCCCTTTTAGAACGCCCTACGAGTGAATTTGTCAACTTGATATTGGCGACGTGAGTTGTATTCATCTCTACTTATTCCATGGTAATCATCACCAAAACGAAAACCCGTCCGTGCAGGTCGGTCTTCTTTCCAGAGGAAGGACAAGTTATAGAAAGCCAGGTAAAAAAAAACAAAGCAACCGCCTTTTTGCGCCAGGATGCGCTCGCCGCTCTAGAACAGGGAGAAGGAAAAAAAGCACGCACATTTCACATTCACAAATTCTTTTCAACTCCCCTCAACCTGTCCAGGTTTTTTTTTCTTGTCCGTGATTGAAGACTTCTCAACCCCCCCCCCCCTTCCAGTATTAGATGTGATCTCAGAAAACGATTTAGCAAAGGAAAACATAAGCTGTGGAAATGAGAAGAGAGAAAAATAGTCATCAGAACTTCAAAGCAGAAGAGCAAAACGAGTGCAAGGAAAAAAATGCCAAGTATGTTTTGGTAGAGAGAAGAGAGAGAAAATACGGCGAACAAAAAATGATTCAAGCAAAGCAACCGAACGCCCCGTCAACGCCGCTTATATGCAGATTGAAGAACCGGCGTGTCTTGCCGGGGATGAGAGAAGAGGAAGAAAAATCGTTTGCTCATAACAACATCAGTGGTGCTTGGCCAGTGACAAAACCGAAAACTGAAATATATCATAAAAAGACTCCGCTGGTTCATGAAAGCTCAAGGGAAAGCGCGGCCCCGAAAGTAACCACGCGCGCCTGTCACTCGAGACAGTACTAATATTAGGTGCCAAGCGTCCGCCTTGAGGTGTTGAGCATTGGACTTTAGTTGCATCACCAATTCTTTTGCCTTCTATGACAGTAAAGAAAATATAAGCTTTTTCCTTGAGCGATGAATCAATGACACCCGCCCGAGGCACCGTTTACTGATTCAATTTGCGCTCTCGCGAGTGCTCATCAGTATGCCCTGATTCATCGTCTGACGATGACGAGCCAGAGGTGGTGGCTTCCTCAGTAGTGTCTTCGCTCTTGGCGTTCTTGGATCCGCGGCTAGCCGTGTTGCCAGAAAGGGAAGCTGAGGAACCCAGACTGTTATAGCCGTCTAGAGGCGTCTCAGTTCCCTTCTTATGGCTCATGTTAGCCCTGCGGAGAGCACGCGCGGCGCGTTGGGTGGCTTCCCTGGCAGCGTCAAGCGCGCGTTCAGCGCGGATCTGCTTCTCCCACATCGATGCGTACCGGCCACCAGCGGCCAGAAGCTCCAAGTGCGTGCCTTTTTCGACAATCGTACCAGCATGCAGCACAACGATCTGATCGGCATGGGTAATCGTAGACAATCGGTGTGCAATGATGAGAAGAGTGCGGCCTCGACCAATATTCCAAACATTCTCTTGGATTTCCTGCTCAGTGTGAGAGTCCAGAGCCGACGTGGCCTCGTCAAGCATGATGATGCGAGGGTCTTTAAGAATGGTACGAGCGATAGCAACACGCTGCTTCTCGCCTCCGCTGAGTCTGAGTCCACGCTCGCCAACCTGTGTTTCGTACTGGTCCGGGAAAGACAGAATTCGGTCGTGAATGCTCGCCGCTTTGCAGGCAGCATAAACTTCTTCATCGGTGGCGTTTGGGTTTGCATATCTAAGGTTGTACATGAGGGATTCGTTAAACAAGGTTGTGTCTTGAGGCACAACCCCGATATGGCGACGAACGGAGGAGATGGTCAGGTCCCGCACATCCTTGCCGTCCAACTCAATACTGCCTTCATCGCAGTCGTAGTATCGGAACATATGACGAAACAAGGTAGATTTACCGCCACCAGACTCGCCAACGAATGCCGTCGTGGACCCAGGTTGACACTCAAACGAGATGTTGCGCAGCGCCGGGCGACGTCGGTCGTAAGAAAAGTTGACATTTTTCCATCGGATATGGCCAGAGAAGTCTTCGAGGGGCTTCGCGTTGGGAGCGTCCACAACTGTAGGCTGAATTTTGAAGAGCTCAAGCAACCGTTCTCCTGAAATCATGGACTGCTGAACAGTTCGATAGAAGGTGCCAAAGAAGTTGAGTGGGCCTTGGAGCTGGGTCAGGTAAGAAATAACGACGAACCAATCGCTGGATTCCCGCATTCCTACGGCGACCTGCCAGCCGCAGATGAGGGCGGCCAATATCCTGCCAAGATTAAAAACGAGTGTTTGACACACATTCATCATGACCATGCCCATCTGCACATTGGCTTCGGCCTTCTGATAGGCTCCGACCTTGTCACGATAACGGCTAGATTCGTACTCTTCGGCGTTGAAGTATTTGACCGTCTCATAGCTAGAGATCGAATCGTTTTTGACGGCCTCTTCTTCTCTGTCAGCATTGGTCATCTCGCGTCGCTGGTCAGCTCGTGTCGATGCCATCTTGATTGTCATGTAGAGGTACCAGCAGGTATCTACAAGGTTGATTTGCGCGTAGAGCGGTCCGAATTTGTAGTAGAAGACACTAATAGACAGAATCAAATCAAAGAGCATAGGTATGACTTGGAAAGTGACCTGCTCGAGGAAAGAGTTGATAGAAGACCCCTTGTTGAGTGCGGACAGGACTTCGCCAGTGCGCTTAGAGAGATGGAAGTCCAGGCTGAGAGAGTGCACGTGGTTGAAAGCAGCCGTTGTTAAGCCACGATAAGAGTACTGGGAGACGGGTATCCAGAGCAAGGATCGAAGTGGCCCGAGCATGCCCTGGAGAATCCAGAGAAGCCCAAGAAACAGGGAGGCGCGAAGAGGGAAGAGATCCATAGTCAACGGTTGTCCATCTTGCACTTCCTTGATAGCATGATTGAGCTGCTTGACGACTTCACCGATCTGGTTCGGAACAATAATGTTGACAATGCGCTGAATAATAACGAGGACGAAGCAGACAAGAACTTGCAGCTGCAGCATGACGGAATCCTTGGGCCACAAGTAGGGGAAAAAGAGGGAATATCCGCGGATATATTCCCACCAAGTCTTGTGGGGAAGCTTTTGTGGTCGATAAAACGCGGCGTTTTCGTCTTTGCGTGAACTGGGCGCTGAGTATTTGGCTGCGTTGGACATGGTCCGCCCTCGAGACCGGCGAGAGTATGTGTCGCGTCCGTTCGGTCCTGCTGTATTGACATCGCCATTTTGAGAGTCATATGACCTCTGATGGCCATTCAAAAGCGGGGTGTGCTCATGGGCGAAGCCGTCTTCAAGCTTCACAGGTCGCTTGGATCGTACTTTACCGATCCAAGCAACGCTGAAAACCCCGATTAGGGCTATCAGGTGGAGGATACGGACAAAGTAGAGAACCAAGTCCAGTTTGATCCAGCGATCAAAGCAGTCTTCGTCTCCCGTTTGCGATTTTGGGTTGGTAAAGCGGCATGCGGCCGCAGTCGTAAAGGTGGTTGAGAAAAGAATGATCTCGCCTACTAGGCCTAGGACCCAGATCAAGAGGTGAACGACATTGGGCCCTTTTTTCCAGTCGAAGAGCGAGAAAAGGATGTAAAGGTAGAAGAAGACGGAGCCCAGAACGTGGACAATGGTCCACTCACCAGCCCAGGAGAGACCGTCCTTAGACCACTTGTAAGGGTTGTCATGGTAGAACGCATGGTCGAACATGAAGGCGCCGGTCGCAACATAAGAGATGAAAATGACTGCAGCCAGATAGCGAAAGACATTTTTGGCAGCCGGGCCAAAATGGGGACCAAGCTTTCTCTCGCCATCGTCTTTGGTCTTCTTCTTCGTGACGGGCAAGGGCTTCCCGCCCGGGCCTTTTACATGCGATTGTACAATGCTTTCCTGCTTCTTGGCATTATACACACTGTACCATGCAACACACGATACAAACGCGACGAGAAGTATGAAGGAGTAAAGGTATTGCGTCTCGCGAAGGATCAGATCGGAGGCAGGTATAGACGAGTCGGATTGTCGCTGTTGGAGAGCCGAAACATTTTCAGCGGCCGCCATGGCGGACTAAAAGAGATAGATTGTCAGTTATGGGACATCGATGAAAACAATGTTTTTTTGTGGAATTTTGATTCATAGAAGCGTTGCGGTCGAGCGTAGGTTACAGGTGAGTGCCAAGTGAGGCAAACGGACGACAAACAGCCGAGGAGGGACTGGAGGCGGAGGGCAAATAAGCCGACGGCAGCGAAGAGCAATTCAACGTACAAGAAGCTGTGTAGATAGTCACTGGGGAGCGACCATGGCCATGCCCCCGGGCAATGTAGACACAAGGTGCAAGGTCAGCAGAAGCGTTGTCGTCAAGGTGGCGGGATTGAGGGCGAAGTGGCGGCACTCGCGAGTAAACCCGTTGCGGGACAGAGAGCAAGGGCAGCACGAAAGCAGCTGCAAGGTGTCGATGAACGAAGGAGATTAGATAAAGATCTCGCTGACGACCAGAGCAGAGAATACGAGGCGGAGTCTTGCGATTATTAAAAAAAAACGAATGCTCGCGCACCGACAAAGGCAGAGTGAATGTTGGGAGAAGAGCAAAGTTGAAGAGTTGGTGCCAGCGTTTTTGAAGGCCGATCAAAAACTGGCCCCCCCGGCGCTGGGAACGGGCGAGCCAGGGCCCTAGATATGTTAGTAGGCACCCTAGCGCCAGTGGCGGAAGCACCCTCAGTTTGCGCAGGTGCCAGCAGGTCAAAGGTTGCAGTGGTGCAGTTCAGGTGCTGTTAGCAGGCGGTCTCTCTTGTAACTGACCTAGCGCAGGCAGGTAAGTACGATACTTGGGTCGGTACATTGGTACCTTAGGTACTAAGGTACCTAGGTAGGTAGGAGGCAGGCTGCCCAGTCCTGGTTGGTGATAAGTAATGTCTGGAATGCCTGGCAAACCCGGTCGTTTTGTGGTTGTTTTTTAGGTATCTAGAACTGTCGTGTCATTGTGTCCTACGTTGTCATCAGGTTGCCTTGCATGGTAGATTGATGGGATACAGTCAGTGCTTAGGTAGCGCAACCTAAAACCTTAGGTAGTAGGTAGATATGTACCCAAACTGACATATGTTGCCCTGATGTAATAGTCACTAGAATACCAAGGTAAGCTTTGCTTTTTTTTTTTTTTCCTCTTCTTCATTTTCCATCTCGTTCAGGGTGCGGCACCCATCCGACGATGCAGCCTTCAATAGCCCTCATCATGGTGGGTTCCATACGGCGGGCGCGGTGCCAAAGTGAAGTGGCGGCAAAGTGGCGGAAAGTGGGTGGTGGTGTCTTTGCCTAAGTACCTACCCCTGCCACGGTAGGCGAGCAGATACTAGGGCGTCGACAAGGCCATGGGGTAGGTCTGAAAGGGTGGTGTGCCAGCGTCTGGACAAGGAACAAGCTTTTGGTTTCAACCTCTCAGAGGCCTCCCCAAGCGATGCCTTACAGCAGCTTACACGAATTATACCTGATACTGAGTAACAACGGCTTCACTTCCGTGGCAATCTTGACAAGCAAAAGCGATAACTCCAGATCCGTACAACTCCGTATACGGATGCATTCTCGCGTGGCATTATGCGATTCGCCCTTGCCCTCCTCTCCCGCGGCCCCGGCGCACACCTCACTCAACAAGCTCCATGTTTTGCTGCTACACTGCTGCTGCAACAGATCGAACTCACACATATCTGCGGTGTCGCACTGCGTCTTGATTCTTGCATTCTGGGCCGCTGACCCGGCCTAGCGGTACCTCCAAGATGTCCACCAAAGGTCACGCTGCACACCCTAGAATCCACTGCAGGCAGTCAAAGTGCACCCCCCCAACACCAATAAGGTCAATAGGTCTGTAAAAAGTATCCGTACTAACTAGAGTAACGAAATGATTTCCAAGACACCCCCAGAGGCACTGTTGGGGGCATTCATGCAGTCGGTGTCTGTTGTTTACCTGCTACGGAATACTACTGGTAGGTACTGGGAAAGCTGTGGCGTCTCATCCCTCATCCGTGGGCACGCCTTCCCTGAGAAGAAAATGGGGGGTAGTACTCCGTACGGCGTACCTTATGGACACCAATGCACCCAGGCGGTGCATCCTTCTTCTGCCGCTCACCCTCACCGTTTGACCAGGCCACCAGCAACATGGAACATCCCGCATCGAGTGCGCACAATCTCCCCTCCACTTCATCTCCTAGTCAAGCACACAAAGACTCGCTAACGATCCCTATCCTGGTAAAGCTCCTTGCTGCTGTGCACGTTCATAGCCAGATACACGCCGCTCCTGTTTGACCATAATACCTCGTTACGACCTTGAATCACGGCGCGTGCCTCAAGTCCGTCCCAGAGCAAACAACTTAGGTATTCAATGAGCCAACACAAGTTTCCAAACGAGTATTTGCACCGATTGACACGCGTCGCAGTGTCAATAGCTCGAGCAACAACAAGGTCACCTGCCATGTTACTGACTCGACATTCAATTATTAGTGGTCACGGCTGTCTCGCCCGGCTCTAGTCAGTTCTCTTGCGACTCAATTGCAACGACAGCGACTCAAATACCATCCAGAAAAAATTATAAATCGCCATGCCATTATCAAATAGCCTTGAAACTGGAGCTGCTCGTGTCCATCCAGTCCGGGGTGGCACTCCGTATGCAAGACACCACATTGGTCGCTTACGTCGAGTGGCGATTCCAGGAGTGTCAGCATGTTAGTGCAAACCGACGCTGGTGCTTTTCTAACTACTGCTCAGGTGCCTTGCAGAGGCTTATTTCGGCTCAACCCTCCCGCAGAAGCGCATCTTCGCCACCACCATTCTCCAAGACTACCTACCTCCTGATCATTAGGCTCGTACAGCAACCTCTGAGCACCAACTGGCGGCGGCTACTACGCTCCACGATGGATCCATACTCAAGGGCTCGATTTGAGCCGCATAGCCACTACCCACATGCTACAGAAATAGATGCAAGGAGCTGGGCCGGCTGGGCTGGACCGCTGTGGGACTATGCCAACACAGAGCACAGCAATCTGAGCCTTCTCTGCTGCACCGCGACCATCGCCACTCGGTCAAGGCGACACCGACATGCTCACCCATTACTTCATGTTGGGGGGCTTGCTTGCATACGTAGCTCCTTTACCTCGCATCAGCCAGCTGGTCACCACACCACCCAACTCGTCCTAACCACCCACATCGCGCCGGGTGGCAATGCTAGTTCGGGCGCCGCACACGGAAGGCTACCAATTTCGCAGTACATGTGTGCAGTTCTGTCAATTCCCTGTCCAGGCTTGGCTGCTTCTAACCTAGCACTCAATAACTCGATGCTGTCGCATTCTGGGCTGTCATATGCTCCCCCGGTTTCCTGACGTTGTGGGCGGGTGGTGTAAGTGTGCGTGTGTGACATGCGGCTGCTGACCACGTCCCCGGTGTAGGTTCATGCACTTGATCGGCGCATCATCGTCTGGCCTACGATTACGCCGTGCTCTGCCGAGCAACTAACTATCGTGAGCGGTGTTCTTTTCAGCATCACTTTCGGTGGCAAAGGCTCGCCCTTCAGGCTCTATACCTAGCTTTGGACATTTATCCGAAAACTCGTTTGAATTGCAGCCAAAGCAATTTCCCTACTCTGTACGGAGTACTCCTCTCGGCGTTCATCAGGTGCCATGCTGCGTGCCCGCTTTATTAGTGGCAGATCAGTTATCGAATGTATGTGGCCACACTTTACGAATTACACTCCTGAAGAAGCGCCAATGACGCTTGCGGGCACCAGTTTGCCCATGTGCCACAGCTGCCGACTGGCTGGCGCCTTGCACCAATAACAACCGCTGCTGACTTTTGTCAATTATGACGATACTTCCTTGTTTACCAAAACCGACTGGCTGAAGCCGGGCGCTGGTGGCCTTGCTGCTGGGCACATCTGCTGCTGGGAGTCTCGGCAGGTACCGTGAAGGTCGACATCACCTGCAGGCTGCTGCTTGGACGATAACTTACAAACTCGCTACAAAGATCTCACGGCATGCACGATTTTGTTGACCCCACTTTATTATTACCAGCCCCAGCCGGTATACTTACATAAGTCAAACCAGTTTCGAATAGGGCCTTGTTTCGCGAGTTGGAAAGTCTATCAAGCCGTCATCGTCTTCGAAGCTCAGCATCTGTTGTTTTTCTCACGTATCCTATGTTGCTGGCAGAGCATCATCCCGAGATGGGTCTTAGAGTAGGGATGTCATGGATCTCAAAGACCTGCTCAGTTGACCACACACCACGCACATCATCCATCAGCCTGCTAACTAGTACCTCTGACAGTCCCCGTCTTGCGCTTTCCCGAAAATGCGCAGGTGCACTCACTCTGCACGGCTTGCTAGTGTGTGCGCTGCGTCTCATCGATCGATGAAACTGTTCCAGCTATCAACTTGTCAGTGATGGATGCCAAGCATTGAAATCCAACAGTACTTCCAGGATCAGGTTTCCACAATAATGGTTCTAGACCAGAACAGCCATGGCCGGTTAGCGGGCCCGGATATGCAAGCTGTGCAACAGCAGGACGAACAAGCCATCAATCCCATCCCCAGCAAGCCAAGAGAGTAAAGACGAACAAGGGGCGGAGCCGAAGCCAAAGCCACAGCTGTCGTGGGGTGGGAACGAGGCAAGCCAGGTATACCCTGAAGAAGCAGGTAATATGGCCGCCAAAGACAAAGAGTGCCGTTGATTGGCAAACCTCAGTTCACTGGCGAAGGCTAGCGCGGTCGAGGACAGGAAAAAAAAAAAGGCCAATTGCCAACTAGGAGCGTGCTATTGACGCCAACGTACGAGATGTCACAGAAGCGCTGACTGCCTTGAGGCCGTACGGTATGTTACTGAACCACGGTGTTGTAGGTCAAGCTTGTTCGGAAAAGAAAACAGCATACGCATCATCCACCTCTCCAGAAGAAGAAAAAAAGCAAAGCGAACCCTTCAGTCAAAATTACCTCAAGCCTCTCAGGTAGGTGAAACCTGCATTTTGTTCCGATGAAGCCCGCGTTACACAACATACAGAGGGCATCACAGGGTGCCTTGTTTACGAA